TTTTCTGGTTGGTTTTCGGGGAATAAATATTATTTTTGAGGTTGGGTGCTGAAATTTTTGTTGATTTCGAGATTACTTTTAAGATCTTGCTCTTAAGATCTTGGAAAAGTTTTATTTTTTGACCTGAAAATTTATTATAAAGTTTTTTATCTGAAAAAATCCTTTAAGGCTTGTCTTTCAAATGAGCATAACTTATTTTATGCTCAGACTCCACCTTTAAAAGTACGTTTTTTTTCATGAACAAATTTCTCAAACTTTTTTCAAAACCTCAAAAAATTCATGTTAGATTTCCCTCTTTCTTCATGAATGCAAAAAAGGTTACTGCAATACAACAATTTTCCTGCTACTATAGATAAAGTAACAAAAAAATTATTATATCACAAAAACCAATCGTGCATGCACTTTGTTTTCATCTTTTTTTTTGTTGGTATTTTTAAATGCAATGATATCACTTGTAACAAACCGTCTCCCCTCTTATTCTTTTGCGTGCGACGACAACAAACAGGTCTCACATGTCTCTATCTTTTTCATGCGGAGTGGGCGGGGCCAAGGTTCGATCCCACATGCCGACCAACTTTTTTTTTTTGATTTTTTGTGAAAACGTTTGTTTTTCGAAGAGATGTACTAATTAGAAAATGCTTTTTTCAAATGAGCATAACTTATATTTGCTCGGACTTAATTCTTTAATTTTAATCTTAATTGTAGGGTCAGTTTTTATGAAATGAAAAAATATTCAATTTGAGGCTCAAACTCCAACATACAAATCTTCAAAAAAATATTTTCAATTAACATAATTTCTATTTTTATCAAGTTCGTTTTCAAAAAATTCAGAACAGTAAATATGTTATTCCCCAAACACCGGAAATATTAAAAGTTCATCAATATTTTTTTTTGAGAAAAATCAAAATTCTATCTGTTTTTGACACAAACACACACGTGTCATTACCATTTTTTAATTATATTTTCTTTTTCTTTTTTTTAGCTTCATTTTTTGGTTTCAACTTGACTTTGTTTTCTACACATGTTCGAAAATGAGCTATTGCAAAAGTTTTCCCTTTTTGCAAAAAATCAGGAAGCTGAAGAATGTGAAAAATGAAACAAATACATTTTTTTTCTAATTTTTGTCGCGCTGTTATCTGATCGCTTTTTATTCTTCAGCTCCATTTTTTTTCGCTTCTCTTGAAAAAGAGAAACAAACATCTCACATTGCCCCAGACTTTTTTGCCGTGCTTGTTTGGAATTTTCAAATTTCTTTCTTTTGTGTTGAAATTTGACATCTCTTTTTTTGCTAGTCCCATTTCATCTCTCAATTTTCCAACAATGTTCTCTTTTAATCCGCCCCCATTTTCCGAAGAACTGGAATATATTTTCTTTTGTATCGATACATCAATATGACTCCAAATATTTTTTGTCACCTGAAACTATCTTGAAGATTTTCTTAAAATCGATTTGGAGAAATCCTTTTTCGATCTACCAAAAACCCGCTGGTTTTTCTTCATAGTCTATTTGTTTCCAAGCCAAATTGAGCCCCTGTTTCGGACCAGCCCTGGCCGCGTTTCCGCATTTCTTCAGTCTCATGAATTTTAATTGCAAAAAATATATCGTCTCCTCCTCATTCATTAAAAAGGGCACATACATGTGTGTATTATAATTGTCAAGTTCAATTTTTGTTGCACATTTTCCAAAAGTTCAAAAGACCTCAAGCTTTTTTGTTTCTGAAAAGCTAACGGACAAAAAGAAAAGAATAAATTATGTGTGCGTTTTTCGGCAACTTCAAAAAATGACTCAGATTAGAAATATTGTAATATGAAGTGACATTATTATGTACATAGGTTTGTCGAAAGAGCAAAGCATGAAAAAAGCTTTTTCTCAATTTTTATCGTGATTTATGAATTTGACGTTGATCTTAGGTTGTGTGTAGATTGATCATCTTAAAGGTGGAGTCTGAGCAAAACATAACTAATGCTCATTTGAAAAAAAAAACAGTGGAACATCGTGTAAATGTCCTGAAAGATTTTTATGAAAATTTGTCAATGGCTTTTTTTAACCAGGAGACAAACTTTTGAATGAAAACTGATTCGAATAGAATTTTTTCATTCCTCGAGCTCTTATCGATTGACATTTTCATAATAGAAAAATAAAACAAAAGAAAATTTATGCCAACCATAAAAAATAATTTTTCTCACAAAAACTGAACCATCAAGCCTTTTTTCATTCCCAAAAAAAACTAATATTGCTTTTTTTCCACCACTCTCCCGTAAAAATACATATTTTATTATTTCAAAGAGAACAAAAAACCACATGTTTTAGGCCCCTCATTTAACTCTTTTTTTTTTTCGAAATGTTGCTGTTTTTTTTCATTTTTTTTTTCGCTATGCTTTCTCATTTTTTTCATATTTATACATAATTCAGTTTTCTTTTCATTTCATCCGTGTTTGTTATTATTATTAGTATTATTTTATGTACATATGTATGTATGAAATAATTTCCTGATGGCTGAGCTTTTTAACCAAAAAAAAACGAGAATAATATGCATTTTTTCTCGTTGTGAGCTCTCATTGAGATTTATCATCTACCTTGGCTTGACCACTCATTTCTTCTTTTTTTTGTTCAAAAAAAAAATAATTAAAAATTTTCACAACAAAAAAGTGAAGATTGTCTGTCATAAACACTCTTGCTCAATGAGCAAAAAATGTTGTTTGAACAGTTTTGTTTGGGGAAGCCCTTTTTGTACTTCTTTTTTTCCCATTTTTTCTTTAGTTTTCACGAGTTCTTGAAAATATTATCCGAGTTGTTAGCGAGCTAAAATCCAACGGGATTTTTTAGAGATGATCCTCTAAAATCTTATTTTTTTCGTTTTTCATCATTTTTGTTTTTGAATTTATCGTAAGTGTAGAAAAATATTAAATATGGGTGATTTTAATTTTTTTGATAAATTTCATCACAAAATAATAATCTAGATGATATATTGCAAGCAATCTGAAAAACAACATGATTTTCAGACTACATTCTATGAACATTCTAATAAAAAAAAAGAAATTCTTGAGGCACTTAGCCTTGCTCCTCGATCTACCGCGTTCTTTATGCTTCAAAATTGAATTATTCAGTCAAGTACCCCGCTTGCAGTTTGTCAAAAAATAATATATATATTTTTCCAGTGTTTTTTTCAACTCTCTCCAAAAATATTTTTTTTCGTTTTTCCCGAGAGAGAGAGATTATTCTCTTTTTAACAAATTGTATAATCACATCGAAACGACAGCTGATAGAACACATTTCAATTTATGTCTCACTTTTTTTTTTTCAAAAATCATTTTCGACCTGTCTGTGCGATTTATATTTTGTAATATTGAATTCTATCGATTTCTGTACCAGATTGTATTAGATTTCAAAAAATGCGCAATTTTTTTATAATCTAGGTAACACAACTTGTAGAATAAAAAACAAAACAAAAAAGTGCTCCTTTCCTAAACACATAAAACGGAATAGCAATTTTTTGGAGAGATGTTGTCAGAAAAAATCATAGTTCAAATTGAGTAGTTTCTGCATTTATGTAGTTTTTGTGAGCAAGTAATATTCTTCGAAAAATACATAATATATGCCTTTTCTCAACTAATTATGTACATATACATACATATATCTTTTTTTTCATTTCGGAGAATAATTTTTGCGATCAATGATTTTTCAACCATGAATTTGATGTTGATCCTGGTCTTGTTGTGTTTTGTTCAGAATTTCCGGAAGAATCAAACATCTAAAATTTAATTTGATAACAGTTACTGTTGCAATTTTCCAGAAACTGATACATAAAAAGGTTGTCTGATCTTTATCGAATTTATAATTCCTGATTCTGATACTGATACTGAGCGAGATTTCTGATGTGAGTTCAGGAATATAATTTTTTGTAGTATTTGCCATAATACAAATTTTGTAGGAAGACGACGTCAAGAAAAGGCGTGATTCAGAATATTTTTGCTTGATAGCTAGAAATTAGAGAATAATTTTTCAAAGTTTTCAGAGAAAATTGTTCGTAATTTTCAAAGATTTTTCAAGAATATCCATAAGTTTTCAAATAAAAAAAATATATCTAGTCTGACCTCTTTTTTCTTTCTCGATTAATGTTTCTATTCCAACTAACTATTAAAAAGTCATCAAACATTATTCAGTTTTCTTCACATGACCGCCACATCAACATAAATTCACGTGGTCTTTCTTTGCCTCTTCAGAATCTTTCAAATCACAAAGAATAATTGAAGACGAAAAAAAAAGACTAACATTTTTTGTGAGAGCAAGTAAGCACTATGTGTCACATTCAATTGTAGGTAGGCAACAAAAACGAAAGAAACGTCCTTTGAATCAAGTAGAAGTTGTAACACCTCTTTTTTATTCTGCGTTTTTAGTTTGCATGGGGTTTCTGTGGGGTGGAAACATATTTCAGCAAAGTCTTCTGATCCGAATAAATTTTTGATCTACCAGAAAAATATATACAATATCTATGAGCATTTTTTTCTGATTTCTGTGAAATCTCAACATTTTTTGCTGCTCCTCAATATTTGTTTTGTTGTTTATTATCTTCCTGCCTGCTCAATTTTATGTATGCAAATATTTGAAACATTCCCAGATGATTTTCTTTTTCCTCTTCATTTTTTTTTTGAAAATTGTTCGAGATCGTGAAATTCATCAAAAAACACGCCCATTTTGCTTGTTCATTCTGATGAATTGAATATTTTCATCTACAAAATGTTTATAGTTTGAACTTGGAATGCTGTGAAGACAGTAGATCAAAAAATCCCACAAATATTTGAAATATTCCCAGATGATTTTCTTCAACTTCTTCCTATTTTTTTTTATTTTAAAAATTGTTCGAGATCACAAGATTCAGAAAAAAACACGCCCATTTTGAATCGAGCCACACCTTTATCAAATTTTTTTTTCATTTTTTTTTTGTCTTTTTTTTTCTCCCAAAATTTCATCAGAAAAATAGAATAAATTATTCCAGGAAGATGGCAAAATTATCCAAAGACAATTTGTTGCTGATCTTCACCGTGCTTGGTGTCGTCGTCGGAATCGGGCTTGGTCTCTCATTGCGAGACCCGGAAAAAGTCTGGTCAAAACGGCATTTATCGTATTTGAGATTTCCGGGAGACTTATTTGTGCAAATGTTGAAAATGTTGATTCTACCAATGATTATGTCGAGTATTATGTGAGTTGTTGTTTTTTTTTTTGGAAAACTGAGAAAAAAGTTGCACAATTTTCCTGGTTTTTTTTTTTGCTTTCCTTCAGTTTGGTTTGAAATAACAATTTCCGGCTATTACAAAAAAATGACTTCTCGCAAGAATAAGAAAAAAATGCTCGTTGACCCCACATATTTTTTTCTTGCTCACATTCAGCTCACAAAATTTAACGAACGATTGCGATGATCTATGAACATCGTTCTTCCGGAACTTCAAAAAAAAAATTCTCACGACTCACAAATTGGGTGATGACGTACATATATAAGCTTACTCATTTTAAAGTATCACTTTTTTTCAATATTATGGAACGTCAGCAAAATGTTGACAAATTGTTGAAACCAATAAAATGACACAATTGATGTAATGTGCTTCTATCTCTTTTGAACGTTCAGTTTTTTGTGTGAAATATTGATAGAGCGGGAGGCAGGGAAAAACAAGAATGAACTTTTGACACAATGCAAAAAAAAAATCGTGTTGAGGGTTTTGCTTTATGGGCTTTCAGAACAGCTGGATTTTGGAATAAAATATGTTGTGAGAGGTGAAAGGAGGAGAAGAAAAAACTTCAAGAAAAACTAATTCTAGAATAAAATTCAGTAACTATTTTAAAAATCGATTTATTTGGATCAATTTCTTTAAAGTTCGTCTCCTGTTAAAAAAAGCCATTGGCAAAGTTTCATGAAAATCGAAATTGACAGAGAAACACAGCTCCAAACTACTAGACATATGGATTTTCCAACCATATTACACGGTGTTTCACTATTTTGTCGAACTTTGAAAAAAAGTTTTTAACTGAAGTTTGAGAAGCTTCCAAATAAAATTTTTTGAGTATTCTACCAATTAGAACTTGCTCTTTCCAAAAAGCATAACGTTTTTTTAATCAGACTCTATCTTTATTTTTTTAAAGTACGTTTTTTTCATGAAGAAATTTCTCAAACTTTTTCAAAACCTCAAAAAATTCATGTTAGATTTCCCTCTTTTTTCATGAATGCAAGAAAGGTTACTGTATCACAACAATTTTTCTGCCACTGAAAAAGTAACAAAAAAATTATTGTTTTACAACAACCAATCGTGCATGCACTTTTGTTTTCGTTGTTTTTTTTTGGAAATATTTTCAATGCAATACTATCACTTGTAACAAACCGTCTCCCCTCTTATTCTTTTGCGTACGACGACAACAGACAGGTCTCACCTGTCTCTATCTTTTTGATGCGGGGTGGGCGGGGCCAAGGTTCGATCCCACATGCCGACCAACTTTTTTTTTTGAATTTTTTTTTAATTTTTGGTGAAAATGTTCGATTTTTGAAGAGATGTACTTTCAAATTAGCATAACTTATTTTTTACTCACATCAGACTCCGCTTTTAAGTGAACTTTTGAAAGATCTTTAAAAAAAGTTGAATTCTAGCAAAAAAGCGTAATGACCGATTTTAATATTATGTAAAAAAAAAGTTTTTCACAATCAGTATCTCCGTTCAGAATTCAGAAAATTTCTGAAATTATCGATAGATAAGGGTTATTGGAACTTCCTGATTAGAGTCTCGAATTGAATTCAAACTTTTAATTTTCAGTTCGAGTTTGGCATCACTGGAATCTGGAACAGCTGGAAAACTAGGAGTTGTATCAATGACATATTATACACTAACCACCTTCTCCGCCGTATTCCTAGGAATTGTGTTAGTCACGGTGATCAAACCTGGTAAATGGGTTCAAACTGATGTCACAGCTCTCGTTGGAAATGTCAAAACAACTCCATGTGTTGCCACCGCCGTTGATACTATCATTGATCTCATGAAGTTAGTGGAACTCAAAAAAACAACACATTTTACAACATAAAATTAAAATGGGTTTTTTTTTCAGAAGTTGCTTCCCAGAAAACTTGATCGAAGCCACATTCCGATCTCAAAAAATGTGCCTAAAATTCTTCAATGGTACAGAAGAAATTCCTCCGGAAATTGCGATGGTTTTATCTCCAGGTTAAATAAAATCAAAGAGATTTTCAAAAAAAAAATGGAAAATTTTACAGAAGAGCGAGCCTTGTTCACGGAAGTGCCAGAAAAAATCACATCGGATGGAATGAATATTTTGGGTTTGGTTGTTTTCAGTGTTGCTTTGGGAATTGTGATTGGAGTTATTGGTGAAGATGGGAAACCACTCAAGAATTTTTTCAAATCTTTGGAAGCTTGCAGTATGCAACTTATTTCATGGGTTATTATGTAAGTGATTTTTGAATTAAAATTTTTTTCAGTTTTCATTCAAGAGATATTTTTTGACAAAAAATAAAACTTTCAGTCATTAAATACATTTTCCAGGTACTCCCCAATTGGTATCACCTTCCTCATCGCTTCTCAAATCGTCGGAATGAAAGATCCAGGACAAGAACTTCACAGGTTGATGGGTTATGTGATAACAGTTATTTTGGGATTGGCTATTCACGCTTTCATTATCATTCCACTACTCTGCGTTGTGGTAAGATGATTTTTTCTCTAGAATTCTAACATAAAATTCAAAAAATATTCCAGTTGGCAAGACGAAACCCATTGAAATTTGTTGGTGGAATGGCGCAAGCCTTATTGACAGCTTTGGCAACAAGTTCCAGCTCTGCAACTCTCCCACTTTCAATTAAATGCTGTGAAGAGAATAATGGAATTGACCCCAGAGTCACACGATTTGTCTTACCCCTTGGTGCAACAATGTGAGTTAGCTTAACTTATTTTCATAGAATTGTTTGAAAATTTGGGTTTTTTTAGTAATATGGATGGAACTGCGCTTTATGAAGCTGTCGCTGCAATCTACATCTCACAATGTGTTGGAAATGATTTATCGCTCGGACAAGTTATTCTTGTGTCACTTACCGCAACTCTTGCATCGATTGGAGCTGCTGGAATTCCACAAGCTGGTAGGTTTTGATATTTGACATTTCATTAGGCTTTGACCTTTTTGATAGGATCAAAAATACATTTAAAAATTGGAAATCTTGAACATTTTAACAGCGGATCTAATGTTTGAGAAAATATTTGAAAAAATTGTCAGAAATTTAAATTTTTTTTTTCAAAAACAAATTTCAGGTATTGTCACAATGATCATGGTTCTAATCGCAATTGGCCTACCAACAAATCTGTTCATTCTGATCTTCCCAGTTGATTTCATGCTCGACAGACTTCGAACAACTGTAAATGTTCATGGTGACAGTATCGCGACAGCAGTGATCGAACGACTTTGTGAAAAATCACTTCAAAAAGGTAACTTATCTCGCAAGCATGGTTTAAATGTACCTTTAAATGTTCAATCTACATAGAAATACTGTATCAAAATAATATTTGTTCAGATCACAGAGAAAACGCTGGAGAAGATAGTGACGAGCAGGTTAAATTCATCTAAAATGATGAAATTATATTTTAAAAATGTAAATGTTCAAGCTTGTATTATTTGCGCCTTGCTAATTTTTAACGCTTTTTTTACTAACCGGGTTGCTCATATTATAAAAAATTGAAATTTTATAAAACATTTTTTACAGGCGGTGTACGTGAATCCAACGATCAGGGTTATAGTATGCTTTCAACAAATGCATCTCCAGATCCAAAAAGAATCACAATCGGTAATAATTGTGAGAATTCTCATATGCTATAATTTTTTTCTTTGTCTCAATCAAATATTATTTTTCTTCTGTCTTTATGCAAAATTTTTGTGTATTTTCTCTCATACCCCGCATTAGATTTCTCTCATTTGAATTTCTCTAGATACAAACCAGATGTTTTTGGTAAACATCTGTATTCAATCATAATTCCACAGAAATATGGGAACTAGATAAATTGGTCATTTTATGTTTCCATTATTTATATATATATATATATCTCATTCACTTTTTTCTGCTGTTCTAAGCAGAAAATCTATAATTATTTCCAATAATAAATATTTATGTAAACCAAAAAATATATAATTTTCTAACAAGGCAACCTTTTTTACTGGACTTTCAAGAAGTTTTAGCCTGAGTTATGATAACTTAATTTTCACAAAGCTTGGCTCGACTTCTAAAACGTTGAGTGAAAAATATTTCCTTGTAACCAAAATATTTTGTACTTTTCTTTTCCTTCTTTCATTAGATATTGTATTTTTTGAATTATTTTATTTTATATATATTTTGTGTGCGATGTAGTCATTTTTCAAAAAAAATAAGAAATGATGATAATTCTTGTGTTGTTTTTGTTGAGCCAAAATTGATGGATTGAGAGAAAAAATTACACAAAATGAAAAGGATGAAAAGGGAGAAGGGCAATTTTGAAATTTAATATCTTCTCCTCAAAGAAATGTTCTAGAGAAAAAAAAAAGATTATTTTTGGAATGAAATGTTTATATGACAATAATAATTGAAGCATTTATGAGAAAAGCATAATAGAAATTTATTCTACAACAATTTCAGCTCCCTCATTTGGATTTCCAGTGATCTCTTCAAAATCAGCAGTCGGAACTACTAACGGAATGACTTCGACTGGTGCACGAGCTCCTTCGACTTTGACTTGTTCGACATACTTTGGTGGTTCCAAATTTTTGCGGATCTGCTCGAGTTCTTCATTGTGTTTGCGTCCCCATTCAACTGGTGGTCTTCCTGATCCGCGAACCAATGATGGTTGTTTGTTTTCGGCTGGAGTTTCGAACAAATAACGACGATCTCCATAGGATCTGCGATCGGTTTGACGATCGAATTTGGAGGCGGTGGTGATCTTTGGTGGATGAACTGATGAGGCAGCTTCTTCTGGGTCAAGTCCCTTTTTAAGAGCCTTGTTACGAGCAGCTTGACGTTGTCTCTCGTGCAACTCTTTCATCTGGAAAATATTTCGATTGAACAGAAAAACAAAAAAAAAGAAAAAAACTTACGTCATAATCTTGACGTTCACGACGTTTCTCCAAATCATATTTCTCCGCTTCCAACTTCACAATTCTAGCGTGCAATTGCTTGATCTTCTCTTTCAAGTCATTTGGCATGAGATTTGAAACATCAACATTACGGCAAACAGCCGCCAAAAAGTTCTTCTTAGCTTCATCGAGTTGTTCTTTGCTCAACACGTTTCCTCCCTTCGCTCCTTGAGCCAAGTTTCCGAATTGAGCGGCTTGCTCGCCTCTGGATGAAACGGTGAAGTTACGGCCACCTCCTGGAGCTCCAGAAAGGGTTCCATTGAAAGCTCCAGCCATCATTTGTTGGCGGCGGGTCTTTTCCTCGTTTTTACGATTCTTTTCAGCGTCAGCCTTGTTCTTACGGTCTTCCTGAATAGAAAAAAAAATTAATGAAGAATTTAATTTATGAAAACAAAAAAATTTACCTCATCCTTGCGTCTTCTCTCTTCATCTTGACGTCTACGCTCAGCAAATTGACGTTCATCTTCTTCACGTTCAGCGCGTCTCTTCTCTTGCTTCTCCTTGAGCTCACGAAGTTCTTGCTCAATCTTCTCCTTCTCAAGAACACGTCTTTGCTCGTAGTCAAGAAGTTTAGCAGCTTCTTCTTCCTCGTGACGCTTCTTGGCAGCAAGCATAGCAATTTCAGCTTCAGTCATCTCTGCTGGTGGTTTTTCTTCTTGAACTGGAGCACGACGTTCTTTAACCTCTGGTGGAGCGGTGACCTCTTCAGTGGTCTCTTCTCTAGAAAATATTATTGATTTTTTTTTAATTAGTTCCATAATGTAGGATGAAACTTACTGTTCAGGCTCTTCAACCTCCTCGACTTCTTCCTCCTCTACCTCTTCATCAGAGCTGAAAATCAAGAGAAAATTAATTTCAGTCCCATATAATTTGTTTTTGAACTTACTATACTTCTTCTTCATCAGACATGATTGTTTTTGTTGGGTAAAAGGCTCAAGTTCTGAAAAAATGGAAAATGTCAAGAAAATCAGCGAGCAAACAAAAATATGAATGAATGAATTGAAAACGAAAAGTGCAGGAGGTGTGGTCTCTTGCCCGGGAGAGTATCAACAAAATAAAAAAGAAGAGAGTGCTGTAAACTCTCTCTCTACGCCTACACACCAACTGTGTGCATTTGTGCACTATTTCATCGCATATCATCTTTGATGTGTATCCAGAGGTCCCAGATTTTCTCCCGCCTACGTAAAATAAAATAAAATAAATTTCGACACAGCAGCTGCTTGAATTGAAACGAAGCGAGACGAGACGAAACTTTTATTGGCGCCTCGTTTTTTTTCTTCTGTGGAATTTTTTCAGATGGATGGATGGATTATTATCATCACTAAAATAATGGCGATGGATAATGGATTTTTACAATCTGAAACAGATGCTCTTTTGTTATTCTAACTCTTTTTTTGTGAAATATATATCTGTTGATCGGTGAAAGTTCAGTTCATTTTAGTGTAGAAAAGCAAAACACAAACATTTATAATTGTAGTAGTCATCATTTTTTGCAAAATCTGAAGAAGGAAGTGAATTATTATGGAGGAGATGTGGGTGTTCAGAGTTACTGGAAGATCGAAAGGTCAATAAATTCTGGAAAAATTTTGGGAGAGTAAAAAATGACTGGAAACTATCACAGAACTCCAGGAATGAAAAATTCACTTGTTAATTAGAAAATATCTCGAAAAAATTGGACAAAATCGTATTTCTGGATCGAAAAACTTATATTAAAGTTCGAATTTCAATCTGAAAAAAGAACAATATCTGAAAACAATTTTTCAACAAAACTTTTTTTCAAAAGTAGAGTCTGACATAGAAATAAATTTATTTGAATCAGTTTCAATTCAAAAGTTTGTCTCCTGATTTAAAAAAAAGTCATTATTTTTTTTTTTTTTTTTTCAAATTTTCGAATGACTGGATTTTCAAGCCATTTCACTGTTTTTTTTTTGAACTCTGAAGTTTTTCAACAAATGTTTGAGAAGCTTCCAGAAAATATCCTTCAAGGATTGTACAAATTAGAAAATTCTTTTTCAACTAAGCATAACTTTTTTATCTCAGATTCCACCTTTTTAAAGTACGTTTTCCTCAAGAACAAATTTCTCAAACCTTTTCAAAACCTCAAAAAAATTCTTGTTAGATTTCCCTCTTTTTTCATGAATGCAAGAAAGGTTACTGTAATACAACAATTTTCCTGCCACTGAAAAAGTAACAAAAAAATTATTGTATTACAGAAACCAATCGTGCATGCACTTTTGTTTTCGTCATTTTTTTTGGAGATGTTCAAATGCAACGATTATCACTTGTAACAAACCGTCTCCCCTCTTATTCTTTTGCGTGCAACGACAAAAGACAGGTTTCACATGTCTCTATCTTTTTCATGCGGAGTGGGCGGGGCCAAGGTTCGATCCCACATGGCGGCCGACTTTTTAAAAAAAATTTTTTGTGAAAACTTTCGTTTTTTGAAGAGATATACTAATTAGAACATGCTCTTTCAAATGAGCATATTTTTTGCTCAGACTCCACCAAAAATTGTGTTTCTGTGGACTCCGAAAACTTCTCTATTTTCGAAAATTCAAGGACCTGGCTGTATGAAAATGTGGTTCCTTGGTCAAATTGAGATATCCTGAAAATCAAATCTGATCTCACATTTAGCACCAAAGGACCTTTCCACCATGACGTATTTCTTGATGATTCACACAATTTACTATTCCAAACATCTTTCCAATTTAACTTCCTAAAAATAACCAAAAATACGTAAATTTCTGATCTAAAAATGGGAGAGAGAGGTCAATTTGATTGACAAGTGCGAAATTAAACATTTCAGGAATACTCATACTTCCCGGTTTATTTTTTCTTTCCTAAAATTGAAAATAACCCAAATATGTTCCTGAAAATTGGAGGATAACCTAATATTAATTTAAAATTCGTCATAATGATGAGAACCAAAATAATAATCATGTTCTGTATTTTCAGCAGCGTAAAATTCTTGTGGGTGTCAATATTTTTTATATGGTAAAAAGGGTTGAAAAATGGGCGTGGCTTTCTTGAAAAAAATGTAGATATCCGAAAAAGGGGGAGCGACTTCATTTTTGGGTTTTCTCCTACACACTTGTTATTTTATTTTATTTTTTTATTACTAAAAAATGTCAGCCAAAATATTCTCCACAATTTTCTTATTGTGTTTTATTGTTGGTCAGTTTGAAGAGGCTACTAAAAAAATGTGTGAATTAACAAAAAAAACTTTCCAGGGATGATGTCTGCAACATCAATGCTTCTTTCGCGAAATCAAATAGATGATCCAGAATACAATGATAATTCTATAGAAGAGGATAAAAAGATATGTTTCTGCTGTCGAGCTTTTGTTTGTCGACATCGAATTTGTCCGTGCTCCAGATTTACTGCTCTATAATTCTAATTTTGTGTTTTACATACTTTTTCTCTTGAATTTCCTAAATGATAATTACATAAATATTTGAATCATTAACTTTAATTTTTGGTAAAAAACTCAGAAGTTTAACGAATCTGTAGGTTTGGCTCTATAAGTGTTTCATAATTATGATTCTCTCAAATTCAAATTCCAAATGATTTATTTCATAAATACATAAACAATCGTTATTAACACGTAGTGAAATGTGATTTTTGGTGAAAAGGAGCAAAATCCAGCGCGCAATAAATGAGTCCTAAGGGGGAAAGACTACTTTTTTGGGCGTTAAGAAAAGCGGGCGAGATCATTTTGAGCATATAATACTTGGGTGGTTTGGAAAGAAGAGTGATGTCATTTGATGGAACTAGGAACCAGGAAAGAAAAATAAAAAAATAGATTGTCAACAAGATAACTTCTACTAACTTGTGATTTTGTTTTTTGTTCTGGAAAATAGATGGAAAAAATTTGTAGATCAAAGGTACAGTTTTTCCTGGTCATCTTCCCACTCTTCTTTCCAAAACCACCAGAATCCTAACTACTAAAGCAAAAATTTTCCAAAAATAAGAAATCAATGCATTTCAGTCTCATCATTTCTTGTTGGCAATGGTTGATGTCGTCTTCTTAAACAGCAAAACGACGATTTATTCCAATCATCTTTCAATTCATCCTTGAACAAAAATATGAACGCAATAATCATTGAAGTCAATCCACCGAAGAGAAAAATTTTCATGCCATTTCCGTAATTTTTCTCGAACTGAAAATATATTTCTTTTTTTATTCACGTCATTTTTTCAGGTTTTTTTATATGTAACATATATGCTTGAATGACGTTTTGGGGAAAATAAAATACGAAAAAAAAAATAAATCCCACTTACTATTGAGTCATTCATTTTGTAGAAATCATTGAAATGTAGAGAATAAACGATAAAGAAGAATAGAATCGCGAATAGCCATACTGAAAAAAAAATAGAAGTGTCTGGGAATTTGGAGTAAGATCAGGAATCAGGCTTGGGTTTCTCTATTTTAACCGCCTGGTGATTCCTCGCCCAAAATCTGAAACTCACATGTAGCAATATATAATCGATATAGTTTCAGTCTGTATTTTTGAAGATAATCGGCAGCTTTTGAACTACAACATTGTGCAATTGAATAGGCTAACCAGGCAAATTGACAGAGGAAAATGATGAGAGCAATGTATTGTGACCAGCAGATTGCTGTAAATTTTGGAGAATTATTTACATTCACAATCAGCAGATTCTATTTTGAACTTTTCCAAAAAAATCAGAGACTTATTGTTACTAGCAATCGATAATTTTTGATAAATATTCGAACAATTTTGAAACCCGGAGATTTTCAAAATTTTCATACTAGAAAAAAATTCAAAAATCGGTTTAAAATGAATTTATTTCAGAATTTTGAATAACTAAACATTTTTGAATTTCAGATAACTTTGTGAGGTTTTTAATTCGATTAAAATCATAACCATCCTATTTCAATTTTGATTTTTCAAAACTCGAAAAACTCACAATCCGATGGCGGTACAATTCCATTGAACGGTCTTGGAAACTTCGATGTTTTATCTTCCAACTCCCAAGGTAAACATTGTAAATTATCATCATCACTAGTAATATTTCTATAACAATCATGACCTCGTATTCCTCTCTGAAAATATTGATTTTTCTAATTCGAGCTGGATTTTCCCACACTAAAGCCGCGCCCAAAAAATATCACCTGAAGTTCACCTAAATCCTGCGCACTTGTCAAAACAATCCAAGCATTATTCGCATATCCAACTGTTGTTAACATTAATGAAGTGACAAGTCCAAACACTGAGAAAACATATGTTAATATTTGTGGACTCGTTTCAACACTTGTTACACTTCCCGGCATTCTGCAAAAATTATTATTAATTTTGAAATAAGGGGTGAAAAAACAGGAAACAAAACAAGAAACATGAAAAAAATCAATACAATTCCCTAGTGGGAAAAAGAGAAGGAATGTGTAAAAGTTTGGAAATATTTGTGAGAATGTCCTCTTATCTGATTTGTAGAGTTTAATGGGATTGTGGGTTGAAAATGAAGATTTCTTTAAATTTTTTAACAGCTTTTTTTTGAAATGAATCATGGGAGATTTTTTCAAGTCCTCAAGTTGTTAGCGCAACTAACAATGATTCACTCGCTAAACTTCTCACAAATTAGAAAAAACAAAACCAAACACAATTTTTGTTGGCTAGCTGGTAAGTAGCAAAAAGAAAAAAAATAAAACAAATAATGAATAAAGCGACGAGGTAGATGGAATAAGAAATGAAGAAAAAAATAATACCTCACTATGAATTGAAATGTGGGAATTTTCGTATTGTCTGCGCAACAAAATCTTCTTTTTCTTCTTTTTCTTATTTTTTATGTTTCTCTGCGTATCTCTTTGTATTGTATTGTATTGTAGAAAATTGTATTGAGAAAAATAAGGTCAAAAAGTTAGTTATTCAACTATGTAGATGAGTCAGGGATTTTAGAAAGGAGAGAAAACTGGTTTGTGAAAATTTTAAAGGTATTTTGGGAGAAAAAGGATACCGCTTTTGTGTTAGCTTACAAAGCGACCTTACACATTTTCAGGAACCATGTTTTTTGTTACAAACAACAAATATAGGGAATTTCTTTATAAGAAATTTCATTCAGAAATTGAAAGGAAAGAGAAATAGCAGTTGTTTTCATTTGAAACATATAGTTTTTTTGTATTGATTGGTTACTGATTTTTTTTATTTGAAACTAGAAAGTTAGAGGAACAATTTTATTTTTCGAATTTTCTCTTAAAAACTTGTCAAAATGAGTTCAAGTGTGAAAACTTACTTAGAATGTATCTCCTTTTCTAAAAGTTTTACAATTTCTAGAATATTTTGAACATCCGGAACAAAACAGAAGAAATTTTCATAGATTCATTTAATTTGAGTAAAAATTAACAATTAGAAATTTCCATCTGCCTATGAAACTATAGGATAATATTTTTTGACCAAACGAAAAAGTATTTTCAATCTTTTTTAGACAAAAAATTAAAAATATTTTTGAATTTCGACGATTATTGCATAGAGAAAATATTAATTTTTTGGTAAATTCTATTTGAAACATTATTTCTACCCAAGACCACCCAAAAAAAAACAAAAAGCAATTTCCACCTGCTTACACTTAACATAAATTGTAAAAAAAAAGAAAAAAAAAAGTAGTAAGTCGCATTAAAAACGCAAGACAATTTTGGTTGCTATAGTAGCCGGAAGAGTCAAGACTGCTTGCTTTTTCTATTGACTCACACAGATATCTCAAGAAGTTTTTGTGTTGATTTCGAAATGTCAATTTTTGTTTGGAAGAAGAAAAAAGAACAAAAAAAAATGAGTGGAGAAGAGAAAAAGGTATGGGAAAAACCAATTCATCTTTTTTTATCTATTCGATCATCAATTGATTGGATATATTAGTTTATTTCAAGGATGCTGTTCTGTTGGGATAAATCATGGAAAACAATGGGTTTTTTAACACATTTGTTTCATTGAAATTCAGATTTTTTTTAAACAATTTGAATTGCTTCCAATCTTGCATTCATCTCGCTTTTTTATTTTTATGAACGTGGTAAAACTATCAAAAATAACACCTCAAATCCAGAGAAAAAAATTAAAAAAAAAAGTTCGGAAGGCGAGGGGAATTGATCCTGCGATAAAAAAACGAAAAACAGAGGCGCTAACCACTCGGCTATGTAGCTGTTCTTTATCTCTGTCAAAAATGTTGTAGAAAAGATATCTGTTGAAAATTGCAACCTGTCTCCTCTTTTGTGATAAGCCCCGCCCACTTTGTATGAAAAAGATAGCGAGTGTCTCCTCCTGTCAGTTGTCGGCGCGCGCATAAATAGAAGAGGGGGAAATAATTCATTCAAACTGATAACTGATTTGTGATAGTATTAACATTTAAAAAAAAAGCCGAAAAAATGTAAGATTGGTTATTGTAATACAATAATCTTTTTTGTTACTGTATTTCGTTACAGTGACAAAAAGATTACTGTATTACAAGAACCTTTCTTGCATCAAACAAAATAGGGGAAATCTAACATGAAATTTTTTAGATTTGAAAAAATTGAATTCGAGAAGTTTGCAAGGAGAAATTCATTATTCTCCCAACACCAAAATAAATTTTGGCCTTCAAATATACGAAAAACTTTTAAAATCGGCTCGTGCTCATTCCACCTACAGTAATACTAGGCTCATTTTCGTCATAAATTTGATTAAACTTTTTTGTGTCTCATCAAAATCTTCATTTTCTTCTGCATAAGCAAACAGACCCTAATTAAATTCTCACTTTCTTTCCCATTTTTGTTTGTATCAAAACAGAATTGATCGAAAATTGCAACAATATATGAACAAGAAAAAAAAAAAAAAGAAAATGATACCAATTACACACTTTTGTTGCAAACCAACAATTTTGGAACTGTACAGAAGACATTTGAGAGAGAGAGAGAGAGAGAGAGAGAGAGAGAAATCGGAGCAGTAAAAATGGATTCTTCAAAAAAAAATCGAGCTAAGTTCGTACCTTTAAGAATTTAAAAAAAATCTAGATTATCGAACACTAACTTTTAGAAAAAAAATCATATCGAGTCTCTCTTGTGAGCTCAACAATCTTCAGACATATCTATCTTCATCCGGTAAGGCCTGGAATTTGTAGAACTGCACCCAGACCTCGGCCATTTCAAAGACTCTCAATACAATACAAAATGAAAACAAAACAAAAAAGAAACAAGAAAGTGTGAAGAAAATGAGCATGTTGCCTTACTCGTCAAATCGACACACACAACATGTCCTAATGAAGAGATTTTCTCTTTTCTTTTTTTTTATTTTTTGGTCATCATCAAAATGAAATAAGAAGAAAAAGAAAACGACGAAGAAGGCGCGAGAAGAAACTGAATTCCCATCTTTTCTTTTGCTTTGACTTTTTTTTCAACTTTATTTTTATTTTGTGTTGGTTGGTTGGAAAAAAGTTGACACAAAGAGAAAGAGGTTGGATAAAAAGAGCATGAATAAATAAACATATTTTTCATTTGAGAACTTGATTTTATTCTTTTGAAACATTTTAATAGAATAAATTTGAAAATTAAAGATTTGGCATATTTGGTTGTTCGACTATTGTTGGAGTTGAGTAGATTGTGTATCCATCACGAATTCCATAATCGCGGAGAAGTTTTGAATCTTCAAGTTTGAGGGCTGGAAATTTCAAGATATAGACAAGATAATCTGAAAAGGTTGGAAGAGGAATTATTGTTTAAAAGATAACTTTATTGTAAACTCCACTGTAGTTAAAGATTTTTTCAAAGGAAAAAATGAACTCACTTCCAAAAATAACCCATTGCATATTGGCTGGAACTGTTGTCAATTCTTCAATTTTTGATTTTGCCTGGAAAAAGTTTTTCTCATAAGGAGATTTGAGATTCAGAATTTCAAATTCACGCAAAATTTTTAAAGAATTTTTCTCGAGCTTTGATCGAAACCAAAATCCCGAACATTTTGGATTTTCAAAGATTTCGGAATTTTTAAATTCTGAATTCGAGTACAAAAATAATTTTAATGCTGAACTTTTTTTCACTAACCTCAGCAACAGTCGCATTATCTCCAAGTTCCAAATCCACAGTATTCCCAGCCAATTTTCTAGTTTTGTTATAAACAATAGCTTTGATATGCCTGAAATTTCAAAAATTTCGAAGAGAATTTTTATTTTGAAAATGCGAACTCACATTTTAAAATGTCGAGAGAAAGAAATAATGTGCCAACATCTCAAATGTCTCCATTTTTATAGGAACCAAATAATTGGGTACATTTATTTTTTGCTCAAAATTTTTGTGCACTTCATGAATAACAATTTTCTTATTAATGTTTCTAGAAAATTCTAGACTCTGGTAGAATTTTCTGGAAATGAAACCCAAAATATAGTCTTATACTGTTTATTTAATTATTTATTCATGAAAAACCGTAATCATCTAAAAAAAACCGAAAATTAAAATAAATAATTGACTAGGAAAGCTACAAAGATTGTGAATACAGCTGAAATTTGAGAAGTTCCAGAAGTTGTTGTCGAAACTGGTGTGGTAGTTGTGGTGCTTGATTTGGTGGTTGAAGCCGAACTGCTTGGTGCAACTGTGGTTGTTGTTGTTGTGCTCGAAACAGTAGATGATGCACCAGATGGATTGACAGTAGATGGATTGGATGTCGCAAGAGGTCCCTCATTTTGTTGAGTGAATTGCGCGAGAAGTGGTTGTCTTTGCATACTGAATGTTACTGAAGTATTGTAATTTGGTTGTCCGTGAACGAAATTATTGATTGTTTGAAGAATTGGTCCTGGTCTATCAGTTGGAACCATATGTCCAGCTCCTTTAACAGTCAATAAATCGATAGTGAGATTATTCTTTTGGAATTTCTGAACATATCCTCCGATTTGGTTTCCATACATCCATCCAGCTCTTGGTTGATTTGAAACAAAATTGTTAGAAATCGCGAAATTATTGACCATTCCTTGCGCTTCAAACATACTACAAACTGTATCAACATCACCGTTGTAAATCAGAACTTTCAGATTGTATCCAGAATTGAGAATATCAGTGAAAATTTGAGTTGTATCATTATACAAGTTCGCATAATTGAGCTCATTGCAGAATCCCCATTGTTGAACAAAATCTGGAATATGAAGAGCATCTCGAACATGTGACAAACTCAAATAATTTGAGATTGCTGCAAATTGCCAGCATGAATAACCGCCATTCGCATCAGTTGAAAGAGGATCAAGGAATGAATGTTGAAGTGTGGCTTGTGGGATGGTTTGCATAATTCTTCTTTCAATTTCAAGGCGAGACACTTGTGCGTCAATTTTACTGAATGCACTTCCTTGTCCACTTGGGGTAACATAACAATCTTGATACAAATTGTATTGATCGTACCTAAATGTATTTAGGGTAAGTTGAATTATTTCTAAAAATGAATCAACTCACATTGCTCTCCAATTTCTATCATAAGAAAGTTGTTCAACCAAATTGGCACAATTTTGAAGAGTTTGGTTATCTGGATATTGTTTGGCTTTGACGTTGACACCGGAATCAATAGTAATGTATTGATCGTATTTACAATCGTATGAACTATCATCAGCTGGGCAGCATGCGCGAAGTTTTTCCCATTGTCTGAAAATATATTTGAGGATATATGTGGAAAGGAGAACTCACGGTTTATCATAAATTCCATGGAAGTAGAGGAAATCTGGGAGGGTTCGAACATCGTTAACAGCACTGACTAAACCGTTTCCGATTGAGATACCGCGAAGTTTGATGTTTGATTGACCGGACTGGAATTTGAAGGTTTTTTGTCACACTGGGATCTCAAAGCTTACTTGAATACGATTGATCAAAACTCTTGTCAAAGTTGGAACATACACTCCACCATATGATTCTCCAGCAATATAAACTTCAGCATTACGATGTGGTGGATAAGCAGCAAAGAAATCATCCAAAGCCAACGCAGTATCCAAAGCAGTCTTGTCATCATTCCAAGTTGTATCATTATTCACATTCTTATCTTGATAAGAATATCCAACTCCACGTGGCGAATCGATAATCAAAAGATGTGCAGCTTTGTTCCATGAATAGATATTTTCGAAAAGTGTTTCACCATCTGGATTAACAAAGAATGGTCCGACTTCTCCGAAGAATCCTCCAGTTGAAGCGCAACCTGGTCCACCTTGAAGCCAGAGAATGATTGGATCGCTGTCACTTCCACTTTGTGATTCGGCGAACCAGTAGTACAAATAGTTTCCTGGGGATGCTTGGAGATAACCAGAATGTTGTGCGAAGTTCACATTCCATGTTGCTCCAGGAAGTTGGAAGATATGATCAGCCTTTCTTCTTGGCACTGAAAATAAATGAAATAGTTGTTTAGATATGAAATCCGAGAGAAGTACACAAATGTGTGCGATAGAGCAAACTTGGTTCATCCGTTTTTTTTTCATAATGCAAATTCTTGTCAATCAAAGAAAATTGTTTACCTGTCACCGGAGCTGATTGATATTGAGAAAGAAGTGGTTTTCTTGAATAATCCAAAGTCAAATTGCGATTATAATCAAATTGATTAACAAAGTTGTAGATCATTTGAAGAGCTGGTCCAGGTCGATCTTGTGGCACAAAATGTCCAGCACCTTTAACAGTAACTTGATCAATAACAACAACTCCAGCAGCATTCTTTGGATTTGTGTAAGTGAATTGTTTCCAATATCCTCCAACACGTGGCAAATATTGTCCTTGTGTGTAATTCCATGGAGCGTGTTGTTTGGTAACAGCCATATTGTTATCAGAAGCCAATTTTTCGATGAACCATTGATCTCCGAGGAATTGACAAGCCATGTCAACATCACCGTTGTAGATCAAGAATCTGAGTGGGTAAGCTGACGCGAAAATATCTTGGAAAACTGGAGCGGTATCATTGTTTTGTTGGATGTAGTTTTCATTCATCACAAGATTACAATCAGTCCAATATGGAACTTCGTTTGGAATATGGATAGCTGTTCGGACTTCTGGAAGATTCAAATAACTTTCAGCTGTGGCTCCGGAGAAGCATGTGAATCCTTGATTGGCATCAGTTGATTGATAATTGATTTTTTTCTGGAAAAATGATTTGGTAAACGTTTTTGTCTAGAAAAATACAAACTTACAGCTTGATCAACGAATAATTGCGATGGGAGAAGTGGTGAGACATCTCTCTTTGACCTTCTGTTTTGAACTCGTTTGATTCCCTTGGTGATCTCAGAGAGTTTGGAATCGGAAGCAGATGGAGTAACGTAGCAATCAGCAAAAGTGTTGTAAACATCATTGCTAAAAAAACACCGAATTTTCAAAACCCGAAATTCAAAAATTTCTCACTCTGTAGTCCAAACATCAATCTGCCCTTGTTGCACAGCAAGTTGTCCACATTGTCCAGCCAATGAATTATCATTAACCTTTGGCCAAGCATTTCCAGCAGTATCGATATAATAATACTGTGAGAAATCGCAATAAGCTTGAGTGGTTGTGTTGTCACAGCATTTTGAAATCGCATCCCAATCACTCTTATCATGTTCACCGCGGAAATATGTGAGTGAAACGGCCGAGTTGATTTGTTGAATTGCAGAGAGTTCACCGTTTCCGATTGCGACTCCGACAAGTTTGACGTAGGAAAGAGCTCCAGACTGGAAACATTACAACATTTTATGATAAACTTATTCTAGATCATCGACTCACTTGAATACTGTTGATCAAAGCGCGAGTCAAAGTTGGAACATAAACTCCACCATATGATTCTCCAGTGATGTAGAAATCACGTCCTTTGTACTCTGGGAATCTGTCGAAGAAATTCGCGAGAGCCAAAACAGTGTCAGAAGCTGTCTGAAATTAGTTAATTGATCTACAGTTCCAGCCCAAAGCACTCACGTAAGTATCGTTGTACATGGTGTCCGCAGGAACATCGTTACTTCTGTATGAGAATCCAACATCTCTTGGGGCTTCCAAGAACAAAACATTTCCGGCTTTGTTCCATGAGAATTGATTTTCAAACAAAGTTGCACCATCTTGATTGACGTGGAATGGACCGAGTTCCTCGAAGAAACCTCCGAGAGATGAACATCCTGGACCTCCATTAAGCCAGAGAATCAGAGGATCATAAGTAGCATTTAATTGTGATTCAACAAGCCAGTAATGCAAATAATTTCCAGAAGACGCATTAAGATATCCGGAATATTGAGCGAAATTTGGTGTGAATGTTAATCCTGGAAGATTTGTGATCAAATCTTGGGCTTTGGTTTGAACTGGTGGTGGTGGAATAGAAGCGCGTTCAGCCAAGTTCTCTCGGGCAACACGAGATCTTGAAACACGATTGACTTTGGCGTGAACACGATTTCCATTATGAGTCATAGTCATTCCAGTTGTTGAACGATTCAAAGATGCTGCAAGTTGTTCAGCTACCAAATATGTGGTTTTCAATGGATGAAGTGTGGTATCAATAACTGTTGGATTACTATAATCTTGATTTCTAAAGAAGTTTGCAATCATTTGAAGAGCTGGTCCTGGTCGATCAGTTGGAACCATATGTCCAGCACCCTTCACTGTCAAAAGATCAATCGTGAATCCTGCTTGGTTATCGAATTTCTTGGCGTAACCAGCAATTTGAGTCTGGTATCTCCAAGCATCTCTTGGTTTAGTAACAGGGATTTGATTCTTGGTTGCCAATGCTTCAATAAACCATTGATCTCCCAAATAATTACAAGCCTGATCGACGTCTCCGTTGTAGATCAAAACACGAAGTGGATATCCGGAATCAATCATATGTTGGAAAACAGAAGTTGTGTCATTGTGTTGTTGAACGTAAGCTCCGTTGACAGTATCATTACAAGCTGACCAATCTCCAGCAGCTGAAGAAACATGAAGTGCAGATCGAACATCTGGTTGATTGATCCAAGTGGCAGATTGAGATGTTGCGTAGCAAATGAATCCTCCTTGATTGTCAGTTGAAGATGTTGAAACTTTAGCTCCTTGATCAATGAATCCTCTGATAAGACGTTTCTTTTCAGCAATTGGCATTCTTGATCCAAAAGCTCTGTCGGATTGCTCATAACAATCTTGGTAGATATTATAGACATTGTTCCTATAATTTATGTAGATTATTATTTTTTTAAATGTATTTCTAGAACTCACAATGAATTCCAGAATCTTTGTTGTCCCAAATCAGCAACCTTGTTAGCACAGAAAGAATTATCGATTGGATTGGCTGAACCACTGGTGTCGAGATGAATATATTGTGAAAAATCACAATATTCGAACCATTGAGCATTGGCTTTAGTTTGATTGCAGCATTGTTGAAGTGAGTCAAAATCGCTGAAAATATTGCTATAGGTTCCTAATTCAAAAAAAAACTCACTCTTTGCTGAAAAGCCCGTGATAATATCCCATCATGATAGCTGAGTTGAATTGTTGAATCGCAGAAAGTTCTCCATTTCCGATTGACATACCAACCAAATTCAATTGTGGGAAATCTCCAGACTGAAAGTATTTTTTTTTGAGGTTTTTAGATTCAGCCGAGAAACCCACTTGAATTTTGTCGATGAGAAGAGAGGTGATTGTTGGAACATAGACTCCACCATAAGATTCTCCAGTGACAAAGAATGGGCGGTTGATGTATTCTGGGAATACGGTCAAGAAATCTTTCAATGCCAAATATGTGTCAGTGGCGGTCTGAAAATTTTTTTTGATTGTCAAGTGGCCGAATTGAAATTTTTTAATGTGCTTCAAAAATTCATATCAAATTTCAGATAATTTTCAGATTCTAAAACGTTTGGTCAAAAAATCAATATTGCCAAGACACTGATTCAGAAGTCAGAAAAAATGTTTGGCTAATTCCAAAATCGGCCTTATGGTATTTAACTTACTCTAGCATCATCCCAAATCGTATCATTATTCAAAGTAGTATCTTGAACAGAGAATCCAACACCTCTCGGCGATTCCAAGAACAAAACATTACCCGCTTTGTTCCACGAGTAAACATTTTCGAAAAGTGTTTTACCATCTTGATTTGGATGGAATGGTCCTAATTCAGAAAGAAGAGCCAAAAGACCAGAGCAACCTGGACCTCCGGTAAGCCAAAGAACTAATGGATCAGTCGATGGATTGCCTTGTGATTCAACAAACCAGTAATGCAAATAGTTTCCGGTAACACCATTCAAATAACCCGAATATTGTTTGAAGTTCAAACCGTATGTGACGCCAGGTAAGTTCCAAACGCGATCAGCTTGTTTGCGAGTGACTGAAAAATTTTTGTTTCATTTTTTTCTTAGGAGCGTCTTTTTTTAAATAAAAAACTGCTGATAAGAAAAAAATTGAATGTAATCTTTCGTGTAATATGATTATGATAAATGAAATATCATCAAAAATGACGCTCACAGGTTTTTTGAGGAGGTGCAACATATTGTGAGCGAAGTGTAGTTGGAACCAAACTGAATGGAGCAATATTATTATAATTTGTTTGATAGATGTAGTTGTAGAACATTTGAAGTGATGGTCCTGGACGATCCATTGGAACCATATGTCCAGCTCCTTTAACAGTCAATAAATCAAGAGTGAAATTATTGTATGACCAGGATTTCACATATCCAGCCAAACTTGTTTGATAGGCAGCGCTTCTGGTGTAGTTCCATTGTTCACGAGCTCTTGTCAATGTCATCTAGAAGAATTTTTTAATTAATTCTGCAGATTTTCATTTCATCTAGAACTCACTGTGTATTGTTTGTTGGCCAATTCTTCAATAAACCACTGATCTCCCAAATAATTGCAAGCCAGATCAACATCTCCATTATAAATCAAAGTTTTGAGTGGATAACCAGAATCAACAAGAAACTTGAAAACTGGTGTAAGATCTGGTGTTTGTTGAATATAATAAATTCCATTTATATCATCACTGCATTCTTGCCAAGCTTGAACATTGTCTGGAATGTGGAGAGCTTGTCGAACATCCGATCTTTGCAAGTATGTAGTTGTTGAATCATCAACATAACATGGATAGGAATTGAGAGCATCGGTTGAGCGACTGTTGCGAAGAGACTGAAACAAATTTAGTTAACCTATTGGCAGTGATGGAATTTTTTTAAAATTTAAATAACCGAACTTACTCCTTGATCAATGAATGGATTCGATCCGGTACTGAAGAGATTGTATGCTGATTGAGCAGTTGCTCCCATTGATGCTTTGAACAATTTTTTCATAACTTTTTTGTGGATCTTGTCGTGAAGTTCTTCAGAACTGTATGCACTTGGGTCGTAGCAATCTTGATATGAGTTATAAACATCGTTGCTGAAAATAGAACAAGGTTTTTATAAGCATCCAAAAATTAAGGGGATTTGAAACTTTCAAGTATGATTTTCAAAAATTCTGCCCGGTCCGCTTACTTACTATGTTTCCCAAACACCATTCAATGACAAATCAATAACAGATTTGGCGCAAGCAACTTGAATCGGATCATTTGTATTGTTCAATGGAATTGGATTTCCCCAATTATCAAATGTGACAAATTGTGAGAAATCACAATCAACAAGTGGTCCTTGCGGTGTATCCGGACAGCATTGACGAAGAGTTGCCCATTGATTGTTTCCGAGCATTCCACGATAATAGAGAAGATCGATGGCTGAGTTGGTGAGTTGTTTTCTGCTCAATGCTCCGTTACCAACAGCGAATCCTTTCAAGTTGATGAATGGAGTGGTACCATTCTGCAAATCACATCAGGTTTTAAATAGTAAGAGAAAATTCACTCACTTGAATCAATTGAACAACAAGTTTGGTCAAAGTTGGAACATAAACTCCACCATAAGATTCTCCAGTGATATAAAAATCACGTCCTTGATATTCTGGAAAACGCTGGAAGAATTGAATAAGCGCCAAAGCATTATCCAAAGCTGTTTTGTCATCATTATACAATGTATCATTTCCATATTGATTTGAATCGCGATATGAGAAACCGACATCTCTTGGAGCTTCGAGATATAAAATATTGGCAGCTTTGTTCCATGAATTGACGTTTTCAACGACAGTTGCACCATCTTCCAAAACTCTGAATGGACCATTTTCAGTCATCAAACCGAGCACAGATGAGCATCCTGGTCCACCGTTCAACCAGAGAACTAATGGAGCCCATGCTGGGGAAGATTGAGCTTCGACGAACCTGAAAAAATGTACTTGACCCCTCATTCCATTTTAATTTTGGATGATGAACAACCAACTTAGAAATGATGAAATTTTTTGATAAGAGTGTGTGTTGAACATAGATAATAAGCCTATCTTCATTTCATATTCGTACTTTTCAATTATTATCTGTGTCTTACAAGAGCTTAACGTTGGGGAAAAAAAGTGGAAAATGATAAAGAAATTTTCAAAGATGAGGGTTTAGAACTAAAAATATATCAAACTGAACTTATGTAATTTAAAAATTCAATTTCTTGGAACTTTCGGTTAGAAGTCCAGACGTATACTTTCACTAATCAATAAAAAACTAACCAGTAATGAAGATGATTTCCTTGTGAAGCATCCAAAAATCCAGAATATTGTTTGAAGTTTGGTGTGAATGTCAAACCAGGAAGATCAGTAACCAAATCGCTCGCTTTATCAGCTATCAAAACTGATGGTGCAGCCAAAACGGCTGCTGCTATCAAAAGCAACAGTCCAATTATGGACTGCGGTGTCTTGAGCATTGTGCACAAGAAGCAGAATGAAGTTTGTTGTTATCAGATTGCTCTTCACGCGCGACACAAAAAACTCCGCCCATGCTGCCCCTGAACTGTACTTTGTTTTAGTTTGAACGAGGAGTCGTGGCGGGCAGAAATCAAATTTTGTGTTGTGTATAGAAAGGAGAGTGCCCACATATTTTTATGAGGTGTGCAATTTGATTCATCATGACACTTTTTGGGATTTTATGGATATTAAAACTGGTTTTTTTGCAATAAAAAATTTCAAATTCTACCTGGAAAAACATCAGAATAATAACTTCTTGTAAGAAACCAATGGAGTTATTTTTGACACAACTTAAAAATATTAAATTTCATATGTACATTTGATCTCAAACCATAGACTTCATATTGTTTCAATGTGTTTCAGGAAAACTTCGAGAAATACATTCTCAAACCGGATGTTTTTGGTGTTGTGAGAAAAGAAAACAAAAATGAGAAAAACGAAAACTCTAAAATATTTGTGGTATATCGTGAGCCCAATTTCAGAAAAAAATATATATTCAAATCTTTACAAAAAGGGAAGGGTTCTCAAAATTGAAAAAAAAGAAAAAAAAATTGAAAAAAACCCTCGTTTGAAAATGAAAAATTTTTAGAGAAAAAGAAAAAAAATTAAAAAACCCTCGTTTGAAAATAAAAAAAATTGCCGCGATTGTGTGAGCGCAGTGTCACGCGGAGTCTCGTTGTTTTACTTTTACTTTTTTTGTTTGTAAAAAACCTAGATAAACCGGATAAAAAATCGGAAAAATCTTATCGAAAAAAACTTTTCAGTTTTAAAAGTTGTCTATTTCTTTTCTTAACAAAACGTTATTTTTGAACAGCCTGGTTACTAAAACTTTCTATTTTTTTTTCTTTTTTATATCAAATTCACACCAGAACAGTACACTTCTTTCTCAAATATGTATTTTGAACAAACGCCAATTTGTTTCTCTAATCTCCCATCATATTCAACCAGATGCAAAATCATTGACACGTTCCATTCAGTAAACCAAAAAACCAAAAACCATCATATTGCGTTTCTCAAAAAAACAATTTCCCTCATTAAGATGACAAATCGAGATGCTCAAATATATTTGTTTGTTATCAGTTATCATTATAAATCAAAATTATTAGTTTTACACAAGACATTTCGTCATTTTACCTTGGATGGTGGGAGAAACAATGATAATAATTGAAATATTTTGTTTGAACTTTTGAAGGGTGTCAGTGAGAAACGAAACTAATCTCTCACAAGGTATTGCAACCTTTTCTAACAAGTTATTTCCTTAAAATGTTATGAATTATTTCAGCAATGCTGATAAAAACACAGAGCACAGAGTATATTTTTACCAGTAAATCTTCTCGCATTCCATATCTAAATTTTCGTTCTGAAAAAAATACAGTCATAATTATTTATTTAATCAAAAATAAAAAAACAACATTAAACTTTGAGATCGAAAGTATCCTTAACTCGATGGAAAGCTAAAAAGTGGAGTACTTTTACACTTCAAAGATGCTTTCAAGCATGGTTCAAATGAGAAAAATAAAATAAAAAGATAAATCATTATTTTCAAAGCGTTTGCAAATGTGGCACGGAACAGAAACTTGACATCAATCCAAGGAAGATCGTGAATTTTATTGGACATCCAGAAGTAATTTATCTGAAGGAACAACTATTGAATTTTACGCGTAAAGAAAGTTTTACCAATGTATTTGTAGCGGGTGTTATGAATTGTAGGTCAAACAAGCGGAGAGTTGAGTTTTTGAATTTCTCAAGCTGAAATAAAAAATTTTTGATTCAAATATCATATCGGATAATCAAAAATATACCTTGAGATTAACAAAACTACATATAAAATATGTGATAATAAAAGGAATTTGAAGAAAAATGAGAAAAGTGAGTGATATCATATTGTGAAGCCATAATATGAAACAATAAAGTGCAAGGAGCAAATATAGAATATTGATGATTGGCATTTTGTTATTCAACACATTCAAGCAAACAATAATATCCTATAATTTTATTTAATGATTAGTTAGCAAAAAACTTACTCACTCACCTTCATTTTCAAAGCTAAATTTTCATATTCAGTTCTCCCATTGCATTTATCAAGAAATTTTCGAATTTCGTGCAAACGTTCTCCAAATCGAAATGTTATGTTTGATAAAATCACAAGAGATATCAATAATCTAACATGGATTATTATTGAAACTATTGTTAGAATGATATCATAAACTGAAGCTTCTTTGGAAAATTGAAGTTGAACTGTCAGCAAAATCAAAATTATTCCAAATATTATTTGAGCAGCTATAGTTATTGTTCTGGAAATTGTTACTTCTGTGCTTGAAAGTACCCCTTGCATGGATTAATTTTTCTTGGTGACATTAATTATTTTTCAGCCGTGTCCAGGTGTTTTTGTTAATCCGCTTAACATACCTCATTTCATTTCTCTTTTTTATCCAAAAAAAAACACACATTTCCATTTTCTTTTACAGCTGAACATCATTTCTCGTCTCATCTCATTACCATTTACACGACCCAATCTAAGCCAATCTAATTTTCCTCTACCAAAAATAATGTCTTTCATTATTCTTCCTAAAAGGGTGATTTTTTTTTCGTTAATGTTTATTTTTGTTTGTGGTTTTTGATCATTTGCTCTTTTTTTGTGGAAACCTCACCTTTTAAAAGTTGCTCGATAACTTTGTTGATCTAATGGTGACTCAAAAAATCTTGACATTTCACCGCGTGTTATACTTGTTAGTGACCAGCAGGTGCAATGTGATATTATTGAAAGTCCTGGAATTTTTTTAGGAAATAGAGAAAAGAGCGGTGATTAAGTAACTCATTAGTTCATTCATGAACTTTTAAAGAAAATATTCTTTGGGCGTTTCAAAAATGTGATATTTTTGATCTACCAGGAATAGTTTCAAACATTTTGAGTTCTAGAAATTTGGGGTAGAAGAATTATTCATCTAGATTCTGACACCTCAGCAAATCAACTCATTTTCTCTCTTGAACTCACCGAATGTAATATTCCTTGACGCCCAAAACTCTTTCGGAAAAATCAAAATACTATAAACAACATGAAAAATCCCAAAAACACTCAAAAGCACAATATAAATCGAATTTTTTGCCAAATATAAAAACGTCACTCGAACCACAATCTCCGTCAAATTTTGTTCTTGATCTACTTTCAAACCCTGAAAAAAATCCCTTGAACCTATCGATCTTTTGATAAAAAACTAACTTTGAATCGACACGAACATTTTTTCCCAAAAAAATTGGATAGTTTTTTGAAATTGTTAGGCATAACAAAAAACAAGAATAATAACAGCGAGAAAGGACCTTTTTTTATTATTTCCCAATACCGGAAGTGTGCTATTTAACCCATGCTCATGATTTTCGTCGTTTTTTTCTACTCACAAAGATTCACACAAACAAAAAAAAATCTTTCCAGACATATCTATTCGTCATACCCTTTAATTAAATGTAAAAGTCTAATTATTTTTAATGAAAATGTTGGATTTTTCCACACCATCCCACGAGTTTTTGCTATTTTTAAACTTATTTTTTATTCCAAACTCTTTGCATTGACATTTCCCCCAACAAAAAACGCGTTACTCCATGTAATTCAGAAGAAAACGCGCTCTATTGAACAATATCACAGGGACTTTCCCATATGTTTTTCTCTGCGCTCTCTCGAAATGTCACAAACAGCTGTGAATGTTTGAATTTTTTTCGCGCGCACGCTCGTTTGCCTGAGTATCATTCATTATTGAGATTAGCAGGCAATTTTTTTCATTTCTTGAGAGAAAGAAATGACAGATATTTTTTCTCTTGTTTTTTTTCTTCAATTAAATAAAATGAAAAATAATTTCGAAATTTTTTCAGATGGATTTGAATGAATTGCATGGTTTGGTTTCGAATTTCACACATGAAAATAATGAAATTCGAAATGCTGCCGAGGAGAAATACAAGTTATATTCGGCAGAAGTTCGATTTGTTGGACTTTGTCAACTTCTCAGTTTGGAAATCAATGATGATGTGAGTTTTTTTTTGATTGGAATAAGCCTTATAGGTTCCCAAGTTCTTCTAACTCTGATCAAGTTCCAAGAAGAATTTTTATGAACGTAGATAAGGTTCTTACACATATAGTGAAGCTGTTCAGGCTCTACCAGTTTTGATTTTTCAAATATATTTTTTTCAGGCCAAAGTCATGTCATTGGTTTTGATTCGTCGATTAGTGGCAAGCGAATTTTGCAGTTTCTGGCCAAACATTGATGAAAACACACAGCAAGCTATTCTCCAAATGTTGATTCAACTTGGTTCAAGTGATATTAGTCTTCCAGTTCGAACAAAACTGATTTTGGTTATCGGACAAATCGCTCATGAATTTGTTGATGAAGAGACTAGTGTACAGAAATGGAGAGCTGTTATTGATTTTCTGTCGTTTTGCGCACAATCAAATGATATCAATTTCAAATGTTCAGCTTTGCAGTTAATCGAAGCTTGTGCAGATATTTTTGGAGCTGATTTGTATAATTATTTGCCAGCGGTCAAGAGAGTTTTTGAAGAAGGATTAACACATGAATCCACAAAAGTTCGTGTAAATGCTGTCAAAGCGTTGGTTGCACTTCTAATTGATTATGATGAAGATGATCAAGTTCTCAAACAACTTCAATCTCTTGTCCCAGCTATAATCGATATTTGTGTTCATGTTGTGAAAACTGACGAAGACGATGATTCTGCTCTTCAATGTTTGGCTGATCTTGCCGCAACAATTCCAAAATTGTTGTATCCACATATCACGACACTTTTCAATACTTGCCTTGAGATCGCAAGAAACACTGAAGTTTCTGAGTGCTTCAGAAGTTCTGCATTGGAAAGTATTGTTGCGTTTATTGAATCGGCGCCGAAAACTACAAAGAAACATCAAGCACTTTTGCCAGCTGTTGGTGAGTTTCAAATGAATTTTTTTTTGATATTAATAAAAAAAAAATCAATAAAAATTTTCCAGTGAGTTGTTGTCTCGCTATGATGACTGAACTTGAAGATGAATTGGAAGAGTGGTTGACTTCAACAGATGAAGATGATGAAGATGCTGAAGAAGTTGCGATGACTGGAGAATCATCACTTGATCGAATCGCTTCAGCGCTTCCTGGAAATGTTTTCTTGCCACATTTTCAATCAGTTGTGGTTCGATTGAATGCTGATGGTTAGTTGAGGGTTCTTCTTCTCATAAACAATTTGATTCTTACAGGTGATTGGAGATCAAAACATGCGATGCTTCGCTCAATCTCAACAATCGGTGAAGGATGTCGTCGTCAAATGGAAGCTAAAATCGATATGTATATGAAAGTCATCTGTCCTTTCTCAAAACATCCACATCCAAGAGTCAGATATGCTTGTTGTAACGCGATCGGACAAATGAGCACTGATTTCTCGCCGAAGATTCAGAAAAAATCGCATGCAACAATTGTGCCAGCTATTATAACATGTTTGGAGAATTTGGAAGTTCCAAAAGTTGCATCACATGCTGCATCAGCACTTATTAATTTCTGTGAAGGATGCCCACAGAATATTATGTCTGGATATTTACCAATGATTATGAAAAAATTGACGGGAGTCTTGGAAATCTCATTCCAACAATTGAGCAATAAACAAATGAAAGAGTTGGTTGAACAAGTTGTAACTGCAATCGCTTCAGTCGCCGAATCAGCTCAAGAACTCTTCAAAACTTATTATAGTGATCTTATTCGACCATTGTTTTTTATTTTGGAAAAAAGTGATAATCAAGAATCGAAAGAATTACGAGGAAAAACCATCGAATGCATCACATTTATTGGAAGTGCAGTTGGAAAAGAAATGTTCCACGCGGATGCGATTCAAATTATGAACATGTTATCCACAGTTTTTCAAACTATGAGTGTTGAAGATACAGAATATATGTATATGATTAGCTCATGGACAAGATTTTGCACAATTTTGGGAACTGATTTTGCTCCGTTTTTGCCGATTGTTATGCAACCTGTTATGAGAGCAGCTACTTACAATGTGAGTTTTTTGAAGGGGTTTAGGAAGTTTGAGCCTGATCGGAATCGAAATTTCGGAATTCCGAACAGTCCTGAATTCAGAATCCAAAACAAATTTCATTTTTAATTTCAGGTTGATGTTGGAGTAATTGATAGTGAGGAAACATCTACCAGCAACGAATATTCATACACTGATATCGGAAATGGAAATGTTGTTCGACTTCGAACAACTGGAATTGAAGAAAAAGCGACAGCTTGTGATATGCTTGTTTGCTATGCTCGTCACATGAAAGAACATTTCATTCAATATGTTGGACCAGTCACTGAAGCTATGCTCAAAAACTTGAACTTTGTTTTCAATGATGGAGTGAGAACATCATCAGCTGAAGTTATGGGTGCACTTATTGATTGTGTTTCGATTCAAGGAGTTCAAGCTCAACAAAATCTTGCCAGTCTTTTCATTCCGGCTTTGAAAGAAGCAATCATGAAGGAGAATGATATTGAAGTTAGCGGAGAATTTATTGGAGTTTTGTCTGGTATTATTGGAAGTCTCAAAACTGAAGGGCTCACCCAAAGTTATGTCTCGGATTTTGTTGAACTCATTAACCACGAAATGCAAAACTATATTGAATTCAAAGTCAAGTATGATGCTAGTGAAGATGATGAAGAAGATACCGCATCAAATGATGATCTTGAGATGTTTTCCTCATATCTGGCACATATTTCCGATTTTATTCATTCACTTTTAAAATATACAAAAGGAACTGTTTATAGTTCATGTCAATCGCTTTTCACAATTTCGATGAGTCTGATTCAATCTCAAAAAACTTATTTTGAGCGACAATGGGGAATTTGTATATTGATTGATTTTATCGAATTCGTTGATGTGGTGAGTAGATCAAATAAAATCACTAAAATATTTTATTGTTTTTCAGAACATTGGCGAAATCTTCCCAACAATCTTCCAATGTCTCCGATCACTTTTAATCGATGAATTCGCCGAAGTTCGTCAAGCTGCTGCGTATGGAATCGGAGTTCTCTCCGTAAGATCGCATGTTTCACCAATGTATATTCAAGAAGCTATCCAATCAATACCAACTTTAATCAGTGTTATTGAAGCTAAAGAAGCTCGTGGAACTATGTTGGGTATTACTGCAACAGAAAATGCAATTTCTGCAGTCGTCAAAATTTTGCAAAATGAGAATACACCAACAATATATAATTCTGATGATGTTGATGCACGATTTTCGAAATGGCTTCCAGTTTTTGAAGATAAGATGGAAGCAATCTTCACATATAACTATTTTTATAAACTTTATACGCAGAAAAATCAACTGTTTTTCGGGCCAAACAATACGAATCTCCCGAAAATTCTATCATGTGGTAAGAGAAATTTAAAAAAAAAACTTGTAAATAATTTTTACATTTTGCAGCTTTGATTGCAATGACAATGGAAAATTTCGAAGACAGCGAAGGAGTTGTGATCAAAAATCAGATGCTGGAAATTGTCAAGGATATGTATCAAAATAGTCCACCCGAATATTTCCAGTCAATTGTAGAAAGCGCCAAATTAAATGCGAATCAACAAGCGATGTTGCAGAAAATCTTCCAATAATTTCTTCCAAAAGTTATTTTTCAATCTCATTTGTACCATATTTGAAACTCTGGGACTTCCAACACCCCTACTTATTTGTTATTTTTCCACCAATTCATATCTTCTATTTATGTTTTTGTCTAATAAAAATAACATTTTATTTTTAAATTATTTATCCAAATATGTAAGTAACAAAAATTCTAAAGATTAGCTGGTAAAACTTTTCCGCGGCATGGTCCAAATCCGATTCTTACTCCATTCTTATCACAAGTTCCAGACAAATTGACTTCATCACCATCCTTGAGGAATTTTCTGACTTGATTTCCAACTGGAATCTCTTTAGCTCCTCTCCACGAAAGTTCCAACATTGAACCGTAAGCTCCCTCTTCTGGTCCAGAGACTGTTCCAGATCCCATAAGATCTCCAGCACGAATGTTACAGCCGTTAACAGTATGATGGGCGAGTTGTTGTTTCAAGGTCCAGTAGAGATGCTGAAAAAAATAATCTTATTGAAACGGATCCTGAAAATTTATAGATATAGATTACCTTGAAGTTGGTTTTGCAAACAACATGATCTTCAGCATCATCTTCTGGCTTGATACTAACAGCTAATTCAATATCAAGTGTGAAATTATCAGAATGATGAAGATATGCTGGTGGAATTGGATCTTGCACTGGATTCTCAACAAAATATGGGCGAAGTGCTTCAATTGTGACAATCCACGGTGAAATAGTTGTTCCAAATGATTTTGCCAAGAATGGACCAAGTGGAACATATTCCCATGCTTGAATATCACGAGCACTCCAATCATTCATCAAAACAACACCGAAAATGCGATCTTCAGCTTTTTCAATTGGAACTGAAGTTCCTAATGGATTTTCTTGACCGCCGACAAAGAATGCCATTTCTAATTCGAAATCGACTAATTTAGACGGGCCGAATGATGGTTCAGTGGCTTCTGGGGCTTTGGTTTGACCGACTGGGCGGTGGAGAGGGGTACCTGATACAACGACTGATGAGGCTCTTCCGTGATATCCAACTGGAAGCCATTTCCTGAAATTTTCAGTTACAAACATCTGAAACTGGAGACCTATGCAAAAAGATTTCTTACCAATTTGGCATCAAAGCATTTTCCTTTCCTCTGAACATGATTCCAACATTTGTGGCGTGATAAATCGATGAATAAAAATCAGTATAATCTCCGATTTGTGCTGGAAGATGCATTGTGACAGAAGATTGTGGGATAAGAGCACGAGCGCGAAGATCAACATTTCCTTGAATTGTTTGATTTGTGGAAGAGAGAAGATCTTGAAGTGTTGCGCGAGCTTCAAGCCAAGCAGCACGTGGGAGAGCCATAAAGGCGTTCAAAGTTGTGCTTTGGAATACATTTTGATGGCTGGCTAATTGTGGGCCGTTGAAGAGGTGAGAGATTACGGAGAGGTCGAGAACTTGATCTCCGATGGCAACTCCGATTCGATGAGTGGTCTGGAAATTTGACGAATTCAGGAATTTTGAAAATCAAACTCGAGAAATCGGTTTTTCAAAAAAACCTGGCCTAATTCCATCTAATTTTTCTTTTAACAAAGTTTTGAAAAACTCACATTATCAGCTGTCGAGAAAACACCATATGGCAAATTTTGAATTGGAAAATCTGATCCACTTGGAACAGTTACAAATGTGCTCATTTTCACTCTGCAAACACAATTTAAAAAAAAACTCTTCTCAATGAAAAAAAAACACAAACAAAAAATCAGACAACGTGTATGGCGTTGAAATGGAGAGGAGAGAAAAAGACAGTTGACCAAGGTCGACGCTAATAAAAATGCGGTGTAGTTGCAAAAAAGAGACAAAAATAGGGAGAGAGTGAGATAACCATTTTATATGTATTGGTGGAGTTTTGATAAGTTTTGCCAATTATAATCATATGAAAATAATGGAGAGATTGAGAGAATTAGAGAAAGATAAGAATAAAGTTAGGTTATGATGTAATACCCCACGTGCATGGTTTTTTGGTTTTTTTTTTGAAGAGAAGAGTTTTATGGGAAAACATTTTTTGTGTTTGGAAATTGAAATATGAGGTTTTCAACTATTGAAAATGGAAAAAAACAGAATATTTTGTTGAACTTTGAAAAATAATTTTTTTCAACAAAAATTTGAATTTCTGCTTCGAAAGGGTTTGGGAAACTTCTAATCAGATTTATGAATTTCTGACTTTTGTATTTCCAAAATTAAAGGGGGTATACCCTATTGTCTCTCGTGCAAAGTGTGATACATCATTCGATTCAGAATTTTGTGTTTTATATGCACAAAAAATTTTAGCTCGCAAAACGGATTCTAAGTACACGTTTTTTGCGTCCAAACAGGACCAAAATCTGCTCGAAATAAAAGAACACACAAGAAAGAGAGACGCAGACTCTCGCTGTCTGCCAGCCAGCCAGCATGTGTGTTGTTTTTCCTTCTTTTTTTAAATTTTTATAAGTTTATTACAGTATATTCAGACTTACCGTAGTTGTTGAACACAAAATTCAAAAAAAACAATACACTTGCTGGCTGGCTGGCAGACAGCGAGAGTCTGCGTCTCTCTTTCTTGTGTGTTCTTTTTTTTATTTCGAGCAGATTTTGGTCCTGTTTGGACGCAAAAAACGTGTACTTAGAATGCGTTTTGAGAGCTAAAATTTTTTGTGCATATATAACACAAAATTCTGAATCAAATGATGTATCACACTTTGCACGAGAGACAATAGGGTATACCCCCTTTAACAGTTTTCTATATTTGAAATGTTTGTGATACTACAAGTTCTCTGAAAATTTTTTTTTTCTTGAATTTGTATTTTTTCAGAATGTCAAAAGAAAAGGGCACATTTAATTTTGAATCGAATAATAAAATATATCAAGTTTTAAAGTGAAATATAAAAACCAAATTTTTTAACTGGCAGAAAATTTGGAGTTTTTCTACACCAATCCTAACTGATTCAAAAATTCAAATTAAAAATCACAAATTTCCCAATAACATATTCATTCATTCACTCAAATCTTTTTCAAAAATTACAGACAAAAAAGTATCTTAAAAATTTACAATGGCTTAAAAGCATAACAAGTAACATCATCCTTCGATGTTTGGCAGAAAGTATCAGTATGTGCAATATAACTGAACTCGCCAGTTCCACAAATCACATTCACATCGTGTCCCAATTGTTCTTCAGCAGCTTTTTGGATATCTCTTTTTGATTGACTGGCGTCAGATGAGATGTTCTAAAAAGACACGATAAAAAAATTTGAATTTGGAAACTCTACTTACATCTAGAATAAGATTTTTGAGTTCAATGCTATTGCAAGATGGATCAACAGTTTTTGAAGCGAAAGCTGCGCGTCTTACACTCTTATATTTGCAAGGCGAAGAACATCCACAGCAGCAATCATTTTGAGCTGGAATTCTAACCGCAACAGCTCCACCAGTTGGTGCACCTCCTCCACAACCACCAGCAGCTGGAACTGGAACAGCTTGCGGAACCATCATCGGTGCTTGATAATATTGTGGAGCGAATGATTGATAGAAAGATGGTCTAGACATTCCACCCATACATGGGCAAGATGGTCTTGGGATTGGGATTGCCATTGGTGGAGGTGGGGGTGGGCAAGGCATTGGCGGGGGTGGTGGGGGACAGATTGGTGGGGGAGGGCAGAATCTATGAATATTTTTCTATGAGAGGATTTATGTTTCAAGGATACTTACTGTTGTGGACAAGGTGGTGGGGGTGGACACATTGGCATTGGCATCGGTGCGGAGCAGGGTAATCTTGGTGCACACATTGGCGGAGGACAACCTCCGCCACAAGGTGGACGACCGAACATATATTGAGCATCGATATACTAGAAAACATTCGTTTTCAAAAATAAAATTAGAAAAAGAACCTACCGAAACCAGTAAAATAAAAAATACGGAAATTCGCGACATTATACAACAACACAAATATTTGTATTCGAAGCTTTTGCGAAAAAGTAGATACAATTGGATGCACTTGTTCGGATATTTATACCATTTTGCCAAACCCCAACTAGTTTTCCTTTTCCATTTTCAACACATTTTCATTTCAAGCAGATGTGACCTTTTCACTAAAAAAACTTTCAATTTTTGCTTGGATATCGTATCTTTTTTTTTTTCGAAAATACAAATAATACTAACAAAAGGGTTTCAAGTGTTTCGAGAAGGTTACAATTTTTTTCGTTTTTTTGTTGTGAATTTTTTAAAAGCAATTATGTAAATATTTTTAGTGTGAATAAGGGCTGAGAAAAAAGTAGAGGGCATTGGAATATTTTTTTAATCCAGATTTTTTAAAACATCAAAATATTCAGAAAATGTCAAAAAATGTTTTCCTCGTTAAGTAAATTTAGAATCTCAAAATGAAATCCCAAAATTTTCTGTGAAAAGTGGATCAGGCTCACACTTAGCGAGAGAGTGTCCCAAAATTTTTGTGCAGCGTGAAAATTTTTCCAGAATAAAAATTGTGCAGCGTGAAATTTTGAATTTTTTTCAAAATATTTTCATCAAAATCCGCTGAAAATCAATGAACACTTCACTTTTTCGTGAAAAAAAAAGTGCAGTGAAATGAAAAAAAATTGAAAATTTTTATTAGCTTCCCGCCCGAATCGAAATTTAGGTTTGGGCGGGAATTTTTATTTGAAAATTTTTGTACAGTATCCTTTTTGGACACGTCTCGTCAGGCGTGATCTGGCTGGATTTTCAGAAGGACTTCAGAATAAAGTCCAAGAATTTCTGCTACGTGGATTCTTCAGCCAAACATTAATGGTTTAAAATTGCCTCTGAAGTTTCAGATTTTCAGTTCTAGCTCCAATATTTCAGAAAATAAGCTTTGAGCTTGAAGATTTTCAGTATGAAGGTGTCTAACTTTGATTTTTTCATATCCCAGTCCAATCAATCAATAATATTTTTGAAATCCTGATTTTCTGATGATTCACTTCAGTCTCTGTTTACTCAATCAACACATCTGAAGGTCGTGCCACCCACTATGCTTTTCCTTTTTCTCAAATTCAAATTTATTTCTACAACTAAAAATGTTTCTAGTATAATACAGCAATGTTGAAACAAATCAAAAATTATTTCTTATTTCCCAATTCGAACTGGAATACATGTTCCCTGATGTAAAACAAATCTTGCACAACACCATTCGCCATATCTTGGAACACGATTTCGACTTGACAATGCGGATCTTTTTCCGCGAGTTGCTCCGCTTTGACATGGTTGAGGATTGCAGACGCGGGTTTGACGGATTGGTTGACTGCAGTTTGATGTTGATGGACATCTTGTTCGATATTGTGTTCCACAAGATCCACAGTTTTCTGAACAACCTGTCCAACCAGACCAATTTGTTGAATAATATGTTTGTCGAATTGGTGCTGGTGTTGTTGTTGGAGGAGATCCTTCTGTAGGAAAATACATAATTGGGAGATGAGATGAGATGAGAAAAAAAGAAATTTCATACCTGCCCGATATCTGATAACAAATTGTGAATTGGAAGTTGCTTTTGAGATAATCAACATGGTATTTCCTCTACTCACACGTTCACCAGCGATTTTCCTACAACATTGTCGAAATCCAGTGGGTTCATGAGTTGAATCACTTTTTATTTCAACAAATTCCTCGCAAACCGGATCGCATTTATATAAAACATGAGTTACTTCAAATCGAATTAGAGCATTGTTAACTGCCGTGATTCTCCAATAACAATCCGATGTTCCAGAATATGAAATATTTCGCCAAGTATATTCAGCGCGCGGTAATTCTACTCCACAATCTGTGAAAAAATTTAGAATCTGATAGCTTTTAGAATTAAATTTACTGGATGTCTGTAGTCTTTCACAATATGTTCCTTCTAAACCTGTGGGGCATTTACAAGTTCCGCAATTATTTGGATCTGGGTATCCTCCATGTTGACAATTGATATTATTTCGACAGATGTCTGGAAAAATGATGATAATTTTCTGGTCACGTGTCGTTGTTTCTTTGAAAATCGAGTTCAGAAAATTAATCAGATTATTGGAACAAAACTTATGGTTAACGGAAAGAAAATTGATAAGACAACAATAAATACAAACCTTTGCAAAAAGCAGTGTTCAAAAGTTTCAAATCAAGAAATGATGGTTCAACTCGATTTCCGATTGTTGCCATGAATGCAGAATCTGTTGGCTCGACTGTATTGAGCTCCCAAGATCGACTGAAAGATTTTGGAGAATAGTGCATTACAGATCCGTAATCATATGGGATTCCATATTCATTGACTTCACTCCAAGTTCGTTTTTCAAATTGTCCCTCAAGACCAATCACTGCGTTTTGTCGATTAATTCTCACATATGAATCACGTTCCGGTCTGGCTTGCTCATGCCAAAATCCAAGAGCATGTCCGACTTCATGGGTAATTATACCAAGCTGAAAATCTCTTATTATATAGATTTTCAGACACAAAAAAAACTAACTGTATCACAACCATAACCAATCGATATTTCTTGAGGTCCACCCAATCTTCCAACACTCGAATAACACCCTTCACCTCTATTAAAAGCCATATAATCATAATTCGGACCATTCAAAGTGAACCGAAGGCAGCTGTGTTTTTCATAATATCGTAAAGCTTTGTTGATTTGACTTTGCCAAGTAGCTGGAATAAATTTAATCTGAATCTAGATGCCTAGATGTCCTTACAATCAGTATCTAGAAAACGATAGGCAATATTTCGAGTCCAAGAAGTTCCATTCAAATTCATTTTTCGCTTGAATCTTCTAGTGTTCTTTGCAATAATGTTTATTTGTGAGACTGTTAGAACCATATCACTTTCAAACATTGCGTTTGCTATTTTTGTGTTGGATGCTAGCTCGTTGTTCCTGATATCTGTTGTTGGTATGGTTTTTGTCATATCCTGGAAATAAAAGTTGATTCTTGAAATTGAACATGTAGCTTTGAAAGTAACTAGAAAAAATCAGAATTGATCTCGTACAAAAATTGTGTTCAAATTTTAATTTTAAAAACCAAAGTTTTCAAGTCAAAGTGAAGAAATATTTTTTTGTCTAGAAAATGTTGAGATTCTAACCAGAAAATTTCGAAATTTTGTGAAGCTATTATTCAAAAAAAAAAAGATTCCCAAAAATTTTTGGATGATGTTTTTCCCATTTGAAAAAAAAAACATAAAAAGCTATAGGTTTTTTATTTGGAATCCAAATTTTCATATTTTTAGTGTGAAAAATTTTTGCTCACTAGAGCTTTGAAAATGATTTTTTTCAGATTTCTAAATTTTATCCAAAATCCTATTTTTAATAATGTTTTATTTTAGTTTCCAAATTTGTTCAAAATTTTATTTGATTTGATTTCTTACATTAGGAAGATGTTCGAAAAAACAGGTTTATAATTACAATCGGAAATAGTTGAATTTTCCTGGTCTCCAAAACCAAAAGATTTCAATTTTCAAATTTCAAATAGACTTATCAAAACTCACAAATTGTGCACCAGATTTGCGATTGAAATATGCTTGCATAATTTGTAATACACGATCATAACCCTCACCCTCTTTTTGAAATGCCGCTGTATTTGCATTCAAACTATTCACAACCTGATAAAATTGTTCTTTGTTTTCATGAGTTTTCATTTTTCCTCTCTCTCTCACCTTATCAATGTCAGCCGAAAATTGAATTTCCTCAACAACGGGTGCAGGTGGAGGTGGCGGTGGCGGAGGTGGCGGGGGCCAACCCCAAGGTGGGGGAGGTCTTCCCCAAGGCGGGGGAGGTCTACCCCAAGGTGGGGGAGGCCTGCCCCACGGTGGTGGGTGTCCCCAGTGGTGGGGTGGCGGAGGACGTCCCCAAGGATCTCTAGGTGGAGGAGGTCTTCTGAAATTATTATGTGTGTTACCAAACAAAAAACAAAAAAATACCTGTCCCATGATTGTCCCCAAGAATTTTGTTGACCTGAAAAAGACCCGGAGTATTAAAATAATCTAAAGCGCAAAAAGGTTTAATTTTTTCGTGACAATAAAAAAGGATGACAATACAACAAACCTGGCGATTGATCGAAAAAATCACTTTGCGTCAGAATTGGGATGAAAATTGAAGTTGATAAGAATATGCTTACAAATACGAATAAAGTCATCCTAATTATTGTTTTTTCGCGTATAGTTTCACCTCAACTGAAAAGGCATTGGCGAAAAAAAAGAACTGGAATTATTTCTCGATTCACAAAAAAAATAAATGTGATTTGAACTACGGCATGTAGGTTAGGTTGTCTGGTTCTCCAATAATATCAAAGTATTTCGTCGAATAAAAAGTAAGGTCATATATTAATTGGCCAAACTTTTCTTCACTTTGAAAGCGTAATAATGTTCATTTTTTGGTGTTGGTCAGGAAAGACTGAAAAAAATTGAAGTGATGAGTAATTTGTTTTTGGAAGATGGATGATGGAAAAATAAATATTGGCCAAATTAATTGAAGTTAAAATAAAAATAAAAATAACAATTACAGATGATAAAATATATATTTCCGTTTTGGAGTTCGTTATTTTTTATGAGATTCTGAATCTCGAAACTTTTTGGAAATTAATATAAATTATTCTATCATCAGAAGAAATCAGAAGATTTTCATGGAATAAGTTTGATGAAAATCAGAAAAATATTAAAGCAGACTGACCAAAATTTGAGACAGAAACTTGAATGAAATTATTTTGAACTCTGAAATTTATAAATCTTGCAGATAGTGTAGGTCTAGAATTAAATTATATCCCAAAACCTAGCTTATCTTTGGTAGGGTAAAATCTTATTTTTCTGAAAAACTATCAAAAAACAATTTCTGGCCGGAAAGTTTTAACTAATTAAAATTTGCGATGTCCAAAGTAAAAAATATAGAAAAAATGCGAGACTATATTGTCCAAAGCTCGCCTTATATTCGAAATACAGAACAGAGAAACAGTGTGTATATTAGAGAGACGCAGACACGAAACAGGGAAACAGTGCGTATATTCGAGAGATACAGACAGCTAGACTTTGGACGATATATTTTCGCATTTTTTTTTTTACTCTGGACACCGCATTTGTTTTTTTTTGGCTTTTCATCATACTAGAGATATCCTAACTTTTAAGATTTCTCTATATTTTCAACCCCTCAATTTTCATGTTTCAAAATTCCTGAACTATGTAATTCTGTCCCTGTTCAAAGAACACCAACTCAAAATTCCTCAAAAATTCCAAATTTATTTTTTTCTTGCATGTTCGACATTACCAATATGTTATCAAGTCCGGAATTTACCATTTTATCAGCAATTCTGTGTCATGAGTTCTTTTCATCCTTTACCATAAAAATTTCAAAAATTGAAATGCTCCTTTCCCTTTCCAACGATGCAAAAAAACCTTGGAAGACAAGAAGAAGAAAAAAAATCATAATTCAACACTGCGAAAATTTATGGTGATGTAATCTGTCAAGACCAACATAAAGAGCAAATTGCGACTTATAGATAACAGTTTTTCTTCTCTCTAACATTTTGTCCTTTTCCCGGGTTCCTTGTCAAAATGCCCGCTATTTCGTCCCGATCCGATTAGTTGGCATGTAAGGTGGGCGGCTTACAAGTCCTAAGAGAGTCTAGAGAAGTGAGGGTGATTTTTTGTGTTGATAACACTCTTTTTTGAGTGAAATATTCTTCATATATAATAATAATTGAGTGAAACAACCATTTGTATTGCAGAAAGGACAAGAAGAACACGATAAAAGAGTCAGTCAGTCAGAATCAGAGAAGACAAACGCACCTCAAGCTCCGCCCTCTCAATTTCATTTTCGTTTTCAACTTGAAGTGAGCTCATTTTTGGCCAAGACGTTGACGAGGAGCACAAATGGCCCACTCGAACGCCGCGGATCGAACCGCGAGTGTTAGCTCAAAAGGTAATCAAATTAATTGGGAAGAGGGGGGGGGGTGTTATTATCATAAATAGGTAAGACCTAAAGCTGTTCTAGGGTAGATCAAATATAAATCTTTCTGAAAATTTTATTTTTGAATTTCGCCAGTTCCAATTTCCATAAACCTCTAGGCTTTACCTATTGAAATAGGATTAGAGTAGATCAAAAATATTTCTCTCTTAATCTAAGAATTTAGTCAAGAATTTTATCGGTCCCAGTTTCACCTTCGAAATTTCCAAAAGTCACTGTTCAAGTTATCATAAGCTTCAAATTTTTAGGCCTATCTGAAAATTTAGGCAAACTTTTTCAAACAAAAAGTTTGACCAAGCTTTCACTATTTCTAAGTTACCCTAGCCCCCCCCCTTGAGAGAATTTCATTCAATGTTTTGAAATTTGATATATCATCATCCAAACAATTTCAAAATTTGTCCTAACTTACAATTTGAAACAATTTCATAATTCCCATTGTTTTTACAGGAAAATCTCAAAATGAATTGGAACGAGTTCCACTTCCAGAAAAGAAAGTGATGTACACATCATGGCCAGATATGATCAAACATTGGCCCAAAACTACACTCTGTATTGTCTCCAATGAATTTTGCGAACGATTTTCTTACTATGGAATGAGAAGTAAGTGTGAACTTAGGGGTTGTTTATCAAAAACAAACAAACAAATATTGTTATAATTATTTCTATCTTTATTTTTACATATAATGATGTGCAAAATGGCACAGAATTGATAAAAAACAAGTAGAGTGCATTTTCAGCTGTACTCACTTTCTATTTGCTCAATGTACTTCGATTCACTGATTCACAATCAACTATTTTCTTCAATGGGTTTACTGTTCTTTGTTATACAACTCCTCTTCTTGGATCAATTATCGCTGACGGTTATATTGGAAAATTCTGGTAATTTTTGTGGGATGAATAAAAAATTATCTGGTTTCATGAGGGACTTGGGCTATTTCCAAACTTTGAAAATTTAAAAAATGTAGATTTTACCTAACCTTCTTCCCTTTCTTACAGTAGTCGTTTCTAGATTTATTCCAATAAAAAATCACGAGAAAATTCCGAAAATCTAAAAAACCACACAAACACATCTAATTAATTTTCTTGACGTCTTTAATTTCATTTTCCGACTGTTGATTTTGTTTGTTTTCTTATATTTCCTGGTTTTCGATCTTTCTTTTTTCAAAAGATCGGAATTTTTGGAGGTTGAGAGATTTTGAAATATCAGGATTCGGAATTCAGAAAAGACAATTTTTAAAATATACAATCAGACAGTTCGAATTTTAAGATTTTCAAAAAATATTTTTCAGTTACGAAAATTGAGTTCAAAAATTTTCAAAAAATCAAATCCTTCTCTGAATATGATCCTAAAATAAAAACAACTTTTCTAATTCCATTCACAAATTCTAAACTCCCATTCCAGGACAATCTTCTCTGTATCAATTTTATATGCAATTGGACAAGTTGTACTCGCATTGGCTTCAACAAAAAATTATCAATCATCAGTCCATCCGTAAGTTCCAACTCGAAATTCTCAATTTCACTTTCCATGATTATTTTACGAATATTCCTGATAATTTACACAAATCTGATAACACTCACAAAATATCGCGACATGTAAGATAAGAAAAATGCCACAAGAAATTCTTGTACTGATTACGAGACAAAGTTTATTATTATATTCTTTTTTTGCACAGAGGGAGAAAAAACGACTAGGGGTCGTAAAATTTTTTTATATGGAACAAAAACACAGGAGCAAAAAAGTTTTTTCTAGATGGATGGATTTGAGTGGTTTGCTGATTATTGCTTTTGGTACTGGTGGAATTAAACCATGTGTATCAGCTTTTGGAGGAGATCAATTCGAGTTAGGACAGGAAAGAATGTTATCACTTTTCTTCTCAATGTTCTATTTCTCAATCAATGCTGGATCTATGATTTCCACATTCATTTCTCCAATCTTCAGAGGTTCGACTTTTTTATCATCATTTTTCTTATCGAACTATGTAGTTTTCGGTCTCATAAAATCGAAACAAAAGAGCATTTTTTGGGTGGACTTGATGTGAACAAAATACTTTTTCGGAACATTTTTAGTGCAAGAGAATATTGATTACAAAATTGGAAATCGGGCTTTCGGGTGTAGAATTGAGGGATCAGGAAATAGGAATCTGATTGGACCGGTTAAAAATATGGGAATTTGACCAAAGGGTGTTTCGAACCGTACCTTCGATTTTTGAAAAAAAAATTAGAAGTATAGAAAGATATTTGAAAGTATAAATAAAATATTCAGATTCTGAAAACTGATCCAATTTTCATATTTAAAAACCCTAACTGATTCAATTTTTCCAGCTCAACCATGTCTTGGCCAAGATTCCTGTTATCCCCTCGCTTTCGGTGTCCCAGCAGTTTTGATGATTATCGCAACTTTGGTTTTCATGGGAGGTTCTTTCTGGTATAAAAAGAACCCACCAAAGGATAATGTTTTCGGTGAAGTTACTAGACTTATGTTCACCGCTGCAGGAAACAAATTCTTCAAAGAATCGACTCCAAAATCTCACTGGTTGGAGCATTATTTGACAACTCATGATTGTTCAAAGGATGAAAAGTTGGTCAAAAACGGCGGAATCTTTATTTTAATTTTTTGTTTTCAGATGTATTGAACTTCAACAACTCAAACGCAACAAGAAACTTTGTCAAAAGAAAAAAATTCATCGAAGATGTTCGTTCACTTCTCCGAGTTTTGGTCATGTTCTTGCCAGTTCCAATGTTCTGGGCACTTTACGATCAACAAGGTTCAATCTGGCTTATTCAAGGAATTCAAATGGATTGTCGTCTTACTGATTCAGTTTTGGTTCTTCCGGATCAAATGCAAACTTTGAATGCGGTTCTTATTCTTATTTTCATTCCACTTTTCCAAGTTATCATCTATCCACTTGCAAGCAAATGTATCACTTTAACGTATGTTTTGTTTTTGGGAGGGGCTCAAAAAATATGTTGCTCTAAGTCTGTCATGGAAAATTTTCTTCCAGACCTCTCCGGAAAATGGTAGCTGGTGGACTTTTGGCCTCACTTTCATTCTTGATCACCGGATTTGTTCAACTTCAAGTTAACGTAAGTGTTTATTGAAAACACATCAGAAAAAAAAACAAAAAAAATTTCAGACAACTTTGCCAAATCTTCCAGTACAAGGTCAATCATTTGTCAGTTTCTGGAATCAATTTGACACCAACTGCGCTTTTGATGTTTCCGATGGAACTACAACAAAAACTCTTGGAAGAAATATGGTAAATTTTTTCTACCAGAAACAGGATACCAATTCAAAATTAAATCATTTTCAGACACTCCACGAGGACAAAAATGATAAATCAGGACTCTATCAACAATTCACAACCAAAGCTGGGAAATCAAGCACAAATGATTGGACAACAACATACACAATCACTTATAAAACAGGATGCCCAACTACTCAATCAGTCAAATATACAGTTAATGCTAAGAGCAAGAAGATTGTCTATGTTGCTGTTGGAAAATTCGGAATTTATCAAAGTATTGCTGCCACTGATAAACCAACTGACGGAACTGGAGAATTCTCGATGGGGTGAGTGGCTGGGCTCAACAAATGATCCTGGGGACCTTTTTTCAAAATTCTATATTCAAAAAAATTTGAAGACAGGGCCACTTTTTCAAAAATAAAAATTTCAAATGTCTGAATTGGGGCCCATTTTAAAATAAGTTCCGAATTTTGAAACCCATTTTTTCCAGAATTGTCACTGCCACTGATACCCCATGGTCTGGAAACTTTGCCATGTGTCGTTTAGACGCCAGCGACTTCGACGCAAATCATCCATGTAACCCAAGAGCCCCAGCTGATTTCTACTACTGGCAAACAAACTACAACGACAATACTGATGATCGTGATGGTAACGTAACAGTTACCGGAAGAGCATTCCCAGCCACAGTTTACACCAACAAACCAGTGAAACCAGGAAAGTGGGGATTGTATTATATGGATAACACACCGAAAGATGTTCATCGTCAGACTTATAACAAAACTGCTGTTATTGTGAGAGCAACTGGAATTACCACTGAAATTTATGCTCAAGGAGGTGTTTATGTTTATGGTCTTACTGGAGATATTGTAAGTTATTAAGCTTTGGAGCCAAATCAAAAATGCTCAATTTTCAGAACAAACCAACTGCTCATGTCTTCCAAAGTGTTCAATCAAACTCCGTCTCGATCTTATGGCAAATCCCACAGATTGTCGTCATCACAGCTGCTGAAATCCTCTTCTCAATCACAGGTTACGAATTTGCTTATTCTCAATCAGCCCCATCAATGAAAGCGCTCGTCCAAGCTTTATGGTTATTGACAACCGCTTTTGGTGACACAATTATTGTTATCATCACAATTTTGAACTTGTTTGAAAATATGGCTGTTGAATTCTTCGTTTATGCTGGTGCTATGACTGTCGTTATTCTAATCTTTGCTCTTTTATCAATCTTCTATTATGAATATAATTATTATACAACTGACGAAGATGATGATGAATATGGAGCTGATGATTTAGAAGAAATAGAACATTCGACAAGATATTCAATCGATAATAAGGCTTTTGATGCTGATGAAGCTGAAATTATCGATGTTCGACTTTAAACATGTATTATACATATTTTTGCAGTTTTCTTCAGTTTTTTTCTGTTTTAAATGTTTTCCTACTAATAATAAAGTTTTCTCCTGAAAAGAGATTTGTTGAAAAAAAATGTTTTCAATTTCATTTTTTTTTATTTTCACTTTTCACTCTCATCTCGATTATATAAATAACTAGTTCCAGATCCCCTGCGAGAATTTTTTTGAAAAAAAAAGTTGCATAAAATTTTTTCAATGAATTCTTTTTCATTTTCTATATTCATTTTCATCATTTCCACAGTATCTCTAATTATTTCTGCCCAAGAAAACACAGAAAATGTAACAACCATGGATTTGGGATCTCAAAATAATCAAAATGTGTTCAATTTTTTGAGAAATGTTTTTCAAGCGTCAAGTGAGCAGAATATCAATAAGAATTTTGAAGGTGAGAGTTTTCTGCATCTGAAACCATTTGAAAATTCAATTGATTTTTACAGTTCAAGTGATTGATGGGAATATAATAATGGAATCTGAAGACTATCCAAGCATCAAAGAAAATGAGAAAAATGGGAATAATAAATTATAATTTGGTTTGTATGATTTTAATAATTTTCGTAATAAATGTGTTTAACCAAAAAAAGATTTTTTCCCCAAGTCAAACTCTTCACCCAACACACACAATCCGTTTAGTCACAATCAACAAAACACGAACCGCATGAGACAAACATGCAACAAGCGGAAGAGTATATCCGGGTGTGAACAAACTGCAAAGCTCCCATCTTTTCATTATTCGTACACATTTTTTAGTTGATCTACTCCTTTTTTCTTGGTGACAACAAAACTTTTTTCGTTTTCGAGGAATTTTCTGCTATGACGGACGAATTAACATCGCCGTCCGTGAAGTCTGGAAATGTTCTGGCACTTCTTAATACGTTGTATACCTCGGGTTTTGCTATGGCTTCATCAAGCACACCGCTATTAAAAGGTAATAAAGATAATCTACTGAACATTTTGCTCGAATTGTTTCTCTAGGTAAAACCCTCCACACTTTATATGCTCTCTCATTTGTTGTATATGTTATGAATTCTGTATGCTCTTGGCTACACGTCAGTTTTGTTGTGAAAGTAAGTTTTCCTAACTTCATTCGATCTCTACTCATAATTTTCCAGGGTTATCTTACTTCATTCCCCCTAAACACTTGGATTGTTGTTAGTTTGGTAGTCACTGCGGTCACTGGTTCAATGCTCACTTGGTTATTATTTGTGTTATGTATTGAAAATGCGTTTGCACATCGCTTGGATATTACTCCATATCGAAGTGGATGTGCATTGGTTTTTGAAGCGTTTGTTGAGTGGACACAGGTAAACTAGGTTCTTAAAAATTTGGGCTGTAGCGAGGCTTGATGAAATCCGGATCCTGGGGTTGTCAAAATTCCTGACTCATTCTCAGTTCGTACTTCTGTTCACAAAGTTTAGTGAGGAATTTTATGAAAATAAACAAATGATTTGAGAAAAAATAATTTATTTTCACGAAAAAAACTATTAAAAATGTTCTCTATGCAATGCTGCTGCTAAATCCTCAAACAAACTTGTTGGAGTAAAGTACGAAATGCTTTTCAAAATAAATCCATTTTTTCCAAAATTAACGACATTGAAGAGGAATCTGACATTTGAAGAGGGACGAAATTCGATAATCAGTTCTCCATTTTTTTCCACCACGTCAATTTCACCTCGACCATAATTTGATAAAAATATTCGGAATATCTCACTTTTTGGGATTTTTCCAAGTGAATTATTGTTAAGATCATACCGATTTGCGACGAAATGTATAGAAAACATTGAATAATCATTGAATTTTGCTGCTCTTTGAAATTCTTGCAAAAACTGCTTTCCAATATAATAATTCTCTTGTTGGGTTGGTAAATTTCTTGAATTTGAAGAGTAGTACGAAACGCCGTTCAAAATAAATGTATTTTTACCCAAATTATTGACATTGAAGACAAATCGAACATTAGTTGTGGTGTGATATTGGATGAGCAATATTTCATTGATTGTCTCAACTTCAACTTCACCTCGATCATGATTTGATAAAAACAGGGGGAATATATCGAATCTTGATAATTGTCCGAGTGGATTACTGTTTACATCAAACCGAAGTCCCTTGAATTGCATAGAGAACATTGAATAGTCATTGGTTTCTGCTGCTTTTTGAAATGCTTCCAAAAATCTCTTGCCAATTTCAATATTATCTTGTTGGCTTGAAGTAGTATTTGAAGTGAAATATGAAATGCTGGTCACCTTGAATCCATTATTCAGTTTGTTGACATTGAAGATAAATCTAAAATTAGTAGAAGAGAGAAATGTAATAACAAGTTCTCGATTATTTTCTACGACGTCAAGATTCCCTTGTCGACCATTCGACAAAAATAATCGGAATATTTCTTGCTTTGTTGCTTCACCGATTGGGTTTTTATTTTGATCAAACCCTTTTCCAACGAAAAGAAAATAAAAAATCGAATAATCATTCGATTTTGCTGCTTTATAAAATGCAGTTAGAAATTTTCTGCCAATAAGAATATTTTCTTCCTCGGTTGGAAATGCTGTTGAAAAAACAGCAGAAATAATCAAGAAAAGTAGAAGTTTGAACATGTTGTCCGTGCAGAAGTGAGAAATAGAAAATTTATTTTTCGAAAAAACTTCGTCGAAAATTATTAGTCAGTCTTCTTTTTTCTATTGAAATAATAGTGTGAGTCATTTTGTATCAAAATAATGCCATCGAAAATTAAAAATTTCTCGTGGAGTTTTTCATTTCGTAGAAAATGAAAAACATATTTTGATAAAACATAAATTGTAAAAATTTTGATGGACCCGAACAACAGGCTCGAAAAACCTTGCTATCACAAAACACAGTAATAAATTTCCAGGCTTTCAACAATTTCCGAATATCATTTCTCATAATGAGCCTTCACGATGCTCCAATGACACTTCTAAATTATTTCTATATTGCTGCGTGCCGTTGCCCAAATCCACAAATATTATCCTGGCCTCTAATTCTATCAACTGCTGCCTGCACAGTTTCTCTGATCTGGAGACTTACAGTATTATATTTCTCATATAAGTAAGATAGATTTCAAGCTTCAAGTCTTCAAAATATTATTTTTTAGAAGAATGGTGTGCGCTAAACCTATCCCACCAAAGAAAACACTAACCGGTGTTGCTGTCAACACCCCATTAAGAAAACATTTCCAAATGGCGATTGATACAAGTAACGCGTCGAATGGTGGTAGACTTTTGGAGTTCGATGAAACTTGGCCGATTCGATGGGCACGATTAAGAACTCTTGGACCACACCCAGATGTTATAGTTGTAGATCCAGAGACTAACGGAGATGTCAAATCGAAACCGAAATCAAAAGCAAAGCCGAAAGTTAGAGAGAAAAATAGTTGTGGAAAATGGATCAGACGATTTGAAAAATTCCGCGCCAATTTTGACGTGAGTATATCACCATGTTTATTTTTCAAATTTTATCCTAATTCCGTTTCAGATCTTCTCAATAATTCGCAATATAATTGGATATTCATGCTGGTTTATAGTCTCCATCCTAACCTATATGAGCTGCTCATTGGTCTTATGGCTCCCATGTTTATATCATTATACATGCAGGCATAACAGTTTTTATCATCGGCATAAATTATGCAGATCTTTTATCAAGTGAGTTATTTTTTTTATTTTTATTCTTACTGATTTTTTCAGGTATTTTTCTGTCACATTTCATTACACAATATTCTACCTCTCATTATTATTCTCTGTTGTTTTGATTGGATTAAACCTAACTCTTCTATCATCAGTTCATGGGTTAGGATCAAACAATCTTCCACCAGAAGTTGATCGAATATGCGTCACAGTTTCACCAACTTCAAAAACAATTTATACAAATATTCTTCCAGCTTCAGCATTTGAAAGAGAAATTGTTTTGCATAAACAATTGAATCAGTAAGCTTTAGGTTTTGTTTCAAGTGAATAACATGGCCCTAATTTTTTTTTTTTAGAAAGTATGGTGAAAATGATACAAGTATTGTGACAGAATGTAAACCTTTATGGACAGCTGGAAGACTTGGAGTTGGATTTACTAGAAGTAACACAGGACCTTGGCAAATGAGAACACCGATAAATGGGCATATGCTAGCTGTTTCCACGCTGATCACTTTTAATACTACCGATCGAACAAATCCCTCTCTACGTCTAGACTATACACACTCTTTATATCTTCGAAGTGAATATAAAAGTGATGTTAGATTTACCTGTACAAGGAATACTGAATGGTAATATTTTTTTGAAGATCAATTTTTGGAAGATCAATTCAGTTTTTGTATTCCAGGAAAATCATTCCATCGGTGGCTCAATTGTCCTGGCCATATTTCTCAGCTTGTCAACAAAATTGGAAATTTAACGAGAAACCTGAATTAATAAAATGTGGACCGATATTTAGAAGAAAGCATGTGTAAATAATTTTGCGGGTTTTTTTGTAAAATAAAATAAAATGAATTTCAAGTCGCACTATATTTTTTCTGAAAATATGTTATTCATAGATAACCGGAATTTGATGCCGAGGCTGATGAAGATCCTTTCGATGATCCAGATGCGATTTGATGATTTGAATACGTTTCATATCCTGAAATATCTTGTGTTGGGGTGTTCAAAACTCAAAATTATTATGAACCTACCAAAAAGTTCATTAATTTCCGACAAACTTTGGACTGAAGTATTATCCCCAATCGCAGTAGCACTTCCATATAAATAATTCTCACTTTGAGTTCCATTTTTATTCTTTCTCACATTCACATTTGATTTTGCAGATGATTTTCCTTTCCCTTTTCCTTTAGCCGAAACCTTTGCACCACCTTTCACAGTTCCATTATTACTTGCAAATGCATTATTTGAACCTTCAATCGAACTCTCATCACCACTTGCTGTACCATTTGCGTTTGAATAAATTGCTGGAATGTTTTTATTAAAATCATAGATTTCAGTAAGCCATGAAAAAAAGAAGAAACCTGACTGATAATCGGAATTTTGCACAATGTTTCCTTTTGCATACAAATCAATGATTGAATCTTGACCATTCAAAGAAGCTACAGCAGCATCATTACTTGATAAAACACTGAAAAAAAACGTTTTTGGGTTAGGAATATTAAAAATTATTTTGATCAACCTTAGCGATCCATCGTCTCCTTGTGAACTTTTGATGTATTGAGTAGCGTTCGAGTTTTTATCCTCTCCAATTCCTTTCACATAACCATTTCCGATAGCATCTAGAAAAAAATAGATTTTGTTTTGATCAAAAAAGGAGCTAGCTCACAATTCTCTCCTTCTGAACTATTTGTCCGGATTCCATCGCTTCCTGATAAATAAGTATCATTCCCACGAGCACTGTTATTTATAACCACATTTCCACTAGCAGTCTGAAATATTTTTTTTTACACGGTACTTTACAGGGTGACTCTCTCTCTCTCTCTCTCTCGATTACCTCATTATTTTGTGATAAATCAGAATTCATTGATAATGCGCTATCACCATTTCCTTGGAAATTTGAATTTCCAAAAAGTTTGGCATCTCCATAAGTAGAGTTGATAGATTCGGCACCAACTAAACTCGAATTTCCAGAACCATACACTTTTCCATACATGTTCTCATAAATATTCACAGATTCATCGCTGATTTCCCCATTTCCATTTACTTGTGCATAAACATCACCGGAATTACTATTCTGTCCAGACATCATACCGTTTATTGCCATATCTTTAATTTAAAAAAAAATTTTCACCCAATAGTTTTTTTCCAAAAAAAAACCCCTTACTATTATCTTTTGATCCAGAAAACATATCAAGATTAGATTGAGCATTTCCTTTTCCTTCAGCGTTTGCAGAACCAGCAAGCTTTGAAATCAGACTATCAAAGCTCAATGTTTGGCTTCCTCGAACTTCAGATTTTGATGCTTCTGATCCTGTTCCACCTGCTACTCCAAAATGAGAACCTGTCAAGTTTTGAGAGCCATCATCTAATCTTCCGTTGGCATTGAATTTAGCGAAAGTGTCTCCGGATCCTGTGGCAATACTTTCTTGATTCATCTCAAGTCGCCGTTTTTCGCTTTGCATAATTGCAAAAATATCAGAAGATGAGCTGGAGTTATCTCCAGATGAACCAACGTTTGCAGCAGCGGCAAGAGCTGAGATTTTTTTTAACAAAATGAAACATATTAGGAGAAGAGGGAGACTTACAATTATTTCCAACACTTCCGCCCACAGAATTCTCAACATTTGTTGCATTTTTACCACTAGCGTTACCAAGTGAAGTCACATTCATTCCAATTCCATTTTCATCTTTGAAATGATAGGAAGATGCATCAGTATCGACGTTGTCTCCTGATCCATTGGTTTCCGCGTTTGAGTTTACCACTAGAAAATATATATGTATTCAGAAACAACATCTCAATAAATTTCAACAAAAAAGATTGCTGTAACACAGCAACCTCTTTTGCACTTATTCTTTATTTTTATTTTTTTTTAATTGTGGACATCCAATTACATCAATTTCAAATACTTTTTTTCGCTCTTATATTTTTCAAATGATTACCACTTTCCTACAATGCATATTGCTATGTTTTGCATGTAAAATGGGCGGGGCTTATTTTATGCATGCAGAAAAGTCGGTTCAATTACCCAAGTTTGAGGTAAATGCGCGCGTTTGTGATTTTTAACTGTTTATTTCTTATTGAATGCATAGTTAGAAATGTATAAAATTAAATTTGCGAAAGTTGATGACGTTAAACATTTTTTGACGTGAGAATTTTTTGACGTGAAATTTTTTCAAGTGAGATTTTTTGGAACAAACATTTTTTGGGGCTATTTCTTAAATGATGAAATGATATAAATAATACAAATTAAACATTCCCTATGTAGCTTTTTTTGACGTGAAAAATTTAGGCGCAGAAATCTTTCACGTAAATATTTTTGACGTGAGAGGTTTTTTAGAAATATTGAAAATTATCAATAGAAAAGTGCTTGAAACATTTTTATTCAACACTTGAGGATTTATGAAATCAAAAAAATCATGACTTTCTATACTTGGACTGTTTTTTTTTCAAATTTCAATACTTTTCAACGTCAACACTCACAAGTCTGTCGTCGATATCTCGATCTTCTATCAATTATTGAAGCCAAAGCGCAGTTCAAAACAATAAACAAAATTAAATTACGAATCATCATGTTCATATAAATAAATAAATATGAACAATAAATACGAGAACCAAAAAGTTCCCCGATGAAAAAAAAATCTTTGACCCTTTTTTGTACCAATAGATGATCGGAGGATAATCGCCTTGTTCAAGTTCATTACATCAATTTTCGATTCATTTTGTTGTTAATCGTTGATCCATTGATATCACAAGATTGTGAAATTGTCACACAATATGACATATTTCAAGGAGTATAAAATATGAGATTGAAAATCAAAGATAACACATTGTTTTTGAAACAAACTAGAGACAAATATCTCTAATTCTCTTTTTTATCATTGCTCTTTTTTGATAACTTGAAAAAAACAGATAAAAAGGCCAGCCAAACAGTTGTATCATTTCAAACATGGCCTCTCTTGATTATGATGTCATTGTTGTGGGTGCAGGAATTTTTGGATCATGTACTGCGTATCATTGTCAAAAGCTTGGATTGAAGACACTTCTTCTAGAGCAGGTATTGTTTCAGATGTCCTCGAAAAAATTCGAAATTTTTTTTGAGGCGCCTTTCAAGATGTTTTCTGACATGAGTTTAGATGATAGTGACACATCATGAGAAAACTTCTTCTAAATTTCATTTCAGTTCAAACTTGGTCATTCAAATGGAAGTTCTCACGGATTCTCAAGAATCATTAGATATGCTCATAATGAAGTGGAATATGTTCCTTTGGTAGGCGATGCTTATGATCAAATTGATGAACTTGAGAAAAAACGCAAGGAAAAACTTTGGAAGTGCGTTTTTTTCATCCAAAAATCATTCATAAAATTTCATTTCAAATCTACAGACAAACTGGATTATTGTGGGTCAGCACTGGCGGCAAAATCGACAAAATCTCATCGAATCTCAAAACTCATAACATTGAACATGAAGTTGTTTGTGGTTCAAAAATTCATGAGAAGTATCCACAATTTCAATTTGGAGAAGAATGGCAGGGACTTATTGATCCAAAGGGTGGTGTGATTTATGCGAATAAATGGCTTCACGCTTTTCAAGACGAGTTTGTTCAATTAGGAGGTGTTGTACATGAGGAAGAGGAGCTGATTTCTTACAATGATCAACTTCAAGATAGAATTGAGGTCAAGACAAACAAAGGGAGTTATAGCTCACGGAAAATTATTTTCACCGTTGGATCGTGGATCACCAAATTGTTGCCTGAACTCGATTTCAAAATTAATGTATGTATGTATGTAAATTTATAGCTAAAAGTCATTTAATTGCAATCTTATAGCCTATCAGTCTTTCAGTCTGCTATTGGAAAGCAGCGGAAGAAAAAGATTCGCAACTTCTCAACGATGATCATTTTCCAGTTTTGATAGCGAAAAACGTAGAGCGTAAAGAGTATCATTTTGCTCTTCCAGATACGGATTATCAAGGTTCTATCAAGTTCGTTTATGATGCTGGAGACACATTAACAGCTGATTTTCAACATCCAGAGAAGCGATCACAGTCTTTGATTGATCTTCCAGCTGAGTTTATCAGAAAACATCTACCAGTGGTTGATCATAAGGCTCCATCCCATGTTGATTTCTGCAAATATACGGTTAGTTCTTGTTTTTTTTCTAGAAAAAATAGAAAACTCAACATTATTCTTTCTAGAACTCACCAGATGATCATTATCTGATCGGACCAATTCCATTTAAAAATCCAAATGTATTAGTTGGTGGATGTGGGTGTGGTTCAGGTTTCAAAGTTTCTCCAGCAATCGGAAGAGCTCTCGCTGAAATGGCAGCCGACAAACCAACAACAGTTGATGTCTCATATTTCAGTATTTCAAGATTTCAAAAATGATTCTTTATTGTGTAAAAAAATAAATATGTATATATACAAAAGAACCGCAACTGACCACAATTGTGGAAGCATTTGTCGCAGCGCTGCGCGTTTCAAGAATATAAAAAGCTAAGTTGAAAATCGAAAATAAAGAATTGTTTTTAAACAAACCCATATCTCTGATTTCCTTTTTATCATTGCTCTTTTTTTATTACTCGAAAAAAAAACAGATAGATAACGTTTCTTCAAACAGGGTAGCCAATCAGTTGTATCATTTCAAACATGACCTCTCTTGATTATGATGTTATTGTTGTGGGTGCAGGAATTTTCGGATCATGTACTGCGTATCATTGTCAGAAGCTTGGATTGAAGACACTTCTTTTAGAGCAGGTAAGGCATTTTGGTTTTCGGATAAAAATTATTATATTTTTTTCTAACAAATTTGGGATCTCACAGCTGCGACATATCCCCGATTTTTCATAAAATCTAATTTCGAAGATCAAAAAGTCCCAGAAACTGTGAGCCCTGTATTTCCAAAAATTTATATTATTTTTTTGCCGTTCATCCAAGATAGCGTGAAGAAAAAACAGGCTATCTAATCATTTGACCGTTTTCGATACTACAAATGACCATCGATTCGATATTAAATGCTTGATGTTAGAAAAATAAACTTCTGTTCCATCTGAGAATTCAAAAACTCCTAGTCATATATTTCGAGAGCAATTCTGAAAATTTAAATTTTTCAAAAGACTGTTCCCTTGAAAGTTCTGTGAATAGACGTACCTAAAAATTACAGTGTACAGATATTTTCGGACACGGCTTGTTCAGTGATCAATTTTCTAAACTTCATTCCAGTTCAAACTTGGTCATTCAAATGGAAGTTCTCACGGATTCTCAAGAATCACTAGATATGCTCATGAAGAAGTTGAATATGTTCCTTTGGTGAGCGATGCTTATGCTCAGGTTGATGAACTTGAGAAAAAACGCAACGAAAAACTTTGGAAGTGAGTTTTTTTCTTCCAAAAACCATACATAAATCTTCATTTCAAACCTACAGACAAACTGGTTTGTTGTGGGTCAGCACTGGTGGTGAAATTGATAAAATCTCTTCAAATCTGAAGACTCATAACATTGAACATGAAGTTGTTCGTGGTTCAAAAATTCATGAGAAGTATCCACAATTTCAATTTGGAGAAGAATGGCAGGGACTTATTGATCCAAAGGGTGGTGTGATTTATGCGAACAAGTGGCTTCATGCTTTTCAAGACGAGTTTGTTCAATTAGGTGGTGTTGTACACGAAGAAGAGGAGCTGATTTCCTACAATGATCAGCTTCAAAATAAAATTGAGGTCAAGACAAACAAAGGGAGTTATAGTTCTAGAAAGATCATTTTCACCGTTGGATCTTGGATCACCAAACTGTTGCCTGAACTTGACTTCAAGATTGATGTATGTAGAGTACATTTTCATCTAAAAATACATAATTCAAATTGATTTTTTGCAGCCAATCAGTATTTCTGTCTGCTACTGGAAAGCAGCTGAAGAAAAATATTCTCAACTTCTCAACGACGACCATTTTCCAGTGGTTATTGCGCAAGAAATGGAACTCAAAGAGTTTCATTATGCTCTTCCAGACAACGATCATCAAGGTTCTATTAAGTTCTGCTATCATGCTGGAGACACATTGACAGCTGATTTTCAACATCCAGAGAAGCGATCACAATCTATGATTGATTTGCCAGCGGAGTTTATCAAGAAACATTTACCAGTGGTTGATCATAAGGCTCCATCGCATGTTGATTTTTGCAAATACACAGTGAGTTTTTGGGGATTTATTAGAGGGTAGAAATTTTTCTAACGATTTTCTTTTCAGAACTCACCTGATGATCATTATCTGATCGGACCAATCCCATCAAAAAATCCAAATGTATTAGTTGGTGGATGTGGCTGTGGCTCTGGTTTCAAAGTTTCTCCAGGAATCGGAAGAGCTCTCGCTGAAATGGCTGCCGACAAACCAACAACAGTCGATGTCTCATTTTTCAGTGTTTCAAGATTTCAAAAATGATTCTTTATTATCATTATTATTTAATCAAAAAATAAAATAAATATGTATGTTTCATTATCATTATCAAATGAATGAACCCGTCAAACAACAAAATCTGGCAATTACCTAATTATGTATTCATTATTATCATGCAACTTTGTTGAAATTTCCGCGGAACATGCGCATAAATGCCGAACGAAATTGTCGATTAGCTAAAGCGTATGCAAACGGATTACCACTACTATTCAAATAACACATATAATATGACATTGTAAAAATTGATGGCGGAATACAGTTATTACCACAGAAACCGAATAATGTGGCCTGGAAAAAAAATGAGTTTTGAGATGGGAAAAATAGGTTTTTCGAAAATGGTGAAAAATATTCAAGAATCTTTTTAAAAAAATTTAATGTTTATCGAAAATTATCCAGAATTTCTTTTTGAAGTTACGCTAACTCGAGAATTTAAACCTATATTTTCATGGATCAAGGTTTAAAAATTTAATTTCTGTCTAGAATTTTCGAGAATGACTCAATAGACCAAACCCTGAATTTTTAACCCCCTCCCCATCCAAGTTTTTTTACCATTATATAATATGGCGACCAAAGAATTGCAAAAAATCCAACAATAAAAGTGATTGTTCTGAAAAAAAAAACATTTTTAATCCAATCCAACTCTAAATGAATAAATACCAACCTGAAAGCCTTATGCGCTCTTTTCTCAGCTTTTGTTTGTTTTCTTCCTCGATTAAAAACAGCAATTGGTGCGAAAATTGATGATATCACTTTTTCTCGCGTAATCGCCGTTGAAATTGTCGAGATTTTTCTGGAGACTCTGAATATTATATAAACTGAATAACAATCTACAACCAAGGATTTGTTAGAATCAAACAAATCAGGAACTGAAAATTGTTTCTAACATAAGATCACACGCAACTAACCCGGCGGCACTTAAAAATGTTTCTGTTTTGGTTGGTGCAGGAGTTGGTGGAGGATCAGTGGCTGTTGGTTGATTTGGCGCTTCATTCACAGTTAATTGTGGGATTTTCAAACTATTACATCGTTCTGGGTTGGATGGATTTGTTTCAACATCCGATGAAGAGTCACTGGAATTCAAAGATTTTTGGGGGAGTTCTCAAATCTCTCTCTCTCCCTCCCCGATACCCTCTAATCTCTGGAAAAAAACTAACTCGCTATTACTGCTACTCGATCTTTCTCTTCGAGTGCTCCTCCTTCGGATCAGCGCTTGAGCTATCCGTTTTTTCATCGAAACTACCCATCGATCAGCTCTCTTCACTTCAATCACCTCAGTATCCGGCTCGTTCTGCAAAAAATATTGTGTTTTTAAAATAAACCCTACCCCCTTACATGAGTTTCAATTGATGCCGAAGCCCCTCCATTCTCATCAACTTGTTTAATCTTCGCAATCCTTCTCGGCGTTGAAGAATTCGATCTTCGTGTAGATCTTGGTTTCCTATTTTTCTTATATTTCCTACTACTTTGTTGTTGAAGTATCACAGATGTTGTATCACTATCATTATTTGAATCAGCAGTTTTCAATTTGTCTTCTTCTTTGAAATTCAAAACCGAATTCAATTCATCATCAGCAAAGAGTTTTCGAAGACTATCTGCTTTTTCAATTGGTTGTTCTTCTTCATGTGTTATACTCTCTGATGCACTATATCGTGATCGTAATGATAATCGACCGTATCCTCTTTGTGGTCTTACTGTAGTGGTTGTACCTTCATTATCACTTAATAATGATACTCTTTCCATCTCACTACATCTTCGAGAATTTGCAGCTGTTGGATGAGGTCCAGGATAATAACTTTCATTGCTCTCCCTGGAAAATTGCTTATGTTAGATTTATTTTGATTTGGCCATTCATTTGAATTCACGCCTGACGAGACGTGTCAAAAAAGGATACTGTATAAAAATTTTCGAATAAAAATTCCCGCCCAAACCAAAATTTCGATTCGGGCGGGAAGCTGATGAAAATTTTCAAAATTTTTTTAAATTTCACTGCACATTTTTTCACGAAAAAGTGAAATGTTCATTGATTATCAGCGGATTTTGATGAAAATATTCAGAAAATTTCAAAATTTCACGCTGCATAATTTTTATTCTGAAAAAATTTTCACGCTGCACAAAAATTTTAGGACATTCTTTCGTCAAGTGTGGTTGAATCCCGTGGATGAAAATTAAAATTGTCATTCAAAAGTGGGCGTGGCCAAAATGCACAATTTTTGAAAAAATTATGTTTTTTCTAAGTTCTGATAACTAATATATATTGAGTCAAAGTCCAAAAAAAACAATCTTCAAATTTCAACCCCATTTTTTAAGTGGGCGTGGCCATTTTTTCAAAAAATTAAAAATCCTAACCTTCTCGACATAAAACCACTCCTCTCTTCCTCAATAACACCCAAATTCTGATCATTCTCCGTGTTGACAGACCCCTGAAATAATCATAAATACTAATTTATTATTTGCAGATGCCCAAAAAAAACGACAAATTGAACTCAACAATATATTAACGTTGCTATATGTCGGGATGATTGATTTGAAAATTTTTGAATTTGTTATTAGTTTGATGCACTTCCGTTTTTTGCAGAAAAAAATAGAAAAAAAGTATAATCAAATAAATCAATCCGACACAATAAACAAAAAAAAATTGGTGATTGTTGTTTTTTTTTCCGTTTTTTGAACATTTTTGAGCAATGTTTCATTGATGTCTAGCCGACGTTTCTCTTTTTTTTCAAGAGAGAAACGAATATTATACATGCATGATTACTTTTGTAAATATTACATACATCATCTCCATTACTAACCCTAACCGTTAGTACATTCACAATATTCTCAAACATTAAATTATTCATGCGTTTGTCTATGGAAAATGTATGCACATTGTTTTACCTCAACGCTTAGTGTGTTATTTGCATTCGATTCAATTCTATACTGACTTGATTCCGGTTCGGAAAATCCAAACCGGCGTGAATTGAGATCCTGAATGATGGATTAGAAAAAAAATCAAGATGGAAAAAATCAGGAATAAAACCATGCGGGTTATAAGAGCACTTTTTCAAAAATTCTAAATTTCTTCTGTTTTTTATTCTTACCCCTGCTGGATGACTTGTATATCCACTATCCTTTTGAGCTTCTTCCGCTTTCCGCTCTTTTTCCGCTTTTGATTGAAGCATCAAAGAAACTCCAACCTGAAAGCCATAAATTTGGGATCAAAAATCAAGAAAAAGCAAACCTGTGTTCCAAGTCGTTGACTCAAGATTAGTGCAATATGACGTCGCTCTTTTGCCTTAGCTTTTTTCTCCAAATTTTTCGCGGCCTGGTGAATTCCCTGAAAAAAAATTTGATCTACCAGAATCTGTAATTTTTTTCTGCAAAAACCAACCTTATACAGAATCAACATGGCTACAAGAGTTGTCCAATAATAAGCCACATACATTCCCATATTAACATATGGATTATCAAGAAATGGCGCATTACATTTCCCATTTTTTGTGCTATCACTTTTTGATCTACTAATCGTTTCCCATCCATAAATCATAATTCCAAAAATCACTGCTGGCAAAAGCCAAGACATAAAAATCAATGCTTGCGTTTTTGTCGGACTCTGCCATTTCAAATATTTTGCGGTATGACAAACAGACAAATATCGATCGGCGGTGATTAACAGAACTGTCAAAATCGAGACGAGACATAGAGTATAATCCAAAAATAGCCACGTTTGACAAGCGATTTCACCCAAAGGCCAACGATCACCTGAAAATTTATGAATTTGAGCGGAAATCTTTTTTTTTTGAATGAAAAACCAACCATTCAAGACATAAATTGTGAAAAATGGAAAACCTTCAATTCCAATAATCAAATCCGATATCGCCAATGATACAATATATCGATTACTAACCTGGAAAAATTTCGAGTAGAGTTTTGTTTTTTTTTTTTGAAAATGAGTAAGAGGAGGGCTTACTTGTTTACTGATATTGCGTTCTATTCGATATGCCATTATAACCATCGCATTTCCAATAATTGTTTCCAAACTTAAAACAATTATCACCAACCATACCAGAATCTGGAATTTGGGAATTGGAAATTGGAGATCACAGCATTTGAGGGCACATTTTGTTAAAAGTTTTAGAGATTTTTGATTTTTTTAAATTTTTGGTAGATCAAAAATAGTGCTTTATTCTATATTGCAAATGCGCTCTATTGAATATTCATTTCAATTTTTTAAAAATATTATTTTTGTTTTTTTTTTGAAAACACAAAAATCGATATTATGGTAGCTCTAGCATCAAATCAATGTCTAGATTCAAAATTCAAAAACTTATTTTCAAAACAAACCTGCGTTGAAATGCTATATGGTGACATCCAACTGGTGTCGGGTGGTATTGTGATATTATCCATTGAGACCACTCAAAATGTGTTGTTTTTCTGTAAAAATCAAAAACATAAGTATCTAAAAAATTCTGAAAAGAAAATTCGAAAGGCGGGGGATGAAAAACAATTTTTCTCATTCGAGAAGAAAATCGAGAAAATCGGTCAAGCACGAAATAAAGAAGTTTGATTCTGAAATTCATGAGAAATGCGATGAGATGAGGTGTTCAATAATGAGAAAAATATGATTTGTCATTTCCGATTGAAACGGTGTTTTGTTTTTACATAAATGAACATTTTTTATATGATATTTTGAAAAAATAAATTAAAAGAATATCCGATGAAGATAATTTGCAAGCAAAGTTAATGGCGTAGATCAGAAGGAAACTGGGAGGAAGGAAAAATTAATCGAAAAAAAGTACTTTTGCGCAGATCTACTAGAAAAACTGGCAAAACATCAGCGCAAAAAAAATGGAAAAAAAACTTGAGTTGATTCCGTGGTTTGGTATAATGAATTGAATTGCAAAATAAGTAAGTGAGTTGCGTATTTATTATTTTATTTTATTTTTTTGATTGACTTTTTTTCTTTTCAGAAAACTAACTTAACTTACATTATTATAGTAGAAAAAAATATACATATATAAGGTTCAAACTCCGCTTATTGTTAAAAATCTGACGAAAAAAAGCGAGAATGTTGTTATTTTTGGACGGGTCGACAAGAAGCAGAAAATTTGTGTGTGTGGAGAAAAAGGAGGGAGGCAAAACGGGGCGAGCAAAAGTATCTTCTTGTTCTCAAATCAGTTTATCGAATTTGAGAGATCTCTATCGAAATTCACAAGAATAAGGAAAAGATGAAGAAAAAAACCCCGAAGAAGAGGGGCTCTTTCAAAGATATCAGGGAAAAGGAAAAAGAATTAGTCGATATCCACGTTTGTGTATATATGTGTGTGTGGGGGGATTAATGGGCACAAAATGCGAAAAAAACAAGAAAGGTTTTTGGCTTAAAATAATCAGTGATTGACGGAAATATGTATCTAGAAGGTATTGTTTTTAAAATACTGGAATTGAATTCGAGTTCAAATTTGAACTCCAAATGAGTATGCGGATTAACATTTTGTAAAAAAATGTACCAAGACATTTTTTCTCCGACGAGAACTTTGTTATAAACTTTCAGTAGTTATTTGGAAAAAAAATTATAAATGAACCTAATAACATTTTTCAAAATTAGTCAAAGTGATTTTGAAAAAAAAGGAGTTCCAGAGATTTTCTACGAATCTATTTTATAAAACGACACAAAAACGGCAGCTAGGTGGACATTTTTTTGTTCGCTTGGCTGAGTGACACCACCTTATTATATGTATTTGGAAACACGCAATGTTGATTTGACATTTGTTGGTTCCAACAATGAATTAAAACACAAACACAAACACAATTTCAATTTCAAATTCTAGTTAAAGTTCAAAAAATCATGAAATACAGTATTCCAAAAATGTTTTTGAATTGATCTTCTCAATTATTTTTCGCTTGAAGAACATCATCATTTTCAGACAAACACGTATTCGTTTGTCTCAAATAAATACCTAGAAAAGTTCAAGAAATCAAATGTCTTCCAAAATTGAGCAAAGCACATGGATGCACAATAATCCCTAAATTCGGCGACGCAATTTTTCAAAAAAAACGACACGCAGATAAAATTGAATTTCCTCATATCTTCATCAAAGTTCAAAGTGAGATGATCATTTTGCAACTTTTTTTTCCAAGTTTTTTGGGTAGGTATGAATAAAAAGTCGAAAGAAAAAATCTAGAAAACGTGATTTTTCGCTGTGTTTTTTTATTTCTTTGAATAATTATCTATCAAATGACTATTCCGCTATTCGGATTATACTTTTCCACATACAAATTAAGAGGAATCTATTAATAATATTCATTTTCCGCTTAATTCCATCAAAAGAGTTATTTTTTATGCAATGTACATAAAAAGGGAGGAAAAGCAAATCAGACTGGAAAAGAAAAATTATGGAGATTCTAATCCTTTTAAGCACTTTTTTTTCTGCCACCAGCACAAATTAATCGATAAAATGAATCAAACAAGAAATTTCAAATACAAAAAAAAAGAAAAAAATTTTTTTCCGGTTCCATACGAGTTTGAGGATCAAAAGTTGAAGTCATTTGTCATTTTTCTGCGTTCAACCGAACTTTTTTATTTGGTGTTTGGGTTGCTTTTTCTCGAAAAAAACTGGTAACATGTTTTCAGTTCAGGACTTTAGAAAATCAAAAAGACATAGTTCTCTTGGACTATTGTATAAAGGCGGTGCTGGAAATTGGGTAAGTACAATTTTTAAAGAGAACTTCTGAGATGGAACTTTCAAGAGATCTAAAGAAACACTGAAGTTAGCTGATCTAAAGGTTCTGAAGTCCAAATCTGATTTCAGGACGTCTGTAATCACCAAAACGGAAAGGGCCAGGTCCGAATTTTGAGAACACCACCACAAAATTAATTTTTACAGTAAAATTTCTGATATTTGGAGATTGCTCTCAAAAAAACGAAATTCGTTTTTGGCCCTTTCACGAAAAAATCGTCTTGCTAGTTTCAAGAATGCTGAAAATTGGGTCCTAAATTTGGAAGAACAACTAGAAAAAATCGTTCATTAAGCAACAAACATCCAAACACAAGTATGATGTTTCAAATGCTCAAATTACTTACCCACCACCGAAAAAGCACATCACATCTCAAACCACACAAAAAAAACGAAATGAAATACAAGTATATGTATTTCTTGGTAGCGGGATAATCGAACGGAAGGTGTTGAGAACAAGAAAAAATGAGCAGTGAAAAATGAAGGAAGAAGTAGAAGAAGACGAAAAATGGAGGGGCAATAGGAGAAAATGGGTTGAAATGCACGACTTTCATTTCATGCTTCTATGCGTTTCATTCCGACATCTAGAACTTTTTTAGCCTTTTCGTAGGAGGGAAAAACACACACACACACATAATATTTCATATTTTATAAATAGATTATTTTCAAAGTTGAAGAAAACACTAATGTTCCGGATGAATGTTCTTACATTAGGAAAACGAGAGAAAAATTTGAGAAAGCAATTTTTTGTAATCCGATAATCTTGAATCTCGAAATCAAAATCCAAGTTCCTGAGAACCACAATCGATATATTCAAAAATAAATGTGTTTTCAGAATAAGCATAATTCATAAAACTATCTAGTAGATCTCAAAAATCAAATAGATTTTGGTTTGTAAAACGGTTACAAGAAAAAAAGGAACTTTTGAAAAGCTAGAAACACAGAGTTTCTGCTCAAAAATGGAATTTTCTGAAATTCGCGCTGAAAATATTGCGTGTTGAAAAATCAAGTTAAACGATGCTCAATCACATTTAAGTTATTCAAAATTCAAGGTTTCAGGTAATCCAAAAATTTAAATCTAAAATCAAAAAAAGTGCTCATTTTTCAGAGAGTTGACTATCGACTTAATGTTAGCACAAAATTTGCCTGAAAAAACATAACCTTCTTTCTAGGTGGTAGATTTGAGGCCAAAAACATATTGCTCATGTTAAAGCGGTCATTTTGAGTCCAAACATTATATAGTAACTCAATTGAAGCCTTTGCGACTTGAATTAGAATTGGGCACAAAAATTGACAACGGAAATACCAGAAGAGATCTCCAAAATAGTTTCAAAATCAAAAAAATCAAGTATAAAAATCAGATAAACTACAAGAACCGCAGTTCTTCTAAAAACAAACACAAAACTATTTTCAAAATGAAAAAACAAGAGGTGCCACCACTTCACACAAACACGTCAATCTTGTGAGGGTTGGCGTTTTTTGTGTGCAGTGTTTTTTTGTGAGTCGAAAAATTCACTTTCTAAATTTTCTCGAAAAATTGGTTCACTAAAGAAGAACAATCAGATATGTTCTGAACCCGAAAAAGAATGAGTGAGAGCAAACCCAGAAAAACTTTTGACGTTTGATCAGTTCCGCCAAAAACCCAACCAAGCTTTCGTCATTCATTTGTCTTTACCTTTTCCCATATGTTATGTTTTATTCTTCATCATTTTTTGTTTCATTTTTGAATCACGTCTCTTTCGCATCATTGAATCCTCTTTACGTTGAAAAAAGTAACCTTTTTGCTCATTTGTATGTGTTTTGTAAAGCTACATATAATACTTTTGAGAGATATGTATAAGAATAACATGTTTTTTTCAGTTAAATTTGACACGGTTCATAAATTTTGAGCAATTTTTTCGAGTCAACTCACATCTCCGGAGTTGGTTCGCGCCGCGCGTTAAGAAGAGAAAAAAGAACTTCTTGATTTATTGGCACGGAAATTTAGAACAACAATTTCTTCTGAATTTCCGTTGACAGAAATGAAATGCTCTTATTCGAATCAGACGGCTGATTTCGCATTTACAAGATTTTTAATTTGTTAATAACAAATCCGGTTCTGTCCGGATTATATCGCATACAAAGTTGAAAGATAAACTTTTGATAGAAATATGTGTGAGCAGAAACAAAAATAACTAAAGACTGAAGGTTAGAAATTCTAAATTAAGAATAGTTTTAGGTGATTGGATAATTTTTAAACTTGAAAAATTATTGAACCGAAAAGAAGTTGAAGCTATTAATAGAAAAAAAAACTAAATTTTGTCTGAAATTCAAGAATCAAGCCTATAATGATTTCAGGCCCTGGGAAAAACTATCTGCGTTTTTTGTTAGTCAATATCAGATTCGATGAAAATCTTTTTTTTTCCAGAATTTGACAAGTTCAAAGAAATTGTCTGAAATCTGGTTCATGGAAAAACAATCAATCTAATTTTGCACTACAGTCCAATCTTCAAATAAAAAACAACAATAAAATAGGCCAAACCAAGCACATAAATCTTAATTTCAAATCATAGCCAAAGAAAAAAAAATCGCATAAATAAATTTAAAACCACAAGATATATCCTCTAAAATATGCAAAATATTTTCTCCAAAACTTTTAAGTACATGAAAAATGAAGAAGGAAAAAGAAAAAAAATATAAATGTTGTTGTGTTACGTGCGAAATAAATATGATTAAGATTATCGAAGTGATTCTATCTAAAAATGAATTTAGGGGGATGGAATTTTTTGTGATTCTATTCGCAAAACAACATTTTATTTCACTTCAGAAAGCAAAAAAAGATAGAGAGTTAGGCAAACTCTGAAAAATTAGTAGGCAGAAGATGGCGAACGAATGAATAAGAAAAAGTTGAAAAGTCGAGCAGAAAAAAAATGAGAGATGATAATCAAGAAAAATTGACGACCCTCTTCAAAAGTGGGTTGAGATGTTCAAAGATTCCATAAATTCAAACCCCAGGGAAAACTGAGTGAGATATTTTTTTTTTGAAAAAATACATGTAACTTTCTTTGGGAGATTTTTTTATACATATAAGATATAAAAAAAATCGTTGTACATGGTGGTAGAGAAGAGGAAAAAGATACGAGAATATCATTAATCATAGGAGGAGCTTAAATTTCAGGAGGATAATCTTCACTGAACATCGGATTTGGTTTTTTTTTGTTTTCTCCTTTTTTCAAGAAGAAGCAAGGCAAAATTTATTATGAAAAAACATGGAATTATATATTTTTATTTGGTGATTTTTTCAGGTTTGAATGTGCGAAAAAATGAATTTCGGTTGGTGGAAAATAATGGTTTTTTTTTTGGAAAACCATTTTTAGATTTTCATTGGATGTCATGACAATTTATTGGGACAAGAAAACAGAAAAATTGAATTTTGAGAGAATTATGTTTTGAGAAGCTCTGAAAACATTTTCGTGAATCACGAATGTTTTTAAAAGGGGCCCATAATCATTTCACAAGTTACAGCCTTTTAGAACACCCTAGTTCAAGATAAAAAATATAAAGTTTCATTCAAAGACCTACTGGTTTTTAGCTATAATTGGTTTTGCTGAAATTGAAAAATATATAGATAATTGTGATGAGCAAAGCGAATAAAATGAAATGAATGAATAAAAAAACCAAATTATTCTTCAGATATATGACTTTCAGAAAAAATATATTATATATGTAAATCAGAATCAAAAAAAAATTCGAATATATAAGAAATGTATATAAGCTAGAGTAGTAAAAGAACAAAAACATACTTAATACCGCCGCAATTATTTTTTTATTCTGTTTTGTTTTTCAAAACAGAGCAGAGCAGAGTGTTCTTTAGCAGCACAATACAGAAAGAAGCTTAACACGATCAAAGAGAAGTGAGTTAAAGAGTAGAAAAAACATAGCAAAGGCATCTTCTAATTTTGTATTCTATTCCTATTCCAACTTCTTTTGATCTACACACAAGGAAATATTTTCAGTGATGATGAATTGGAGTTTTTTCAATTGACAGTCGGATAAGCGTGACGGGCGCCATTTATCGCAAAAAATATGTGTACATTTTAATCTTTGAGAGAAAAAACTGGGAGGTTTTTTTTGGATGTTAGCTACTGTACAAAGAACTTATTGAATTTGAGGAAAGCAAAAAAATATGGAAGAAAACATAGCAATATGCAACCCGCGAAGTGTCGGTGAGCCAAACTGTTTACGATGAGAAACTTGATGATCAATTAAAAATAGATGTTTTAGCTAATTTTAAATATTTTTCGTCATAGAACATTTTGAGATTTGAAAATAATGAAGTTAATTTGAAACTAAAACGAACTTTATTTTTCACAGGGGTTAATTTAACACTGTGGCAGCTTTAACATTTGAGCTGTCCTCTGGGAGGTTTTTTGCTACTGTACAAAAACTTATTCAATTTGAAAAGCAAAAAAAAGAAAGCTCTTATGACTGACTAATAATAATAATGAAAAAAATGTTGAAAATAAATAGATTATTAAATAGAGCAGATGAGACGGAAACGGAATTGGAATAGAAATAAAAAAGAAAAAGTGAAGATTTTGGGCTCAAAATTATAAAAGTGCATATAATTATTATACATGAGAAATAATGAGATGCCGCTTCGAATTTTTGTATCAATTTCAAGACGCTTATTTCTTTATTCTTATTTTTCGTTTATTTTTCTATTTTTTTTGTCTTTGATAGGTTTGTTTTTATTGGAATAAGACGACAAGAAAAAAAAAGCAAATTTACATTTTATCCATTTGTTGTTATTATTCTGTCTTGGAAGCAAAAAAGAAATGAGAAATGATTTGGAAGCATGATTTGATTGATTCTGAGAGTCAAAAAAGGAGGAAGACCTAGTTTAGAATATTCTTCACAATTATTTTTATTTTTAGGAAAACAATTTTGCTGTCTGCAGGAAGTCACAACCGTATTAACAAATTCAATATTCATTTTTATTTTTTATTTCATTTTTTACAACAAAAACAACAACAATACAACTTTTAATTCCTTGATTATATTTTTTTGTATTCCGTTTTCTTGACAAATGCTAGCAGAAGAAAAAAACGTGTTCTATTTTTACCTCAAAAAAAGTTCATTACATTTTGAAATTTACTAAAAATGATTTTCTGAAAACTTTTTGGATATTTTTTTAAACTCGTGCCAAGGATTTCCGAACCTTAATGTTACCATCTATATTTCGTGATTTCAGGATCGAGAAACTTTTTTCTTTCGAATTTATTAAATGTCTATATTTTATTCTCAGCCAATTGACAACTCCTTCAAAAATGAGACCATTTTTTCAATCTCGATTCCATTGAGAAAAAAAAACACTGAAAAAATATAATCTATCATCCAAAAATCACAGTTTCTCAAAGAAAAACAATTGAAAAAAAAGTTGGCAGGCAAGGGAGATTGATCCCGGGATAAAAGAGCGAAAGGCAAACATGCTAACCACTCGGCTATGTAGCTGTTCTTTATCCATGTCAAAAATTTTGTAGAAAAGAACGCTGTTGAAAATTGCAACCTGTCTCCTCTTTTATGATAAGCCCCGCCCACTTGGTATGCAAAAGATAGCGAGTGTCTCCTCCGGTCAGTTGTCGGCGCGCGCATAAATAGAAGAGGGGGAAATAATTCATTAAAACTGATTAGTTCAAATTTATAATTTTCTAAAAAAAAAATAAAAGACGAAAAAAATGCAAGATTGGTTATTGTGATACAATAATCTTTTTTGTTACTGTTTGACAGTGACAAAAAGATTACTGTATTACAAGAACCTTTCTTGTATTAAACAAAAAGGGAGAAATCTAACATGAATATTTTCAGATTTGAAAAATTTGCTCTAAAAATTGTGCTTTTTGATTTGCTAACTTATTTTTGTGAAATAAACCTCATTAGACAAGAAATGATTCATTCAATCAATAAAACAGTAGAAAATATATATCAGGAAAAAATGGCATGATGATAGGTAAACATAAAAACACAGTAAAATTTGGGCAAATAAATTTGATATAATGAGACAAAAACAAATGAATTGTGGGCAATAAATTATGAAATACAGTACAACATTGGTCGAACTAGATTAGAATCATTGATTTTTCATTGGTCTGTGAAATAATCGGAATATACATACAATTCAAAAAGGACCAAAACTAACTGACACAATTTCTAAATACTTTCAAAGTTTATTATATTTTGTTTTGCAAAAACCATGCAAATATAAAATTTCCCGTGAATATCAATAAATATATGTATGTATGTAAGTTTTGAAATTTCTCTGTTATTTTTTTATATTAAAAAAAAATAAACTAGACACTACTATGGACATATCACAAACAATTTTTTTTGAAGCGTAAATTCGATGCATACATCTTTTGTTGAAGAATCGTATTTGTTTTTTGTTTGTTTTTTTTCTTTAAAATTTTTGGAATTATGCTGAGATAAACACGTTTGATATAAGAGACCGCAAGTAAATGGAATTTTGGGGGAAAATATGTGATTTTTATGGATTTTGAAGTCGCCATTGCATTTCAGTTGTATTGATTGATGCTTGTTTAGAGCTCAATAGTGGCCACGATCCTTTGTGAATTGCAATCACCTGAAAATTATTGATTATTTTTATTTTCTACATTTTTAAATGATATGAACATACCTTTTGAATAGTTTCCTGGGCACTGAGACATGGAAGAGTTTCCAGAGCAGCAGAACTAAGTCTTCCAGCATCATCAGATTCACCAATCAGCGCTTGAACACATTGTTCAGCGGCTTGTGAGATACTTGTCAAATCATAGCCGCCTTCCAAAGCCAACACAACTTTTCCATTGGCGAAATTCATCAAACTTTTTGTCATGAATCCAAAGAGCTCTGGTGAAATTTCATATCCACCAAGAGCGTTGGCGTGTCCACGAGCTGCATCAAAACCAGCTGATACGAGGATGAATGTTGGTTGGAAACTTTCGAGCACTGGTTCGACGATTGCTCTCCAAGCGGCAAGATAATCAGCGTCTCTCATGATATCTCCGGAAAATGGGACGTTGACAGTGAAGCCCTAGAAATTATGTGATTGAATTTGAATAATCCTCCCAACAAACCTTTCCAGCTTCTCTTCCAACTTCAGTAACTGAACCAGTTCCTGGGAAAAAGTGTCCATTATCATGTCGATGAAGAGACAAATATAAAACATTTGGATCTTCTTCGAAACTCAATTGAGTACCATTTCCATGATGAACATCCCAATCAATAATCGCAATTTTTGCACATTGAGTTGGATATTTGTTTTGAAGAACTTTAGCGGTGATCGCAACATTGTTGAAAAAACAGAAACCCATGGCCAATTCTCGTTCAGCGTGATGACCTGGTGGTCGAATGCAGGCAAACCCATTTTTTACTCGATTTTCTACGACTTGTGTTGCCAATTCGATCAAGCTTCCAGTCGCCATTCGAGCAGCTGTTTGAGTGCTCGCATCATTGAAATATGTATCGGTATCTACGCCGATTCCACCACAAGGAAGCTGAAGAAATCGCTTCACTGGCAATGAATTTGCATCCATTTTTAGACAAGCAGTTGGTGAAACAGCAAAAAATGTAGTGTATGTTTGTGAATGTACAAGTTGTAATTGTTCAAGTGACGCTTTCTTCGCCGTCACTTTTTTCACATTTCTGCACCAATCCCCTCTCAATCAATCTCGACCAAATACTTTGAATCCTCCCGCCATGTTCAACATGTAACGAACTATTTCCACAAACACAATCATGTTTTGCCATCGCCGCATCATATGCTAAACCAGTCTGTGTTGGATCGCCGTTACAATCAATTCCAGCTTCAGAAGCGAGTTGTTGAAGATGTTGCAATTTACTAGATGACAGTAATCCAGAATAATGTGCATCATCAGCGCCTTCTTCAGGTTCTTCTCGCACTAAACTTTTCCGCCGTAAAACGAGATCTCTGATTTGTTGTTTGAGCAATGATTGATATTGATGTCCTCCAAGATTCATTGCCTGTGAAAGGCTTGATGATGAAGTAGCACCCATCAAACTATTACGATCACAATCATCTGTCAAACCGCCAAGTTCTAGTTTTTTATTAAGTAAACTTGGAAGACTGAGGAATGGTGATAAATTTGCAGCAGCCATGAATGCTGTGAGATCTGCAAAAATTCTCACGTTGGAGTTAGGATAAATTAGGGCAGATGAACTTACCAATAGGAAGATTAACATTAGGAAAAGCACCAGCTGCTGCCAAATTCGGTAGAGAAGGTGAAGGTAACATGAGATGCGGTAGAGAATTTTGAGTTGAATGCTGTTGAAGAATATCCAACGCTGCAGTTTGTGATGATTCACTATCACAGCGTTTCAGCTGTGGATGTGTGAAACTAAATTGTGAATTATTTGTAGACTGCTGCTGCACTGGACTAGATCCCTTTGATAGCAGTTTTGCTCTGATTCTCATCTTCAAATTCGGCTCTGAATTAACCTTCCGTAGCTGAAATTCATTTGCTTGAATTGTCTGTGCTGTTGTGAAGTTTGAAGGTAATCGATAGGGCTCAAAATGTGGTGATGAGACGTTTACCTGGAAATTTAAATTTGCACTTGTTTTTGTTTTTTATTTTCCGAAAAAAAGCTTACATGTGTTGGATTATTAGTTGTTGTGGCGGTGGTAGAAGAAGGGCTTCCGATAAGGTTACTCTGACTGCCAGATTCGCCGCGACTTCGATTTGCGATCATATTTTTCAATCGATCTTTGGTGAGTTGTGAAATTGTTGTTGAATTTGTGCGAGGAATATCACTAAATTTCATTTTTATTTGAGAGGTTTTAGGGGGGAAATATGCTCACCATTTTTTGGATGATGATGATGATGGTTGATCTCGAGTTGGTGTTTGTGGTACACTGCTATTTCCGTTTGACAACAAGTTGGTCAATGAACTTGCCAACGACAAAGGTGCAACTGAAAGTGGATATGTGGGTAAATATTATGAAATTTCTGGGGTGTAGAACTTATAAATATCGAAAATATTTAGAATTCAGTTGGATTTAGACTAACTTGAGAGAATCTTTGTCACTCATAAGTTTGCTTTAAAATTTTTTTGCCACCTGAAATAATATTTTGTAGTTCAAAAATTTTCTGAATATTTTTATTTTTCTTCGAACCCAAACTATTTTTAAAAAATATTCCAAGATTGAATGTCCCAAAACCCACCAGGACCATCATCAAATTGTATCATTCGATGTGATTTTGTAGACTTGGGTGATGAACTTGTTGTTGTGTTACTTGCAAACGAAGATGCACTATCAACAGCAGCAGCGGCTGTTGAAATCGCTTGAACTGCCGCAGCAGCTCGTTCATTTTGTTGTTGTTGAAGTGCAGCATAGACGTTTTGCAGATGCTGCACATTCAACTCTTGTTGAGCTCGATGATAATGACCAAGCAGATCCATCTGCTTTTGATGGTATGTCTGAAAATAGATATTATTTATGAGATTTTCCGTATATATTAAATACAAAAATTTATATGATTATTAGACGATAATGAATACAAAATTTCTAAAAATAACGGGAAAATGTCAGAAAATCATAGAAGAAACATCGATGATAAATGTTGTTATTCTTCCGACCACCTGCTTTTGTGCAAAAAGGTTTTTTTCTTCTATTTTTATTCTTCTCTTTTTGCTCTTGGCAAAAACAAAAATATACATCATAAATAAGTGTATAACACCTGCAACCGAGTAGAAAAAGAAAAAAAAACTCTTGATGTTTGACATTCTAAAGTACTATAAGAAAAGAATTACTTCCTCTAAAATACATAAATTGATTTGGTTTTTTTTCTAGTTGAATCAACATCTGAACAAATAAATAACTTATTCATTGTTTGGAAAAAAAATATGCGCGCATGATTTTTGTTTGACCAATCGAATCACATCAATTTTTCAAAAAAAGAGAGAGCAGAAAGAGCAACAAAAATACCGGATGCTGGATGAAATTCTTGGAATAATAAAACTTTGTTCCTGGTACTTTTTTTCATTTCACTAATTAAAACTTGAAGAAAAAAGTATACACATGTGAGTAGGATATGAATAGAATTTAGAAAAAAAAGAGATTTTTTATAAGATTATGCACGTAGTTTCTTCTAAAAGTGTATAAAATATATTTGGTTAGTTAGTTAGTTAGTTAATAAACGACATTTATTTTTGCTACGCTATACTAGTTTTCTTAAAACTTAACACCTGCAAAGAATGTTTTATTCTGATCTTGATCTAGATATAGTTTGAGTAGTGCACCTAAATACATAAAGACGTAATTTTGAATTAATATGCTAAAGTTGGAGGTGAAAAGTGTAGAAAAAATGGGCGAGCAATGAATATGATTATCTTTTTTCTAGACTTCCGGAAAAAACAGCTGAATTATCCTTTTTTTTTTGAGAATGAGAGAGAAAAAATGTAGTTCAAGATAGATTTTTTTTGGTTTAAGAAAAAAATTTTCTGGACCTGGAGTAATAGGTAAGCAGGAAAAAAACTGAAGAATCAGAATTTCTGAACCTCTGTTTCTTGCTGATCAAGTTCTATTTTTAATTTTTGTTTTGAACACCTCTGATTCTCGGGCTTTTGGGTTGACTAGACCTTTCTGAATCTGGTTTATAAATTCTAATCAGTAAAGTATTTTGGATCAAGTGGGCTTTTCTGGCCAGAAGGAATTTTGAAATGCTTTTGGCGGGCTCAAAAATCTCATTATGGCACAGAAATATCTATGAGGGCCTTTTCAAAAGCTGAACCTAGAATCTGGAATCTACATTTCCTGATTTTTTCTGGCGAAGACTAAAATTAACGGAATTCAGGACCAAAATCAACGGAATTCAGGGAATAGATGAATAATTTGAAAAAAAATATTTTTAAAAGTTTGAAGCCTAGCGGTTTTAGTACTAAAATAGATCTAACGATAAAATCTCAATTCAAAAATTTAAATCAGAAAAAAAAGCCAGAAAAAAGTATAGAAGTGGACACAAAGTTTTTTTGTCAGTGTGTTGCGCGCGCTCACAAAATTTTCCGCATTTCATTTTCGTCTGTTTTGTTTGTGCTTTCTTTTCTTTCTCATCTCACTACACAAACAATCGATGATTCGCGAAAATACTATTTCGGGGTCCACCACACAAAATCAATACAAAAAATCGGCCAAAATATAGTGAAGCTTCGGAAAACAACAACGACAAAAAAACACAGAAAATCGGAGGGAGGGAAAAAAATGAAAAGGAAAGGAAAGGGAAGGGAAGAAGGAAAACGAAACGAGACCGCAAACAAAAATGCGCCTAAAAATAGTATCATATTTGAGGCGAGAAAAACCAAAAGGAAAATATGAAAAAAAAGAAGGATGAAGAAGGAGTAGGAGGCAAAAAGAAGCACAAAAAAAAGAACGTGGATATATCAAACTAAAAAAAAATGAAACCAACTACCCGCACCAAGTAGCGTTATTTATGGAATGAATATATTTATATCCATATATTTTTTATTCATATACTATTCAGATCTTCTGAATTGCGAATGAATGATATACATGAATGATTGAAGTTTTCCTTTTTTCAAATGATTCAATTTCGAAAAAAATTCTTTTCGCTTTCTCTTTCTATAAATAAACTTTTCATATGTAATGCTTCACTATTACTATGAGAAGAAACCATATTTTTGAGATTAGAGATTTTTTTCGTTCTCGTAATGTAGTTTAGGCTAATCATGTGCACTTGATTGTAAAAGAGAGCAAAACTCATTGAATTAAAATTAGTCTGAGGGTTTTTGGCCAAAACACCTTCAGAAATTTTCAGTCGAAAAATTAATTAGCATATGACTCATAACTTCCGAAAGGTAGAGGCTTCAGATTCGCCCAGGTCTCTGTGGGCACTGGGAATTGAACCTCTGATGTTAAGATCAGCATCAGCTCCCACTTCCACTGAACTACCTCCTCCACATCACGTCCTTAAAATAAGCAAAACTCATCGAGATGTGAAATCAGAGTCCGTGGGTTTTTGGCCATAACATCAAAAATTTTCCAGTCGAGAAAAAAAATATATATGTATATCAAGAAAATGAATCATAACCACCCGAAAAATAAAAAAGAAAGTTCATAATAATCACGGGTTACTTCTACTCCAAAAAGCCCAAATTTGTAGTTGAAGAAAACTATATGTGGGATTTTTTTATATATAGAAAAATGGATGGATGGAATTGAAGAGAGATATAGTTCAAAAATACAAAAAAAAATTTTCATGTAAAAAAATTGGAAAATCTTGCCTAGAAATCCTAATTCTCAAGTAACAGCCTCTAGAAAATCCAATTGTCAAGGATTAGCGCATAGAAAATATAGTTCTCAAGTAACCACGCCTAGAAAATTAGATTTTTAAGGATCATCTGATAGAAAACGTAGTTCTAAAGTAACCGCGCCTAGAAAATTCAATCGTTAAGAAGCAGCGCCTAGAAAACTCAGTTCTCAAGTAAGCGCGTCTAGAAAGCTCTGTTGTCAAGGATTAGCGGCTAGATACGTAGTTCTCAAGTAACCACGCCTAGAAAACCTAAACGCGGACTTGCTGATCATGAAAAAAGAAAAAGGCTCCAAGAAAGCTCACTGATATCAAAAAAGAAATCCAGTTTCAGAAAATATATCACAAAAAATCGAGCAAAAAAAGAAAGTGGAAAACAAAAATGAATCAGTGAAATTCTAGAAAAATAAATGTTTATTGATATAGACTCTATAAATGCTGCTGAGCTTGTGGTGGTAAATATTTGTCTTTTTGCTTGCAAAAATACGAGCCGTTATTACATATGCATGTTGGAAGAAAAAAAGAGAGAAGAAACGAAAGGAAAAAGGTTTCTTGAAACAGTTTCTGATTCTGATATCATTTGGTTTCGAAAAACATTTATAATATTCGACATTTCTATATATGTAAATATTGGAACTCCATGTCTATTTTTGTCTCGAAACACCCCTGAAAGACCGTTGCGGACATACGTCACAAAGCGGGGACGACATTTTTGATGGTTAGTGTTATCAAAAGATGATATGCACCCTGAAATAGGCACAATTCCTAACATGTGCGGTAAAATATTTTTTTGTGTCGTTGGTTTTCCTTTTTTTTTTGAAAAAAAAAAACAAATAAATTAATAAATTTATGCAATTTTTGGGAAAATTTATTTTTTGAATGAATAAAAATTCTGCATTTCTGTGGGAGCAAAATAAAAACAAGGCTAATCTTTGCACTTGTTGCTTCTATTTTAAGAAATGGTTTGATAAAATTTGATGATAAACAAATCATGATTCTAAATGATGATCTATCAACTCACATAAACTATAGTTAGTCTAAGTATATTAAAGTCATGAGGGAGGGGAGAAGGAATTCAAAGTATCGATAAGTTTATCCGGATTAGAGCAAGATCCAGCTCAAATTGAAGAAAAACAATTACAGTAGCGGCTCGAAACTATAAATTGTTTTTCATTCGTTGGAAAATATAGTTTAGTTTGATCAGTAACTTAAAAAAAAATTCTCTGAATCTCTCTGTTGATCAGGTTTTTAATTATTCAAAATAGACAATTTTTTTGCCAAAGAAAGAAAAATTGGATTCAAAACCGCGTTGCGACCGTTCGCTCTCAAAGATATTGAAAATTTTTACAGTAATATTCAAGTTTTATCATGTTCTAGTCTTATGATAGTCTGAATTTATTAAAAATAACGAAAAAAAATTCGAAGTATCGATAAGTCTATCCGGATAAAGAATTAGAGCAAAATCCAGCTCAGACCCTCAAAAAAACATCAAAACAATCCGGTTTTCTCTGCACGGTGAAGAAAAAAATAAGTGAAAAACCTAGATTCCTAGAAATCACACTTCCGGTTCTGAGCCGGATATTCTATTTTTGCTCTACTCGTTTCTTATACACGAACTTATGTAACCTGATGTCAGAAATCATTAGCTCGACTTGTTTTCAACGAAAAAACATAACGACACAAACTATTTTTGGAACATACAACATAATGTTTCCATCAAAAAAAAAGCGGAGAAGAAAAGGAAAACTATTTAGTTGTAGTAAAAGGAGTACTCAAAAAATGACCCGTTTGAAATAAAAAGTTGATCAATGATCGGTGAGCATGAGCTATTTTCAGATCTGTCCAGGAGGGACATTTTATAAAAAAAAGGAGAGAAAGTGTTTGAGAAAGCAAAAAAAATAAGAAAAAACGGGGAGAAGAAGAAGAAAGGGAAGAAGTTGCAAAAATTGAAAACAAGTGCTAACTGCAGCAAAAAAAAGATAGATGAGAACTTTGTTAGATATAAAAATAAACCAAACACACACAAATGCTCCGAGACAACACATTTGATCTACTTGAAGAAGTTATCAAAAGTAAACTCGAAAATAATCATTTTTGATCATTTTTGTTTGCAGATGATTTTAAAGTATCAGTGTTCTTGAGATCAAACATTCGGCAAACTACTCTATAATATTTATATAATATAAATATTTGAAACATAAAATAAAAGAGTCTCATATTATTTACTGAAAGCGTTTTTTCCCCTCTTTAATTTGCGAGTATCGAATGTCCAATTGACTAATGTGCTAAAAATATATAAATTGGGACATTTTTTTCGTTTCCTGATGGAGTAAACGAGGGATTTTTTTGTTGAATGTTACCTGCGACGCGTATGCGTTGCGGTCACTACAAAAGTTGCGGTCTGCTGTTCTTTGGCTATTTGCCAAAAGCCTTTGCGACGCTTTTGAAATTCCGAGGAATCGATTTTCTAGACCTAGCGCCTAGGAAATCCAATAATCAAGGATCAGCGCCTAGAGAGCCTAGTTCTCAAGCCACTGCTCCTAGAAAGCTCTATGGTCAAGGATCAGCGCCTAGAGAGCCTAGTTCTCAAGCCACCGCGCCTAGAGAATCCAATAGTCAAGGATCAGCGTCTAGAGAGCCTAGTTCTCAAGCCACCGCGCCTAGAGAATCCAATAGTCAAGGATCAGCGCCTAGAGAGCCTAATTTTCAAGTCACCGTGCCTAGTTGTCGTCAGGAATTGTAAAAATCAAAAATAGCGGGCACTTGGAATTGAACCTGAGACCCTTAGATCAACCACACCCACCACTTAACTACCCCCGCCCTTCTCGAAGGATTTTTTTTCGAAAATTATTTTCTTATCAAAAAATGAAGTATATATAATCTTAAGGTCAGAACTGTTTTGTGACGCAGGTGCTAATTTTTTTTTTCATTCTGAAAAAAAAAACGAAACCTGTTTAACAATATAATATCTTTATGAAAAATGATTTCTCGCGCCCGGCGCCCGGAAAAATGTCTAAAAATAAAAATAGAAATAGTTTTTTTTTTCCAAGCTTGATATTTTTTCAGAGCAAGAAAAAATCTGAAAAAAAACAAGAGAGGCTCAGCGAAGAAAAAAAGCGAAAAACAACACATTTGTAGGCGGGGTTTTGGAGAAAAAACTCATTGAAATCTTCAACATCCAAAAATAGCAACACAACAAAAAAAAACACGACGGAAAAATAGGGGGGAATAAAATAAAATTGGAAAAAAAATAAATTCACATTTAATTTAGAATTGAATCATCATCTATTTTTAAATATAAAATAATTAATTCTAAATTTAGAATATTTCATTTCAATTCATTTCATTTCGTTTTGTTTTATTCCAAACAATTTATTTTTGTTTCATTTTATGACTACCGGATTCAAAAGACCAGAAACACTCTATTTATATATCATATGTATACCGTAGTTTTTCAAGTTTTGAGTGGGTTATGATTTTAATCCGTCTTTAAAAACGCCTACGTTTTATATTTTTTGAAAAGCAAAAGTTTGAAAAACAAATTTTGATTTAAATTTGCTGGAAACGGTCTGAAAAAAGTCCAAAATTTTTGGTTCCATTCAGTTTTTTTTCTAGACAATTGCACCTGATCCTATTTCCTGTTGGTAGATCAATTTCTATTTGGGGACCACTAAAAAGGTATCGGACTAGGCTCAAGAAACAATCTGAAAATCCAAAAATGTCTGAAAATTTCCGAATTTCTCAGGTTCATTTCAAATATTCCCTAATAATCCTCCAAGTTTTCAAAGAAGTTCTTGAATTTCTCTTCAAAATTTCATTCATAATCCAATGTTTTCCTATGCAAAAATTGCAATCAAAACAAACATTTATTCGTTCATCATAAGTATTTTTTCCCACAAATGGCAACATTTATTTATTTTTGTTTGTTTTTCTTTCTCACAAAGAAGAAAAGGGAAGAAGGAAAGAAAGAAACATGTTTATTGGAAAAAATGAATAAAATGTAGTTTTGTGGCAGAAAAGAAGAATTTAAGAAATCGAAATTAGTATAGCGGAAGAGAATATTTTTAAGCTGATTATTACACCTGCCAAATTTTCAGTGTTTTTTTTTGGTTGATCTTATGTTTTGTGAATCGGGAAATTTTTGGTTTTGATAACTCGTGAGAGGAAATGAATAGAAGGTTTTAATTAGAATTTTCACGAGATGGAGTATGCTCATTAAAATTTTGATTTTTGGTCAGGTGAGGAAAAAAAGTTTCTAGAAAATGTTTTGGTATTTTTTTTTTGATAATAGGAAACATTTTCAATTTTTATATAAAAAATATTTTGTTCTGTAGTTTGTCCATGTTTCAAGTTGAATTCAAAATAAGTTTTACATTTTTCGAACACAAAAATAATCTTTAGCCATCTGGGATTTGACTGATCTGCTTTCAATTTCTATTTTTGAAATACCAGATCTTATTTTTTGGATAAGTTTATCCGATCATAGAATTTTCTAGACTTAAAATTAGAATTTTAAAATATTTTCAGCCTCTAACATTTTGTTAATCAAAACCTTCAATTTTTCTGCAAACCGAACTTTTTTGTAGGCAGAAAAGGCAGAAAAACGTCACTCTGTTTTGAGAATTTTTCTCGTATTTTGTGTTCTTCGAACAAAAAAAGAGAATGCAAAGTGTAAAACAATATTAGATTTATGAACTTTTCTTCACTTTTTTCAGGTTCCACTGAAATGAAGACTATCACAAAGTATCAAACACAACAAAAAAAAACATCTTGGTTTTTCTTTTTTCTGTTTCATTACTATAAACAATTGATGATAAAATATAAACACTGATACGTCACACTTTAGAATCCAAACAAACATTTTTGATGGGAAATTGAATTTTGAATTTTGAAACTTGAAATGAGGAGCCTGGTCTATCAAACTTGAAACATTTTATCAAAAATTTTGACATGGTATTCTAGAAAATTTTGAGCCGCTGATCTTGATCAGAAATTTCAGTAACTTTTCTGGAAACCAGGAGTTCAAGAAGTTACAGCTGGCTTCAGAAAAAAATTAGAAGGAGGTTAACTGAAGGGTCCTTGGGCGTATAGAGTTTCAAAATTATAAAATTGTGCCACTTATGTTTAGAGTTCAGCTAAATGTAAAATTAGTTTCACAAAAGAATCCTCACCGACTTACAAAATTTACTAGAAAGTTCAAACTAAATCAGAATCAACAACAAAAAAAGAATAGAACATTTCCAAAAAAAATGAACCAACCTCTAACTGACTCTGTAGAGCTTGTAGTTTTTCCGGTTCAAGATTCTTCTGAGCTTCAGCCAACAAAAACTCTTTTTTAATAGCAGTGACCGTTTCTTCAGGCAAGGTTCCACCTCTTTCTCCACCTCCTGCTGATGATGATGACGATGAAGAGGAAGAAGTTGTGGCTCCGCCCATTTCAGGCACCGCCCCGTTTTTGGTTGTTTTGATTGAAGTTGAAGTCAAATCCTCTGTGTTGCTCAATAATTTGGTTGATTTCGAAGACGAGGCTTCGTTCATACCTTTGGAAATGGTTGGAACTGGAAAAATACGGATGTTTTTGGAAATGAGAGATTTTTTGAAAAAAAAACAATGAGGTTTTTCAGAATTTTTCAGAAAATGAAAAAAAAGTTTTAAGAAAAATGAACTCGAGGTTCTGAAAAATACAAAGGTTTCTCGAAAAAAATATCAGAAATTTCTAGCCAAAATCAGGAGAGTTCAGAAAGGAAAAAATCATATTGAAAAGAGATTTGGTAGCTTCAAAGCATCTGAGCTTCTTGAGAGTTTCAAAAGAAAATTAAGAATTTCAGGAAATCTAACTTTATGGTTCTCCAAAAGTATAATGTTAAGAAGTGTGTGGCCAAATTCACAAAAATTTTGGTTTTTTGGTTTTTTCTGAACGATTCACTCAAAAAAAAATATATATGAGAACGCCAGAAAACTTTACTCAAAAAAGATCCCAACAATAAAAATTAAAGGTTTTTCAATTTTATAGGAATTCCTACGCCCGAAGCTTTGAGGTCTGAAGAATTTCAAGAATTAGGATCAAGCTTAAAACTGGTGATTCTCTCTATTCAAAACTTTCTCGAAAACCCTTCACTTCCGGAAAGAGCCAAAAATAAAATCTATAAAAATGAAAATATATCGACTTTCAAAAAAAAAACGGAAAAACAAAGATTCTAACAGTTTGAACACACAGTTAATTGAATCAATTTGATAAGATACAGTGGCTGTCATCAAGTGCATAAATGTTTCGGTCGATCAAATATTTTCAAGATGATCTGATCACGTCACACGCTTTTTTCCAATTATATTTTATTAGAAAATGAATCAAATCAGTTTTCCTTCATTCTCAATTTTCTACATATTTTTTACAGTAACCTTTTACAACTTCACACTTTGATGATAAAAATAATATATAATCTTATCTAATCAATGTTATTGAAAAAAAAGAATAAGATTCTGGAAACGGGAAATTTATAAGGTGTGAAATGGACTATTGTCTCTTTTCCGAAAAAAAAACATTTTCTTGGGATTTTTGAACATTTGGGCAAGCTAATTGGCAATGTTTTCCAATTAGCTAGAAAAAATTTATTTTTGGAGAAAAAATCTGTTTTTGACACATCAAAGTACAATATGAAAATAGAAGTGTGTCTGACACTTTTTGTTATCCAAAAATAACTTATGGAAAATATTATTTTATAAAAGTTATAAATTTTTTTTGTACAAATCATGATATGATAAAAATTTCGAAATCGATAAACGAAGAGAGAGATTTTTTTGAAATGATGCCAATAATTTTCAATTTTTTTTTCAAATATAATCATTTCTATTTTCGGAAAAAAAACATATAAAAAATGAAAAATATTGCGGTAGAATTTGATAAAACAAAAATTCCACGAAATTGTTTTTGTATGATTTCCTGTCACGAGATTTTGCAACTAATATGATATGAAATAAGATCTTCGAAATTTAGGTTTTTGAGGGCTTAACATTAAAAAATAGTGGTAAATATAAATAGAAAAATTCTAGTGAGGGTGGACAAATCTGAAGAGAGTTATTCTAAAAATAGAATTAATGAGATTTTCGCTCTCCCAAAAATAACTTTGAAGTACAGTAATTAAGCTCCAATGAATCATTGAAAACAAAAAATCTTGTGATTTTCCTTTTTTTTCTAAATATAGTCTTTTAATTAAACTCTCTCTTTTGCGATTTTAATTACCAGCCAAGAAAAAGCTGCGAAAACAAACAAACAATTGCAAAAATTCTGAATCACAAGACAAAAAAAGACGGTTTCAAGCTCAAGACTCTTGAAATTTCAAACTAGAAAAAAAGGAAAAAAGTGCGTGAAAAAGATGGAAAACATTCACGACAGAAAAAAAAGACCAAAACGTGTGTGGAGAGTGAAAAGACCGATGGAAAAAAAAGAAGAAAAAAAAAGAATAGAAAAATACACACACACGAGGTGTATGTTAGTGTGAGTCTTTCCTCTACGTCTTTTCCCATCAGTTTTTCATTCTTCTTGGATATTTTTTCGGCTGTTTCAAAGAAAAAGAAGATATTTGAAATTTTGATTTTTTTTCTTGCAAGTTTTTGAGGCTGGTAATGGTGGTGGAATGGAATTATGAACGTTTGAACTTCCATGAGACAAAAAAAGGAAAAAAAAATTGAGTTGATGAGAAAAACAACAAATAAAATTTAGAACAATCTGAAAGGTGTTCGAGATTTTTTCATATTTTAAAATATTTTCAGACTAAAAAAATTATAATTCTGAAATCAACTGTGAAAAAATGTGAAATTTAGAAGTTAAAATGAGCGAGATTCTAGAAATTAAATTTGAAAATCTAATTTTTTGTAGTAAAATTATAAAGAAATTCATATTTTTCTTGGAAAACATTTTTTCAAATGAAGAGAATCTAAAATAAAGTTCAGTTTTCATAATTTTCTGGACATAAAACTAAAATTCTTGTCACTTTTATCATAAAATATGAATCGCTATAAGCCCGTAACAAAAAAGAAGAACGTTCTAGCAAAAATTATGACCAAAAAATGTTTATAATTTTACCATATGGCTGTAAAATCATTTATTTATTTATTTATATTTTTTTGTTCAAATTCACAAATAAAATAAAATATGAAAAAATTGCAACATTTTCTGACACATGGTTCAATGAACAACTGCAAATGAAAATAAGAATAACAATCATTTTTGGTTGCACTTTTCAGATGCCATTTCCTCTTTTTTTCCCCTTTCCTTCCCCGAATTTGTTGCTTTCTACATATGTACATTTATTTCTAACAAAATGACCTAAAAGAACTATGAACTATTTATTTATTTATTTATTTATGAGATACATATATTTAGAATTCAAAAATTAAGAATATGTATATATAAAAAAAGGAAAAGCAGATTAAAAATAATATTATTATGATATAACATAATAGGATTGATATGGATTAATAAAATGAATCACATGTGTAGAATATAAAATGTATGTATATATTTATAAATATACGGAAAAGATAATTTAAATTTGAACTTGAATTTAAATTTAGATTTAAATTTGGAATTTGAAAATGTGTAAAGAATGAAATCTCTGGAAATAGAAAAAAAGAATAAAAGATGAAAGTTTGAAATATGAGACACATGTGAAAAAACAAAAAGCTTTTCCTTTTTTCAAAAATTCACCTCATTGGAATTGTGGTTTAACCATTGTGTGGTTTATTTTGAAAATTTGGCGAGATTTCAATGAATTTTTAAATATTTTTGAATTTCTAGTTTGATCAGAAGTGAAGGGAGATTGATCTTTGGAAATTCTGAATGCATTAATTTTTTGAAGCTTCCTCGTGAAGTTGATGCATATTTTTAGTCATAAGATTTTTTCCAACATATGTAAATTGTATTTCAAATCTTCTACCAAACTGGTTTCTTGGAAATTCTCGTTTTTTTTCTTAATTTTCAGGGGTTGGATTTGAAAGTTGACAAAGCAAATTTAGGTGTATCACAAATTTCAGTAATTTTCGCAGTTCATTATTTTATTAGTGTAGTTTTGTGTCTAGTTTGCTCATATCAGAAGCAAAAAGAGATTGATCTCTGTAAGTTTCAAAGCATTTTTTCTACATAAGTTAATGACTTTTTTTTATAATTATGTCCCTGAATGACAAACTTGAAATCAAAAATTCCCAAAAAAATAATCATGACTCATTCTTTCTGGCTGATTGGATTTTTGTAATTATTTGTACTTTATAATACAAAAATAGTATGATCAGAAAACTACAAAAATAAATAAATATATGAAAATATTTGTGGGGATTCTTGAAAACTAATGGAAAGTTATAAAAATTTTCATAATTGAAACAGTTTAAAATTTTGAAAAAACATGAAAATTGGTATAATCATCGGTTTGAAAATTATATGTAATCATCTGACTTTTTTGATAATCTATATAATTTGTGCAAAGAATAAATGTGATTTTCAAAATAATGTTGAAATGGGGTAGTTTTGGTTTTGATGAAAAGTTACCAGAAGTCTAGGAGATTAAGTGCTCTCAATCAGACACGTCAAAGATTATAAAAATTAATCAGAATGAAAATAACCGGAAATTTCCAGATTGACCTTTTTTGAGGCTGGGTTTGTTCTTTGAAAAAAAAATATTTTCGGCTTAAACGTTGACACAACTTTATTCAAATGTTATCTCTAACTTAAGCTAACTTTCAAACAAGATAAATTTCCCATATTTTAGAGTTTTGTACTGATCCAATCTCCCTTTGTTCAAAACACGAAGAAAAAAAACAAATTAGTATAGTTTTTGAAGGATTTTTGAAGGATAAAGTATCATAATCTATTATTATTTTTGATTTGATTTGAAAAGTATTTTTTGCGGACAAAAATATCTTATTGGAGATTAAAAATGACTCTTCTTATTGGAGAAAAACACATTTTTGTCACTGGTTCAGATAGATTTGTGAACTTCTGGTAAAAGTACAACTGACAAAGAAGTGATTTGAGCCAAATCTGAACTTGAACTTGGGCCTGGGGTCAGCCGTCAGAATTCGAACAAACTAGCCTTGTTCCAATTCAAATATATTTTTTATCTCCATATTATCATTATATTGTTTTTCTCAAAAAACAAAATGTTTTTGAGCAATTTTTGCTCGGTTCCCCACGCGAAGTTTGTGAAAAATATCACATTGTCTGGAAAAACATCAGTTGATTCCTGGAATTGAATGTTTTTCAGGAAATCCTAGATCAATTCAACACGCGATTTCTGTGAAAACCAAACTCGAAACATCAATATCACGTTCCAAACTGTTTTTCTCATTAAAAACAGTTGATTTTCCTGGAATTCAGTGTTTTTAAATTAACTTCCACACGCAATTTTCGTGAAAAACAAGTTTACTGTAGATTTTTTCTGGAAATTTTGACACGCGATTCCTGTGAAAAACAATTATTGTCTGAAACATCACGTTTCAAACTGTTTTTCTCATTAAAAAGTGTTTTTAAGTTGACTTCGACACGCTATTCTTGTGAAAAACAAGCCTATTGTAGGTATTTTTCTCGTTTTTCCGAGAAAAAAAATATTCCAGGGACTTTTACAAATCACTTTATCAATCAAAAATACAAAATTGGACAAAGAAAAAATATATGTTGATAACCCGAAAAAGCAAAAATTAAACAAGTCAACAAAAATTATTCCATTTTTTTCTTATTTGCTGAAAAATCCTCCAGACATTCCAATATAATAGAACCAATAGAAAATATTGAAAGCCGTGAATAATAATGGGAACAATTTGGCGGATATCTGAAAGTTTCTGGTTGCTTCCCGTAAGTTCAAACTGAAAATGAAAATAAATTCGATACCTCATCAATTTTTTCACCATTAACAAACATCGGATGTTCCATTTGAAGCAATAACTTCTGCCGTTTCTCCTCACTTTTTCTCCGGCGCAAATGCCCATTCCCATCATTAATTTGAACCGTGTGATTAGTATTATCAGTCGAAGTTTCAGAATTTTGTGGTCGTTGTTGGCCGGATAATCTTGAAAGCCATTGTTGTTCCGAATCACTTCGCATCATCATTTGCTCTTTACATCTGCCAAAACTTCTGTAGCAAAATAAAAACTTTATCCAAAATTAAGTTACAAACCTGTTATGTCTTCTTCGCTTTGCATCAAGTTTATCAGCAAATCCAACAACTGCCAATTCAACTAACGACAGAAAAATGAAACCAACACAACCAAACATCCAAATATCCAAAGCTTTCACATAACTGACACGTGGCAAGTTTTTCACAATGTTACCGAATTGGAAAGTTAGAGCCATTAAGGAAGAGACTCCTAGAGTTATTCTAGCGGGTAAAGCTTTTGTGTCAATCCAAAATGCGATCCATGAAATGAAAACTGATAAATATGTTGGCATATAAGCTTGCAAAACATAATAACCATATAACCTTCGGAAGGTGAATTGAACTTCTAATTGATCCCAAAGTCCAGCAGTGTAAACTAATGTTGCGTTGAGATGTCTGGAATATTTTGCGGATTTTTTTTGAATGTAAAATGGTTCGGAATCAAAGAAATAATCAATTGTTCTTGATTTTGAATTCACGGAAAAGAAATTTCGAAACCAAGATTAGGAGAGACAAAAAAAGTTTCTGAGAGAGAAAAAAAGTTTCACTGAGGTTTTTCGGAATATTTCAATTTCCTCCAAGATTTTTTGAACTTTAATGGTTATGTGAAAATTTTTTGGTAGATCAAACGTTAAATTTTTGTTCCGTAGAGCAGGTTTGCTTTTTCTATTTCCCCAGATAGTCTGATTGTTTTTTAATTTCCCAAAAAAAAAATCATTTCTCAGACACCAGCCCATTCAATAATTTGATAAACACTTCACAAACAATGAAAAAAAATAACCAACTTGAATTCAACAAGCTCAAAATCGGGCAAATTTTTGGAATCCGGATCCGGAATACTAACTGGTTCCCAATCTCTCCACACAATTCGTACTTCAGCCGTATTATACGAATAACTCTGAAAATTGGAGAGAGTTGTTTACACTCAAGTGTTTATCCGACATGTCACATGTCATTTCCATATTTTTTTTTTTTGTTTATTTTCAAAATACATACCTCGAACACTAGGTTGCATGATTGGCGATCCATTGGAAAATAGGTCAAATCAAGTTTGCAGGGTCCAATGAGGGAAACACGGAAATTTAGCCAAACTGTGCCATTTGGAAAGATCAAAAGAAGAATGTTTTGAGATGGAGATGCATGAATTTCGACCTTTAATGAACTTTTTTTTGGAAACAGGAAGAAGAGTTTCATTTCGTCACACAGAATTTCTATCTTTATTAGTTTTTTTTACGATTTCTGATCCCTCTATCCTTTTTCGAGAATCAACGTATTCATTTAAGTTAGAAAAAAGTTGGCTTGTCCAAGATAAATCCGGTGAGAAAAAATCAAACATCAGAGTTTTCCGTTTTCTTTTCAAAAATAAACTCATGTACATATGAATAATAAATTTTTGTCAAAATTCTAAAATTTCTATCAAACCAACCTTTTTGCTATTAACAAAACAGACATTTGGAGACCACATTGTTGGTAATTTATGCGCTGCCAGTGAGATATTTTTGATACAGTAGTTTTGGCCAGAAAAATCGAGACGGGGATCTCGCCAGATTTGAGAAAACCAAACATCGGCTTTGAAACTTGAGGAGAATTCGCTGATTTCGGTGATTGATTGGACTGTTAGTTCTACTATGACCTGAAAAAAATGGTTGGGGTTTTCTGAATTTGAAACAGGCCAGATAATTTGGAAGAATTTTCAGAGAGTTTCTGAATGAAACCCGAGTCTGAAAATTCTGATCACTAATAATTTTTTAAAGAGAAATGAGATCATATTTATTTTATTTTTGAAAACCCGATTCAAAATTTCCCCCCACATTGGTAGCACAAAGAATGCACTTTAAACGAAGGCATTATTTTATTCAAGTGCATTGTTTCCAGCCAATTTGTTCCATTTCATTTAATCTAATTTGCAAATTTTTTCACACACCTCGGTAGAATTTGCACTTGGTAGATTGTTCTTGTCGTATGTTTCGCCGAAGAGTTTCTGAAAGAAATTGAAATGTCATTTGAGAAAAAATGATTTTTTGTTCTCTATCCAATATGTTCTTATTCTTCTTATTCTCCAAAAAGAAGACATACATACATAAAAATGTAAAATTTTTGGCTTTTTGTGCAAGTCATCATCAAAATTAGATGAATAAAAAGATGATGCACAAAGAAAGAATGTTCTACAAGTTCTCAAAAAACATATTTATTTTTCAAAAATACCATTCAATAAATAAATAGATTTCTTTTCAATAGCATAAAAACAAGTTGTCTATAAATTATTCATCAAACTTCAAAAATGATCATTGAAATGCATCCCATCTCTTTTATTTTTCCACTGACAAAAGTACACCCAATTTTTCGTTGGCACATAGACCAAAACCAAAAAAAATGTTGTGGCTCAGGCGCGAAAATTCGTTTTACGTTCAAAACGAAAAAAGAGAATTAGTTTTGAAACTGCAATATATTTTATTTTTTCTTCTTCTTCACTGGTTGGGTGTGGATGATAAATGTGTTTTGGGAGAAAACTTGAAAATTTTCAGAAATTTTTGAAATATGATTCAACGATTATGGTTTACTGGAAAAGGAAATTAAAGTTTCATGTTGGAATTTTTTTCAGAAACAGGATTTTTTGAAAACTTTATATTTTAGGGGGGACTGTAACTACTAGAAAACACCCCCTTTTAACTTCATGATAATTTCTGTGATAATTTTTTCCCGGAATAATCTTTTAGAAAATCTTGTTGACAGACAACCATCCAAATCAGAACCCAATTGCGCATTTCGCCCAATAAAATTCCCATTTGAATATTTTTAATTGGTTGGTTGTTTTCCCGAAAACCCAAAAAAACTGCTCCCAAACGCTTGTTATTCATTTATATGAGAAAAATCTAATCGGACAATCCGAATGCGACGAAAAAAAAACTTGGTGGGTGCCGATGACAAAACAAAAATTCAATTAGACGAAACACAACCCTCCCTTTTTGATTTCGTTTTTTAATCCAATTTTTGTTCTCGCCGAAACTTTCTGCTGAATGTACATAAATGTCAATACAATGTTTGGCTTGAAATAAAATAAGTCAATTAGATTAAACTTGGTCATCTATGTAGACAAGACAAGACAAGGAACTATTTTTTTGTCTTCTTTTTTTAAATACATACAACATATTTATTTGGTTGGTTCGCTCAAACTCAGGTGTACTAAAAAACATTTTTCGCCTCATCAACCGCATATAATAAAAAATGCGAATAAATTCTTCTTCTTCTTCTGTTTTACTCAAAAAAAAACGCTTTCCAACAATTTTTGATGCCTTGGAACTAGAAACAAAAATCTACCTAAAATATTTATTCGTTTCCGGGAAACCACAAATAAGCACTTTCCGTGGATGATAAATCGAAAACTTTTGGACAAGAGTGAAGTTAGGGTAACTTAAAACGGTTGAGGAATTCAGAGAAAAATATTTGATCTACCCGGAACACAACTTTGAATCCTAGCAATTTTGGGTAGTAAATACATTTTCTAAGAAAACCCCTAATTTTTAGGAAAGGTTCCGCGTATTTCTCTTTTTTTATTAATTTAAATAAATCAATCTTTATTTTCTAAAGACAAGCCAGAAAATTTCAGATTTTGGAGGGCTCCGCATCTTATAAAAATTCCAGATCTTGCTTCCCAGCCAAATATTTATAAAAGGTTCCAAAATTCCCTTCCCTTTGAATGAAAAAGTCAATCTTCTTCATTCATTTTTTCAGCCGCCGCGCACAAATAACTAATAAATGTTTTTTTGAACCCCCGGTCGGCTCATGTAAACTCGTTGGACGGGCGCTCACTTAACTATCTATCTCCGTAAGCATTATAATGGGTTTCCCCATCATCCAAAAAGGAAAGAATTGTCGGTTTTCATATGTATATGTTGTATATATATTTACATGCATATACATAAAACAACAAATGAAATGAGAAAGATATAGAGAGTATATGAAATTAGATGAACTCTTTTTTTTTCTCTCAAGGGTGTTCAAAATTCAATAAACTTTTGTTTTTCACAGAAAACTTCAAGTGTTTTTTTGGGAAAACTCAACTAACCGTTAACAAATCCTTGCGACTTGTCTCATTTATCACTTGACAAGGTCCGGTTGGCTGAGGATTTGGTGGAATCGGATGTTCAATAATTGGATCATAGTGTCTTGGTTTAGAGCCATATGGTCGGAAAGTTGTGTGCCTTTCGAGAAACGGTTGGGCATAATCAATGAATTGCTCCTGGAGAAAATGATTTTATGAGGCAGGTGAAAAATAAATAATAATAAATTATTGGAAAAATGTGAATGGAAAAGAATCCAGGCAAAAATATAAATTGTTTCCAAATTTCTGCATGATAAGGTTAGTCAAGTAAAAACCCCAATGTAATAAACGGTTTTTTTTCAGAACAACTTACAGTAACCCTTTTTATCTTTAACTTGAACTTCATCTTTGGAAATGACTTTTTTTTATTTAATGTTTTTTTTAATTTTCTCGTCGCTGAAATTAAATCATTTCTTGTCATATCTTATAAAAAAACTGATCTACCAACGTTAAAAATTCAAAAATGAAATATAATTGTTGTTAAATCTCCTGGAAACAATGCATATTTCCTTGTTCTGACGTAATTTTTTATATTTTTTTTTGGTTCCAAGTCCGAGTTCAAGTAAGTCCCCAGAGAGAAAATCTGGAAACGACAAGTACTTTTTTGTCAAATCAATCACAAAAATATTATTTATTTATTTTTTGAACAAAATTCCAGAACTCCAAAAACACCCACCTCTTTCGCTTGATCGGCTGCAATTTCAGCAAGTCGATCAGTTTCTCCAGATGATAATTCAGGCAATAATAGTACAATTCGTGCAAGATATGATATTATCATTGGAAAAGAGAAAAGAGATTTTTGAGTTGAAGTAAACGACGGAATGATGAACAACGTTTTGTTTTATGTTGGGTTTTATTGTTTCACTTATTGCAAAAATATATAGTTTGATAATTGCAGCTACAGTTTAGTTTAAAATAAAATTCCCTTCTGATGATGATGAGGATGATGAAAGTCTGAAATGAGGTGTCACACCCAGTAGATGATGGGGCGGAGCAAATTGGAGCACGTCTTCTTTCTCTTCTTCTTCTTCTCCCCCTTCTTTTATTTTTTCAAGCCCACCATCACCCATAAGCTCCTCCTCTCTTTTTTTTTCTACTTTTTTTTTTGCTGCGCTTGTGCCTGCCAATTTTTATTTATTTCGACCGACAAAAAAAAGAAGGAAAAAGAAGAAGCAGATAAAAAAATATAATTTAGAAGAACTAGGTGTTTCTGGAAAGAAAATGAGAAAAGAAAAGAGCAAATTGACCGGAGGCATGAAATTAGGGGTGGGGATGGGAGAAAATGCTGCAAATGAAAAAAATGGGGGGATTTTTGCATAAGGAAGTGCAGTTGAAGGACAAGAGATTCGGAGAAATATTTATGAAGGTTATTATGACAAAAAGCTGGAAAATTTTGAGTCAAACAAAAGGTGTTTGTAAATATTTATGTCGAAAAGTTGTTTGGGCGTTTTTCAAAGGTCAAATGAGAATTTTCGTTGGAACTGCGAAGTTTTTAAGTTTTATTTTTTGGGAGATTGTGAAACTTGATTTGAAAAAATTTCCTCCGAAAAATTTCCACTGAAAGTTTCAGGATTTTTTTTTGAAAATCTGAAATTTATTCAAACATGGAAAATTTTTCTAAATCTTGAGCTCTAGAATTCTAATTCAGAAAGGCTAACTTGATCAGTTGAACTTGAACCAAATTTTTCTCTCAAAAATTTCTCTTTGAAAAAATGGTCAATTTTCAGCTATGTTTTTAAACAAGTTCTGAAATTCTTTTCAATAAAAATTCCAGAAATTAAAATCTGATTCTGAATAAACAACTTGAACCAGATCTGAAAACTCATGGTTCCCAACCATATTTTTAGCCCAACTTATCATTATTTTTGTTTTTCAACTAAAAAAAATTCAGAAACTAAAAAAGAAAACAAATAAAACAATAGGGTTCTTCTCTTCCCCTTGTGCGAAAAAATAAGAAGAAGAAGAAGAAGCTTAAAAACAATAAATGTTGGAGTTTTCATCCGGTGAGAAAAAAACACTACAAAAAAAAGACGAATAGCAAACCAAAAAACCCGGGACCATTTCAATTTATTTATAAGAGTTCTCTCACACTTTGCTAAATCTAATTTTAACCAACCAACAAAAAAAAAAGTCTCCTGTCACTTTGGCCACAAAAATTTGAAAAGTTGCAAGCACATTTTTTTTGAGTATGTTTACTATTTGAAAAAAATGGATGGACAAAAAAGAAATAAAGAAAAAACGAGGTAAATAAATGGGTGTTTTTAATGTTTTTGTTTTATTTCATTTGCTTTTTTCAAAGCCATTTTTGTGGAAACTAATTATTATTTTTGTGGGATTCGATTTTGTATTTTAAGAGTTCTGGTTTTGTATTGCAGTTATGTATTATATTTAACAAAAAAAAACAATTTTCAAGCTCAAAGCTCAAAAATTACTGCATAATCGGATTTTGAAAAAAAAACAACGAAATTGAAAATGTCTGCAAAAAAAACGTTTCTGTAATTGAATACATGTATATGCGGGCAGAGACAAGAAACCAAAATTTCAGATTTTGCAAGGTTTTCTTTTTCACGAGGAATAAAAATGAGAACGAAGAAATCAGACCTGTCGTTTTTGGGCGGCCGGGCCGGGCCAGCCCTTCAAAATTCAAAAAATGCGGGCTTTTTCGGCCCTCCGGCCCTTCTTTTTTTATGAGAGGCTGTTTCAGCCCTTTTTCGGCCCTTCATAATTTTTTGATGACAATTCGTGATTTTTACAAATGGATGATTTTGCTCAAATTTTCTGCATTTGGGCGAATTTCGTAAATCAGAATAACTTATATTGGTGTTAGTGCACCAACATTTCTTCGAAGAACTGTTTTGGTGCAGGATTGTTATGGTGAAACACATGAATTTCAATAAATTTTACTTTTATTATCAATCCACCATTAGAAACACGAAATTCGCCAACTTTCTTCCGCCAAAATGCAAAAATTCGAAAGAAACACCATTGAAAAACAGTGCATTTACACAATAAAATTTGTTGGAAAGGCCGGGCTGAGCCAGCCCATTTTCCCTATTTGGGCTGGCTAGCCCAGCCCTTCACATGGCTGGCCCGAGGGCCGCAAATAGCCGCAAAACGACAGGTCTGAAAAAATACTTCAAACATTCTCCAGCTGTTTTGAGAAACAAACAATTTGATCTTTGAACTTCGGATGCTTCGATGGTTCTACTGATGTCTAGAATAAATGAAAATGCTTCAAAGGATTTCGAATACTCTACTTTTTTTATTTTTCAAGAAAAAAAATGTTAATTCATTTTGCAGATTCGGATTTCTATATTAACCTTCTGAACTTATGTTATCGACCCTTCTGAGCAACCCTACGCTACTAGATTCAATGAAAATCATTTTTGAAGCCAGTGTACCCTTCAAAAATTCCAATTTTTAGAAATTTCCAAACTTTGACTTGTTGGAAGGTGAGTTGCAATTTTAGACAACACGATCGTGAACAATGTGTCGAAAACTACTAGAAAACATATATTTTATTTAAAATCTAAAATAAAAATTGAAACAGTACCCTTTGGCCAGTTCGGAAAATTCATTTTATTAATTATCATCTAATGATTTCATAACAAATTTCAAAAATTTCAGAAAAAAAAAACCTGAAATTTCATCTGAAATTGTTCTCTCACTATTTCATAATTGATAAACAGTATAAATAGGAGCGTCGCATTCAGTTGTACTCCAGGCGGGTTATGTCAGTTAAGCCTATATATATTTCGCCAGGATACTCTTCTTACATATTATTTCACTGCGTTTCCCCCAGTTTTCTCAAGTGATTTTTATTATTTTCAGTAATGATCGCTGCGAATCTTTTTGCGCTTATTTTCTTCGTCATGTTAGCTGAGACGGTAGAAATGGTGAACAAAGAAAAATTCGAATCAACTTTTATTGTTGTGAGAGGAATTGCTGAATCACCAAAAAATGTTGAGGTGAGAATTTTTAAGCTCCGAATTTTGGTAGTAGAATTCAGAAGTTTTTTCCAGATAATTGATAAAGCATATTCAGTGCAATCATGGAATTTCTCATACAATGTCGGTTCTCAAGTTCTGACAATCCCGAACCCCAGCGCTCTTAACGCAACAAACTATCAAATTCATATAGAGTATCACACTATATCTCTTTTATCTCGTCTTTTTTACATTTACTGTTTGATTTCTGCTCTCTTAACTGTTTTCCTTTTCATTTTCTTGGTAACTCGTCCCAAATTTCAAGAAAGTGTTCAAGCGTTTAAAAACATTGGTGAGAAAAAGTTTTCAAATGACCACAAAATTGGAGCTGAAATTTATTCCAGAAATTTTGTACCTGATTTGATTCGATCCAAACCATGAAGTTTCATTTTACTTTCATTTGAATTTTTTCACAATTTTTCATTTAATAAATTTATTTGCTAAAAATGTGTGGTTTCAGTAAAATCAATAATTGTACAATGTTTCATATTTTGTTGTTGACAGATTGGAATTGGGAATATTACAGAGATCCTTATTAGAATGACAATAGATATGTATAATTTTCGAGTTATGTGAATAGAATGTGTATGATCTAATCATCTTGAATTTTTTCTTGTTCATCGTCGTCGACTGGAGGCTCATCATGCAACTCTTCCATAACTTGGTCGTCGCTGATGTCTGGGGAATCGAGGTACTCTTGGCTGTTCTGAAAAATCACATTGGTTTAATACTCACAAAATTCAAACCAACCTTATTTTCTTCGGAATCGTATCGATCAGAGTTGTTTGATGAATCGTCCTGAATTTAAAATTATTCAAGAAGTTTTGAAATGGGGTTGCCCAGTCATAAGGGCGACTAGTTTTGATAACTATCCAACATGTGTGCCAAATAACGTTAGATACAATTAACCTTTCCCATTAGCTATGATCAGCCTTAAACAACACCCTAGGTCAACCTCTCCCTCTTTTCCCATACAAAAAAAATCGATAATTATCCAGATGTCAACTTTAAAATTAAGTTTCTCTATGGAAAATAATCGTTTTTGAATTTGGTTTTTTGGAAAAGCTGGAAGATATCTTCAGCTATCTTCAATAAAAATTTCATATAATTTGACACCCAATGAATATTTCAATTTTTGATTTTTCGAACATTCATCGAGAGATGAGTAATTATAGAAGAGGTGCAGAGAAAAAGAGGACGCCTCTTTGATTGATTTTTCAATTAATTGATTACACGTTTTACGTGATTTTTTGGATATTCAAGGAAAATACTTACGTTTCTTGATTCGTTGTCGAATGATTCTTGAGTTGATTCGGAGGAATTTTCGTCTATTGATGGATCCATTTTGATTGAGATTTTCAAGAAATCTGGAAATAAAAATGTAATAAATAGTCTCAAATCAGTTTTAAAATGGTAACAACTATCTAAAACTTTCAGAGAAAAAAAAAACAAATAATCACAACTGACAGATAAAAAAACCGAATGTGCCACAATAAGAGGTGAAGATGAGGAGAATGCGTGCGTATGGTAGTGTGCAATAGGGCACACTTGTTGTTTCAACATGATTTTTATAGATTTAGAATTGAAATTTAATTGATTATACATAAATAAAAAATTTTCAAAATTATGTTTCAAGTTATTTTTTATTTTGATTTTTCGAACAGTACTTCCAAAAACATACTCCAAACGTTTTGACATTTAAAACCAAAACATTCTGTAGAAAAAAACGACTCATTAACCTGAGTCATCGTCATAAATCAACATTGCTCAAAAATGTTTCTCCTAATTGTTTTGCTAATTAGCCTTGATTCTTTTTTATTGAGAACACTTTTGAAAACTGTTTAATAAAAGACAATTTTTGTCAATTTCAAATTTTGTGTTCAGATGTTCCGCAGCTGTATAGTATAGTCTTTTATATCATTTTCTTTGTGAATAGTTTCGCAAAATGCTGATTCATTTTTTCATACGACAGACAAGACAAATCAGTGCTTTTTCTCGTTTTTAAATAAAAATAAAAAAACAACATTTTCATCGATTATTATTTTTTGTCAAAAGAACTTTACAATATAAGATTGTTGCTTTAAAATGTTTTCAATTTTGTGCAAAAAAATTTAGATGAACAGTTCCCAAAGATCGTTGAACTATAAGAGCAAAAAGTAATAATTAGGATAATTTTGACAAATATTTTTGTGTTCGAAAAATGACTGTCTGAAAACATTTTAGAAATAGAAGAATTTTTTGTTTGAAATTGTGACAGACAGTTTGCTGATCATCTGTTTGTAATTTATTTTCCTTTCTGTATTTCCAACTCCAGCTTTTTTCTCACTTTGTTTAATTTTTTGAGTTTCTTATCCAATTTCCAATTGAAATATCTATAATCAATTCTAAATCTATAAAAATCATGATGAAACAACAAATGTGCCCTATTGCACACTACCATTCGCACGCCTTTTCCTCATCCTCACCTCTTATTGTTGCACATTCGGTTTTGTTATTTGTCAATTGTGATAATTTGTTTTTTTTTCTGGAAATTTTCAGATATTTGTTATCGTTTTCAATCTGCTTTAAGACAATTTATTACCATTTTATTTCCAGATTTGTTGAAAATCCCAATCAAAATGGAGTCATCACAACTCGAAATTTCCTTTGAATTGACTCAAGAATCATTCGCCACCGTATCAAAGACCGTAAGTGTTTTCCTTGATTGAACCTTCAAAAATTACGTGAAACGTGAGAATAAAAAATCAATCAAAACAGCGTCCTCTTTTTCTCTGCATCTCTTCTATAATTACTCATCTCTCGATGAATGTTCGAAAAATCAAAAATTGAAATATTCATTGGGTGTCAAATAATATGAAATTTTTATTGAAGATAGCTGAAGATATCTTCCAGCTTTTCCTAAAAACCAAATTTCAAAACGATTATTTTCAAGTGAGAAACTTAATTTTAAAGTTGACATCTGGATGATTATCGATTTTTTTGGTATTTGGGAAGAGGGGGAGGTTGACCTAGGGTGTTGTTTAAGGCTGATCATAGCTAATGGGAAAGGTTAATTGTATCTAACGCTATTTTCTGATGGATCTTGGACAAACCAAACTTTTTCAGATTTCTGGCTCATTGAAACGACGTTTTGAAGTTGAAGTTGAAGTCGAAGAAAATGTGAGTTTCTAACATATTTTTGAAACTAATCTGTAGAAATCTGATAACATTTATAGGAAAACGAGCCGCCAAGCAAGAGTTTGAGAGATTTTGATCATTATTGGGCTGAAGATACGGTGAAACGTGTTTGTGTGGTGAGTTATCTGAAATCAAAAAAATTTCAATTATCGCAATACGGTACATATTTTTTTCCAGGTGAAAGAAAAAGAAGAAAAAAAAGAAGAAGAGGAAGAAGACTTATCGTTCCTCGATTCACCAGATATTAGTGATGAACAAGTTATGGCTGAAATGAATGATGAGCCACCTTTGGACTATGATGACTATCATCGTGATTTTGAGGAGCAACTGATTCAAATCCAAGTTAACGTCGAATTGCAAGAAGAAATCAAAATAATGTCGGCTGCTTGATTTTTCACCCCTGTGCACCCATCCCTTGTTCAATTTTGTGTCGATCTCTTTTCACTTCCCAATTCCAAAGTGTCTATGTTTTTCCCAATTCGAATTTGTCAACAAATATTGAATACGAAACATTGTTAAGGGTATGATTTTTTATTTGAAAATAAGTTTACACTGAAGAATCTACTCTGATAAATTTTTCTATTCGGTATTCCTTTCACTTCTTCAAATTTAATATACGTGAACCGATATTTTGTCATCAAATCTATTTACTGAATTGCTCTTTTTTTGCTTGTTTGTTTTTTTATAATGAATTTACCATAATAAAATTTGTCTGTTGAAGTTCAAAATTACATGCGACAAGTATTTGAAAAAAAAACGGAAGGTGAGTATTTTTTACGGTTTTCAAAAACAGATGCGCTCCTCCCGAAAGATCAAAATTGGTGTTCGCGCTTTACGGATTGATTGTTCCTGGAATTCAGGAGACAGTGAAAAACATGTAAATAGAAACTTGAATATCAATTATCGAAATTGAAAATGTGAACTCTTGAATAAAATAGAAGTTATCTCGGACTATCGGAAACCAGGCTCTCTAGGCGCGTTCTTAAAGGTGGAGTCTGATTGTGAGCACGAAAAAAGTTGAGCTCATTTGAAAGAGCATATTCTAATCAGTACGATCTTCAGAAGATTTTTCTGGGAGCTTCTCAAACATTTTTTGACAATTTTTCTGAAAATGGTGATGTCAAATCAAAAATTCATTGCATATTATTTTTTGAAACCTTTCCGAAACACGCTTGACGAGAGAGTGTTCCAAAATTTTTGTGCAGCGTGAAAATTTTTTCAAAATAAAAATTGTGCAGCGTGAAATTTTGAATTTTTTTTGAATATTCTCATCAAAATCAGCTGAAAATCAATAGACACTTCACTTTTTCGTGAAAAAATGTGCAGCGAAATGAAAAAAAATGTTGAAAAATTTTATTAGCTTCCCGCCCGAATCGAAATTTTTTCATTTTCTTCTTCCCAACACGCGTTATTTTCCCAAACTAACACCGACATTATTTAAAATGTGTGAAGTGTCCATCAATAATGTGTCAGAAGAAAATATTTTGAAAACAATCCAACATCTGGGAACATTCCCAGAATTCACTTTGATAGCTCTCGACTCCGCCCATCACAAAACAAACTCGTCATTTATTTATTTATTATTTAGTTCATATTGTTTTTTATTGACTTGTGAGTTGTTTTTGTTTTTTTTATTTATGAATTACCAAATTATTAGTTTTTGAGTCCGGACATTTTGTGACTTTTAATTTCAATATCAACAATTCAAGATTTTCAGACGAAGGTCAGAAAATTATTTTTCTCTAATAGATTTTATACAAGAATATTTCTAACAGTGTCTTTCAGTAGCATACCTTCCCATTTCTGTTCTTAACACGCAGGGACCTAGTTATTGCAGAAAACATGCTCTAATAAGAATATTTGCTCCGACGCATCTCTTTTTTGACAGGGACACAGATAACACGCTCTAATTAGAATATTTTCTCTTATAGTCTCATCTCTCCTTTTTATATGTAGAGAGAATAAATGCAAATTGAGTTAGAGATCGGTATATTTCGAAATGTTTGGAAGATTTTAGAAATCACAGAAAACATCAAGAAGATGAACAATGTTGAAATCTTTTAAAAAAAATCCCGATGTTTTCTCAAAGTCTCTCATCACTCGTAAAGGAAAAACATGTTTCTTCCCTTTTCTTATCAACAAATCTTTTTTCACAAACAAAAAAACTGTTCATTTCATTTGAAAAAAATTTCATTATTGTGAAAACTTTCAAACGGCCAAATCAAGATTTGAATATATTCTTTCGAATGACCCAATTTTCAACTTTCAATCTCTGAATTCATATTTTTAGATTTAGATGGCTTTGGAAGAACGGTTTTTTTCGAAAGTTGAAGTTTCTGATTCGTAAGAATTTCCCTTCATAACTTCTTGAAAATTTAATTTTTCAATGAAACCCGATTGTTAAAATCCCCAAAATTTTCTGATTGATTATCAAAACTCAAACTAGTAATTTTCTTTTTCTCTATTCAACCCTTAATTATAAAATTTCCTAATCATAGTACTTTGAAATCATCTGATAAGCTAATAGTTTTCTCTTCCACAAAACGGAATAATCTCTAATTCTCTTCAAATCTCACACTCTCTCTCTTTTTATTCTTCACAGGGACGCTAATGGGAATGAGAGTAAACGCGCCCCATTGAAATGTTTTGCACGCGTTGCAGCATTCTCCCTTTTCGAAAATAAATGTGACTTGTTCTCGTTTGTTTATATCTCTCATCTAACATACAACTTTTGCTGTTTAGATTGATTTTTTGTTGTTTTTTTAGCTTTTCGGTTTCTGAACACTAGATGTTGTTGTAGAGAAAAATTTGGAAAGTCAAATTTGACGCTATTGATTTCTGTAAGGTTCCCCATATAATTTCAGATCTTTTTGTATGTTTCGCAATATTATAATCAGGTTCACATTTGAAGTTTAATAATGGTATTTAAATTAGCTTAAGTTAATTCAGATTGTCTTTCAGATGGAAATCTATAACATTGTTAGAAGTTTTAGAATTTGAAATGATTCCCTGAGCTTGACCCAAAACAAAAAAATATTGATTTTCTAGCTCATTCTTTATTCTCGTTGAATTTTTCAAATCACAAAAAACATCTTCACCCCCCCCCCTTTTTTCCAAAACAAACCAGGTTTGTGTAGGAAATGAGCTCTATTGATAACATGCGCGTGCGATGCGTCGCGTCGCGGTTTTTCTCCCACTTTTTCTCTCTCACATGTTGTTGATTATTCACTTTTGTTTATTTTATTTATTTAGTCTGAAGAAAAACTAGTCTGATTTTTCATTTTTCACTGTCAATTTCACAAGATTCATGTAGGTTATCGATTTTCAGAAAATATAGCTTCTTTGATTTTAGATTCTGTCAGAACTCTGTCCGATTTTCTTGGTTAAATTTAGGATTCCTTGATTCTCACAAAAAAATATTTATTATTTTTGTTGTTGTTTTCTGAAAAACAAAATTCATCGCGTTGCGGTCGTGCAACGCGGTTCATCTATTTTATTAAAACCGTTGTTACATATATCCGTATTATTGATTGATTGCTCATCTTTCATAAATATATATATAATTTTTGATTTTTTGCAGATGGAATTCACACAAGGTGGTGGTTTGGACAGCATTGTCATCGACTTAGGAAGTCAATCAACACCGACAGAAACAACTGGTTAGTTTGGTTTTTTTTTAATATTTTCAGAATGAATTTAGCAAATTTAAGAAATAATTGTTTTTTTTTTCAGTTTTTGAATACACACCTTTACAAACACCAGCAAATCAAAGTATTATGTCAGCAGGATCAGCTCTCTCGACACCAAAATCAGGATGCGAAGGTAAGCCTGAATCATCCCTGCAAAATAAAATCAATAATCCATCTTCTTTTTCAGGTAAAAAATCAACGATAAGATATTGTGTTTGCATTGCCAAAGAGTTCCATAAAAATATATTTGTAGAAGTGTTTAAAAAACATCTTATCTTATATATTTATAATTTTGAGCCAGCGTCGACAAGTGTTTGGGAAACATGGAGTTTCCAGAGAGTTTTTTCAAATTTTCAGGAAAAAAAAGTTACAGCTGTTGTTATGTCGGATTGGATTGTTTGATTTGAAAATTACAGGAAATATGAGATCTCATTTGTTGACTGAGATTTGCTGGATCTTCTCTCAATCCTAGGAACTTCCATTCTCCCACGAACACCCTCCCACATTTTCAGCAAAAGCTTCTTTCTAGAAAATTGACAGATCTGGAAATTGTTAGTAGTCGTAGACCTTCCACCCTGTCACAAAATGAAAAGATTTTAGCGATGTTGCTGTTGCATTTTCGTGGCACAAGTTTTGATAATTCTTCCTAATACACAAATTCTGGGCTATGTTAAGATCATCCATTTTTTTCGTTGATATAATCCTCCGTGATATAGTCAACAAATTATATGAAATATTTTATTCAATCAATTTTTCAAAAAATCAATAATTACCGTAGCTTTTCCCATGTTTTTCCATTTAGATTCTTTTGAACCCATTGTCAGATGTTGAGTCATTTATACCTCACAGAATTTGTCAGTTCTGAACTCCTAAAGAGTACCTATGAGATTTAGGCATACTCAAGGTCCCGTATTTTTCGAGGCAATCTCAACCTGTTAAATCAATTATCAATAAAATATTTATATTGATAAGTTATCAAAAAACTCAAAACTCTTCAAAGCTCACGAACTCTTTGGCAATGTTCAAAACACAGAAAAAAAAACAACATGAATTTTTTTTTCAAAACTCTAAATTTTCAGGTGTTCCCTCATCGCCGGAATGTTATACTCCAACTCGGCCTGGAATGAGAATTGTCAAGCGAAAACCAGTTGCTGATCGATATAATGTGAAAGGGACAAAATATGCGAAATTGGAGAAGATTCTGAATGGAGAGGAGAAGAAAATGAAATCAACGGCCGAGTTGTTGGCTCTGGTAAGATATTTTTTTCAAAAATTCTATTTTTTTTTTCAAAATAAAAATTCATTCTGAAAATTCTTATATACCGCTAAAAAATTTCAGAAAAAAGTCTTTCTCAAAGGTTTACGTAATTCACAAATCGTAATTCACACTTTTACAAAAATCCTCCAAATTTCAGACGCCAAGAAAGTCGATACTTCGAAGAGAACGACTTCAGGAAGCATCGGCAACTCCGAGAAATGTCAATTTTTCTGACGCCAATGGCCTTCCACTCGTGCAGATTCAAGAAATCCCTTCAGTCAAAAATGGTCAACCAAACGATGAAGAAGATCATCTAGAAGCAGCGGAACGTTTCCGTATGAGTATGGAAAAATTGAATGACACTGATCGCAAACCAGTTTTGATTAGATGTCATCGACCAAACGCCAAATTTTGCCAAACACAATCACAAACTGCTATTATTGAACAAAATCGTATTCGGAAATATGGAATTTCAACTGGACCAATTTTTGGGTAAGGTTTTTATATATATCAGATGTGTTCAAAACAATATTCTTTCAGAACCGTTGAACTTGAAGACGATCCTGAACTTACACGAAGTGCTGCTGAAGCATTAAAATATCACAAACCTACTAACATTCCATTTAACAATATTACAATCGGCTCAGCTAGTTGGAGAGATTTGCCGTTGCCAGGAAGAAAACAAGCAAGTCCACCAATACAACAACCAGAAGAGCCATTTCTCGGGTATCAAGCATCATTTGCTGCTCCAGAAGAAGCTGCGGCTTCAAGCTCTTATTCAATGGCTGATTCGAATGAGAATAATAAATATGAGCAATTGACTGAACCACCTGTCACAGAGTATTATGCTAGCACATCTTTTGTGAATGATACACCAGAAGTTGCAAAACCTCCAGTACAGTTATCGAATCTTGTATCATCGTTGTCTAGTCTTAGTGATGGAACTAAGGCCTTACTTGGATTTTTAGCAGCGAATAAGGTAAGAGTTATTGAAACAGGAAAAAAAAATAATTTTTTTTTTCAGAAACAAAATGCACCAGCACCACTCAATGAAAATGTTGAGCAACAACAAGGTTATATCGCAAGATTCGACACCGAACCATCAACTTCTGAAGAGCCATCGGGTTATCATTATGTTGGAAGTTTTGACAACTCATCGACTCAACAATATTCAGCAACAGCTCCAGCATATCCACCAAATTATCCACCTCCTCAACAATCACAACCACAACCACAACCACAACCACAACCACATCAACAACCAAATATTGGAGTTTTGACTGCGATTCAACATCAGCAAGAACTTTTGTCAAAACGTTTGCCAGGGGTAAGTTGAAATCTTTTTGAAAAAATTATATGCATTTAAAAATTGTGTGTGTTTTCAGATAATTGGCAATCAATATGTTCAAGGCGGCTGGAAGGTTAACAAGCCGTGCACTTATTTTGTTTTCAAAACTGATGGATGTGATCGTGGAGAGCGCTGTAGATATTTACATGATCAAAATCAGGTGAGTAAAAATATTGATGATAGGGATTTACAGTAACTCTGAAATTTTTGTTGAGGATGGCTAACTTTTAGGTTTCCACTTCTCGACCCATTTTTGAATTTCATCCAAAATATTTTTCAAATCCTTTTTTTTCCAGAAGGATGAAATTCTTCGAGCCAGACAAAATCAACAACAACGTCGATCGCCTCCACCAATTTGGGCGCAAAAAATGCGAAGCGACATGGTTCCAACTGCTGCTCAACCTGAACGTGTTGGTCCACGTGGACAACGCGTCAGCCGCTTTGAACCAGTCGGTGTTCCTCCACAACAACAACAACAACAACAACCACCACGTGCTGAATTGCGAAAAGATGATCGCCGCCATTTTGATGCGAATCGCCGGCCAGAAAGAGTTCGCGGAAATCGTCGATCCCGATTTGATCAATCACCATCTAGCTCGCCAACAAATGCATAGTTCGATTTGTTATGTTTTGCCAATTCTAGTTCAATAATTTCCCAGCAAACTGATTATATCCCTCGTCAAACCTCTGTGATTTAGAAACGGGATTTTTCAATAGTATATCTTTTATACACATCATTTTTCCTTTTTAATAACTTTTTTTATACTTTTGTCAAATAAAAATTATTATTTAAAAATTGGATTTTTCTTTTATTTGTTCACTGTAAAAAAGGTTGAGAGCACCTTTGAATATTTATTTGGAAAATCGATAAAAGTGTTTATAATTGAAAGACACTTGATTTTTAGATGTCGAACAAAGAGTTTTACTTTGCTATTATTGGCCATTTCGATCAACCAATTTTCGAAATGGATTTTCCAAGCAGCGAGAAGAAATCGAAAGAAAATGCGGATACCAGGTACCTTTTTTTGGGTTTTGAAAAAACAGGGAATTTGGGGGAAATCTGAATTGGAACATTTTATTTGAAAAATTAATTGATCTGAAAAATAGTGGAATTTCAGATTAATTTTCTGACAAGGGAACCTTTTTTACTCAACACTTCAAATCATGATGAAATTTGGTCCATGGACAGCTATTGGGGTCATAAGAACACCCTAAAAATTTTAGTTACCCAATGGACCTCTGAGCCAAGTTCTGGGCTCTCAAAAGTTCAAAAATTGCCAAAATTGGCTCATAAAAGTCATCATAACTCCATTTCAAAATAATTTTCATGAGAAATAAAGTTTCAGATATTGATGAGCATGATCGATTACCTAAAAGTAAATCAATAAAAAATATTTTTTCAAAAAATTTTGAAGTTTTTTATTTTTCGGCTGAAAATTCACGAAAATTCATATGTGCCCCTGCTCATTCATTTTTCCAAAATCAAACATTTTTCTGAAAATTTGATTTATTGATGCTTTTTGGGTAAATCGGCCACGCTGATCATCATCTGCTATTCAGTTATTCATAAAATTGATCGAGAATTGAGTTATGACGTGTTTTATGAGCCAATTTTGGCAATTTTTGAACTTTTGAGAGCCCAGAACTTGGCTCAGAGGTCCATTGGGTAACTAAAATTTTTAGGGTGTTCTTATGGCCCCAAAAGCTGTCCATGGACCAAATTTCATCATGATTTGAAGTGTTGAGTAAAAAAGGTTCCCTTGTGAAAAATCAATAAAATGTTGATTTTCAGCTAGAAGAATTTGATTTCGTCGAACTTATTGAAAAATCCAGTTTTTCGTGTTACGTTCAATTTTTGTGGAAATGAATTTTAAGTTCATTAAATCTGGAAATCTTAATTTTCTAGAGGTTATTTTCAATTTTTCAGATGCCTGAACTTATGTCAAAAATTTTCTAGAGTCAAGATTTACAATTAGATTTTTCATAAATATTCAGATCTTTCCCCGAAATGTGAGCACCCTGGTTCAACTAGAAATCCCAAAAAAATGTTCCGATTCAGAATTTCCCCAAACACACAATTAATTTTTTAATTGTTTTTTTCCAGACATTTGAATCATTATATTGGACATGCAGCCCTTGATATTGTTGATGAATATGCCCTCACAACTCCGCAAATGTATTTGAAGGTATGCTGTCATTTTTTTTAAATATTTACTGATAACAATTTTTTTCGAAAATGATAATAATCATACAAAAAATCGCACCAATAACAATTATTACGATGATGATGATTATGATAATTATGAAATTCAATGACGCAAATAAAGTCCAAAGTCTTTCAGATGGTTGACAAGTTCAACGAATGGTACGTGTCAGCATTTGTAACAGCAAGTCGTATTCGATTCATCATGTTGCACACTCAAAGATCCGATGAGGGAATCAAGCAGTTTTTCCAAGAGATGTATGAGACATATATCAAACATTCAATGAATCCGTTTTATCAAATTGATGGACATATTGATTCGCCTGCATTTGAGCAAAAAGCTGTTTTGTATGGCAAGAAGTATTTGTCATAATATGATTTATGTTTGATTTTGCTGCGGGTTGTAGTGCTATTTATTTTATTTTTTTCCAATTATTGTGACGTTGTATATGAAGATGCATAGATAAATAAATATTTATTTTATGAAAAATTGTTTTTTTTTCTTGATAGATTTTCAACCAGCTCAAAATAAACGTTTTGAAAAATGTTCCTAAATGTAATTATCTGGCCGATTTATTGATTCAGCTGAAAATAATTCTATATAAATGCAGATGTTTTGGTGAACTTGTAGATGAGATTTTGTAGAAGATCTAGAAGATCTAGAGACTGAAAGTCTCTAACCCAACAATATTCAAATACAGTTTATTCCAAAATTTTAAAGCTAAAATTAATAGTAACGTAAGTATTCAAAAGGAAAAGCTTGGAAAATTTATAAAGCTACGCCGCACTTCCAAATTCCACACTTCTGAAAATTTTCTGAATATTGAATTTCAACAAAACACAAAAAATAGCACATTTTATTCACTGGGAAGCCGAATCTGACAAATATATAAATATCGGGAGTACATATAAAGCAACAGGTAAAAATGGAAGTTCTAGGAACAGAGTAAACCGGTAGATAAAAATAAATGGGCCAATACAAGAGACAGAAAACGAATATCACAAGTATTGATTGGTGGGAGGAGCTATGGTGGAATGCTGAATATATTTTAGAGTGTAGAATAGGGAGAAGATTTTTAGCTTTTCAATATTTTAGTGAGATCTTAATAAGCGGGGGAAGGATACAAAGATTGATAGACTAGCTTTGGATTTGATTAAATTAATTTTTTTGGAGGAGACGCTCAATTGTTTCCCGATCACGTTTGCGGGCTTGTTTTTCGGCTTCAAGAAGACCTTCCAATTCGGAAATTCGACTTTTCATATCCGCATATTCCTTTTCCTTCTTCATCTGCGCTTCCTTAGCCTTTGATCGACTTTTTCTTACGGCATCATTGTTCCGAGCTCGCTTCAATTTGTAGCCATCTTCTTTCTGAAAAAAAAATATTTATTGATTGAAATATAAAAAAAAACCACCAACCTTTTCATGTTCTGGCTTCAATTTATATTTACGAGCTTTGGTTTGCGGCTTGAAATCAGAAACTTTTCTGATACCAGTCGATTTCTTTTTGTGGAGTTGGTGAAGGGCTGTGACTTTCCTCGCTGCAGCTATTAATTTCGCTGCAACTATCCTCATTCGATTCCATTTCATCAAAATCATCGTCTTTGTATGGTGGAATTTTTTTGACAGGTCGAGTGGTTTTCTTGAAATAATCATGTGGCTGCGATCCTTCTGGCACTTTCTCTGTAAGTTTAATTAATTGATAAATTGAAAAATTTTGAGAATTCATTTAACTCACCTTCAGCAATTCTGGTGTATCTACTGCCCGTGTAATTTGTTTTGTATGGATCTGGGCTTCTTGGACCATATGATCTATAAGTCTCGCGATATTCGATGCGGAATGGATCGTTGGTTTGGCAGAATTGCGCGTCATCGTATAAGAGTTGAGCTTTGTAGAGTTCGCCGTCGGTGAGATCGATTTGATCTGGTGGAACATCGAGCTCCTGTAAAAAGTTATTTATTATTCCATGTTCCAGAATTTTCAGTCAAATAAGACTTACATTGAAGCAGGCAAGATAATTGTCCAAATCCAACTCGGTTTCCATGAAATCGACCATTGAAACTTGTCGATCACGTTCTTGAAGAGTTGCAGCGACAGCCAAGGAATCTTGTCTTCCAAATCCGACAGATGTTGATGGTGCAGCTTCTTGCGATTCATTTGGTGGTGGCATTTTTTTCAAATCAGTGTAGTTCGGGTCTTGGTATGAAAACATATAGATCTGTAAAAAATGATGATAAATAAAGGCAAAAATCAATAAATGAGGGACGACCAACGACGAAAAAATTCGCGGCCGGGGGGCGATTGGTTTCGAATGTTCTAGAGGGAAAATAAAGAAGAGGGCGCGGGCGACCAAAGAGAAATGAAACGAACAAAAAAAATGAGTAAGGCGAGAGAGACGAGAAAACATCTCTGTCCCCACACACACACACGACCAAACAACACGCGCCAAAAGTGAGTGAGCGAATGGTGAGTGAGCGTGTGACCATAGAGAAAACGAAGAAAAAAAGAGAAAGAGAACATAAAACTGTTGGTTTTTTGTTGACAGATGAATCACACAGAGAGTGATGGTATGGTATGACTAAAAAATATTGAAATGAAATGAAATGTGAGACTCTCTTATCAATGAAATGAATAAATGTGTAGCGTTTTTTGTGTGTGGCTCCAATTCTTTTCCAAGAGGCGGAGAGTGACGTCAATAACACAAATAAATATCTTATTACTTACTCATAATGGTCCAAAAAACTGTGAAAAATAAAAGAGAACAGAAATGACGTCACATAGAGAAAGAGAAAACAGGTGGCATTGTGGGTGGATTGTTTTCAAGATTCAAAAAACTTCTAGGAAAAAAATATTTTTCTTGATACAATATTTTGTAGCTAGACTATAATCCGCAGAATTATAGGAAAATGATTTTGATCTACTTGGAAAAATGCCAAAGAGTTTGGAAAAATGTGAAATATTTCACAATCTGATGAAAATGTGAAAACAAAATCTAAGTCAACGTATTGCTCAGGGTAGAATATTTCACAATCTGACAAGAAAATGAAAACAAGACCTAAGTCAACGTAGCCTTACATAGGTTTTCGAAAATCTACGCCTCCTTCTGTGTGAGTGTGTTTGTGTGTGTGTACAGAAAAACTCCAAGGAAACTTCCCGCCCATTTTTCGCCAACTAACAACTATTGCGAAATCGAGGCCAACATGATGTGTGAGTCATGTGTCTCTCTCATTTTCCCATACTATTTCGTAACGAAGCGACCCTTCTCTCATTGAAAGGAAAAGGGGAAACATTATTCGGATGTTTTTTCTTCTTTGTGTTGTTATTTTTTTTGGGATGATGACTCATAGAACAGATAGATGGATTGCAGAAAAAGAATAAATGAAAGCGCAAAAACTGGTGGAATTTTTTGTTTTGTTTTGGACAAAAACTAGAGAGAGAGAGAGAGAAAGAAAAGTTCATCAGATTGCGAAATATTTCCGTTGATGAAATATTTCGCAATAGTTTCTAGATTTTCGTTAGTCATAAAGCTTCTAGAAAACATTAAAAAGGGGAAAGACATGTCAAAAATGGTGTACAAAAGCGGTATACTATTTGCTTTATAGATTAGAAAATCGGTGGAGCGACAAAAAGTTGTGATAACACTTGAAAAACTTTTTATACGACAATCATAAATAAAAACACTCATTGACAGTAATCTTCAAATTTTTTTTGGGATAAAATTAGAAGAGATTGAAAAACATTGTCAAAATTCGAGAGAAAAGGAAGTGAACTGGAAATAAAATCATATTATAACTTCCTTAACAATTTTTAATTAAAATTTGAATTTTGCCTGGGGTATTCTAGGAAAGGGGAACCTAACTTACACGTATGGCACTAGTCGCAGGGATTTGACTTAACTCAAATCAAGTTTAGGTGTCTAACTAATTCTAAGCTTAATGTTAGGTTCAAGCAAAAAACTAGGAAAAATTCAACCTAGACTCGAAGCTTCATTAAAAAAATCTAAAAATAAAATCTGACCATGCAAACATTGATTTTTCTCATTGCTTTCTTATCATTTCATATCAAAGAATTTTCTGGAAAAACATTTTTTTCGATGATTCATCGCATTTTCTCACCCTTATATAGGACAATTTTTTTCAATCATGGTAAAGGAATTTGTGAATTCATTTTTTTCAAATTTTGACATTCAAAATTTTCAAATATGTACATATTTTAGAAATTTATTAACAATACACATTCAAAAATTGCAAAATATATGTAATACACAAGTTTCACAGATGTAAAATTAAAATAAATAATTGAATAATAAAAAAAATTGACTAGATAACATATGAATCAATTATATTGATCTTTCTCTTGAAGAAGTCGTTTGATTGTTTGACGATCACGTTCATGAGCTTGTTTTTCAGCTTCAAGACGATCTTTCAATTTTGAAATTTCCTTTTTCATTTCTTCAAACTCTTGATCTTTTTTCTTTTGTTCTTTTTTTGCATTCAAACGGCATCTTCTGACAGCATCATTGTTTTTATCACGTTTCTCAAGATAAGTTTCATTCTGAAAAGTATAATTTTAATTACTAAATTAAAACTAATCAACAAACTAACCTTTTCACTTTGCGATTTCAATCTATATGGGCGAGCTTTGGTTTTAGGTATGAACTTTGAAACAGATTTTCTGTTTTTAGCAGGTTCTGGTAAAGTATTATTACTCATTTCGCTTCCACTGCTACTTGCTACATCCCAATCTTGATTCGAATCCATTGAATTATCAACACTTGGGACACTAACGGAATAATTATATCCATACGAAAAACTGTTATCAACAGGATCAAAAAAATAGTGTTCTGGAATTTCTGGTGTAAATGATGGCATGAGTTCTTGGAACTCGTTTGATGATTGCAGATTATTCAAATTGGCATAGGAACCCATTATTCTGTAAAACAGTTGATAAATCAAAGATTAAACAAAAATGTTTAAGAAAGGCTCAAAAAGTTTATAATTGAAAAAAATTAATAATTGAAAAATAATTTCTAACCAAAGAAGTAGCAAGAAAAGTAGTTAGTCTGAAAAAATAAAGGCTAAACGAAGTTTGAGAACAGCCGAACCTCACAAAAACGAAATGAAAAATACGATAAGAAAAACACGAGTTTGGTTTATTAGACACGCCCCCTTTTTTTCAAGTGAGTGTAAATGTGTCTTATTTTATAATGAGAAATATTCTTCAAATGACGTTTTTTCAAAGTGTTATCTCGGAAAAAAAACAATTGTTTGTTTAGCTTTTGCTCTACCGATACATTTCAGTTGTTCAAGACAATTATACACATAAACTCATATTTGTTGAATTAACAGTGAGGAATAATGTTTACTGGTCAAATGTATATATTTTTAATTGTGGGGTGCAAGAATTGAAAAAATATTTTTAATTAAGGTGAGAAAAACACATTTGGGGAATTGTATGGCTCACAAAAAATGTTTGAAAGGGGGGGGGGGGGGTTGGAAAGTAAATTTTCTGAAAATGCATCTGAAAATTTTTTTGAATTAGAATAACTTGTTGAAAAAAGATAGACCTGTAAAAATTGATATTTATCAAAATGTTTTTACTTTGATCTGAAGTACTTATTCTTCTTTTTGAATTCACGTGATTGTCTGTTTTATGATGAGAAATATTTCTCAGCCATGTTCTACAAACAACAATTTTCACAATCTGTTATCTTTAGTTATGTTTGTCGATACATTTCAATTGTTGAGAAAAGTACATACAACACTAATATGAGTCAGACTCTACAGTAGGAAACATGTTGAATTTTTTGCAATGGTTTTTGTTTGTGAATTGATAGAAACGAATCGGATTTTAAGTACAAAATAATGATTCTGGAGAATTCGAACGTTCATTCAAAGAAAAACAAAGTTCAAAAAAAGAAAATGATTTTTTTCAGGATCCCGTATAATTATTGATTGATACCTTTTTAAACAACAACTTTTGAATTCAAAACTTCATTAGTGAAATTTTGATAAAACTTATGAAACAATATAGCACCATAGGGCTAATTTTACATAATAACATAACAATTATTTTTAAGAGTCCAAATCTAAATCAGCAGTTTTTGGTACAAAAAATGCCCTAGATATTACAGGTAATTAAATGGTTCTTTTTCTCGAAGAAGTCGTTTAATTGTTTGAGCATCACGTTGACGAGCTTGTCTTTCCGATCGAAGAAGCGCTTCCAATTCCGAAATTCGGGCTTTCATGTCTTCAGATTGTTTTTCTTTTTTTCATTTGAATTTTCTTCGCCTTCAAACGACATTTTCTGACAGCATCGTTGTTTCGCTCACGTTTTTCTTTATAAGTGCTGTCTTTCTGAAAATATGTACAATTTTAATTTTTAATTCAAATTATCATTGAACCAACCTTTTCACTCTCTGATTTCAATCTGTATTTTCGAGGTTTGGTTTGAGGTATGAACTTTGAAACTGATTTTCTGTTTTTAACATATGTTTCTGTTGAGAAACCATCATCGTCACTTGAAGCATTCGTTTTCATGTCATCATCTTCACAAAAATGTGAGAAATACTCTTGAGCATTATCGGAATAATGTGAAAAACCAAGAGAATAATCAGCTTGATAAACTTCATTTCTTTTCGATTCATCTGATTGATTGATCTGATTTTCAAATTTTTTTGGATAATTCTGGAAATATTCGCCATAATGATCGGCAACATCAAATGCATCTTGAATAAAAGTATTGGAAGGCCTGGTTTCTTGGCATGTGTTGGATAATGAGATCTCATTCAAATTCATATATTCGAAATTCATGTGGCAAGCCATATCGCAATAATGATTCGAAGATATAATTTGTTCAAAAATCTGGCTGTTTCTTCTAAGATCGTATGGAAAATTAGTTTTCCATACCAGTTTGAGACTTTTGAAATAATCATCAAAATTGACTGTATTCTTATTTTTATACTTTTGAAAGCTACGCCTCTTGTTGTTTGCGTAAGTGCGCAAGTCTTTTTTAATATGAGAAATATTTATTTGGAAACTGTTTATCATGTCTCTTCACTTATTATCTCACAAACAAAAAAATACGTCCTGTGTGTTTATCTTCTGTAGTTCCGATACATTTTAATTGATGAGATCAATGATTGGTATGAGTCAGTTTTCACAATCAGAACGAAGACACAAATAATGGCGTTTTGTGATTTTTGCAATTGTTGATCATACTACATAATTTCTGAAAATGTTGAGAATGGAATTCTTCTCTCTCAATTTCATGCTTATTTTTCAAACTCAAAAAAGTGAAAAGAAATTTGAAGGTTTGGAAAACAGTGAAATAATGTATGAAATTTTGAAGGGAGACAAACAACTATCGGAACTTTATTTATAGAAATTTATTTTAATATAAGATTCCATTTTTACAAAAAAATCACCAAGTTTTTTCATCTATCAACAGTTTCATTTCTGAAAACATATAAATAAAAGTGAAGTTAATTTTTTATTCGAACAAACTAAAATTGTCTCTCCCAAACATGATACGAGTTTTGTGAAGTTGTAGCTTGATAATCCCAAACACGAGTTTCACTTTCATTTCGCTTCAAGAGTTCTTCTAACTCAACAACTCTCTGTTTCAATCTCTCCGTGTTTTTATCAGCTTGTTGTTGTCTGACTTTTGCCTTTGCTCGACATTGTCTGACAGCATCATTGTTCTTCTCACGCTTCAATATATAAGTCGGATTTTTCTGAAAACTTGGTAGATTTATTTGAAAAAGCTGTGTTTTTTGAATTTTTTGAAAAATTTACCTTTTCTGATTCAGATCGTTTTTTGTAGCTTCTTGGTTTAATTTTGGGTTGAAACATCGAAAGTTCAGAATTTGGTGACATTTCCTTGCCAGTTTTTTGTTCGATTTTTGTTGAATATGATTCATATTGATCGGTCAGATCTGTAAATTCTCATTGATGAGATCAAAATGACATCTGTTGTTTTTCTACCTGATGGTCCGTTGGTATAATTGTGAGTAGATTCCATATGAAATTCATTTACATATTGATTTTGAGGAAAACAAGTGTTGCCTTGTTTGAACAAGTTGTCTGGATAATCCACCTCCATTTTGAACTCTTGATTATTCCCAGATGAACTCGTATAATCATCATCATACGTATTTCTTTCGTGTGTTTGAGCTTCCAAATTGTTATTCTAAACAGTAAGTTTTTCCAATGATTGAGGAAAAATGATCCCGCACGCATTCAACCATTCAATAGCTCACCTTTAGGTAAATATCCATTGAACTTTTATCAGACAAAATTGGAAAGCTGTTATCATAGCCAAATCCAAAATCAGAACTCTCCATATTACAGTTTTTGTTTGTTTTGTTGTTTTTCAGAAGATGAATTCATAAAAAAACATATCTCTTAAATATTTATAATTGTGGGAGGAGCATTTCTTCCAAATAACACATCATCTAATAAATCATTTGAAGTTTAAGATAAGTTTAAATTTGTTATTTTCTTTTGCATGATAAATATTCGCAACAATTTTTGAAAACAATGATTTCATGAATTTCGCCATCATTGCACTTTGACAATGATTAACACAATAATTTTTTAAATTTTTGTTTTGATCGGATTTTTGAACTATTACATATTTATGAGTGAATAGAAGTACTTTTGGACGTTCTCGATTGTAAATTTGGAAAAAAAAAAGTTTTTTTGATCAGGAATATCATTATTTTTTTGCTCAAAAAGTATTGGTCTTCGAAAATTGATATGTTTTTATCACAAGAACAATGATCCAACGAAAATTTCGCAACTCTCTGAAATTATTTAATAAAACAAGTTCTAAAAAACACGCCAACAATCATCCTTGGCGGAAACATGGGAACTGGATAGAACAATTTTTGTAACATTGTGAGCTTCAAATTCAAATTTCTGTATTCAAAAGTAACTCAGAGATTCGCTGGCCAGCTCGCCACCAGGTGGGGAGGCTGGCTGACCTGGGAACCACATGGAAACCATGTCGCCCGGTTTTTTTTCGCTGGCAAGGTGGCCAGGCTCTGGCTAGGTCACGGCCACATGGCTACCATGTGGTGGCCACTTCGCCGCGTCAAAATGAATTTTCATGAAAATGTCTGAAAAACTTGTGAATTGAGGCATTTTCGAAAAATTTGGCTCATTTTCTGTTTTTTCGCAGCACCTGAAACCTTAGGAAGTGAAAAAACAGTAGAAAATGCAGTGTTTTGAGTACAAACCACTGTCTTGCCAGCTTTCCAGAATTTCAAACACACAGGCCACGTCGCCGGAAAACTCAAGGCGACCTGGTGGCCATGCGGTTTCCAGGTGGCCGCAGCGATCTGGTGGCGAGCTGGCCAGCGAATCTCTGAGAACAACAAATAATATAGAATTTTTGAATCAAAACAGTTGCAGAAATTTTTTTCTATTTTTATCAATTTTTATGATTATTAATTTCGCTCAAAAAACTTAAAAATTAGTTTTGTTTAAAATGTATTGAGACTTCATTAGGAGCCCTATGTATTTTTCATATAAAATATCTGATAAATAATCTATCCGCTATTTCAAATTTTTGATTTTCATTTTCTTTTCACTGAATTGGTCGGTGAGTGTTTGAAAAAAATTTTATTGCAGTAAAATTGTTCCCAAAATTTATGAGTACAATTTCTCATATTCAACCAATACCCACAGCGAGGAAAATATCAATAGACTTTTATTTTCTCCATTCACTTCTTCGCTGAATTCATCAGAATGAATTTTTTTCAAATATTTTTTATCAATTGTGACAAAATGTGACAATTTTCTGTTCTATGCAGTAAAACAAAAACAACAAACTAATTGTATTGTATATACTTTGTTCATTTCATTTTGTCTCTAATGAAATATTTTTTATATAGATTAAAAATTTCGTAATAAGATTGACTCACAAAAAGAAAAACTATAGAATAGCGGCGCTGGTGCAATCATCAATGGCTCTGAAAGAGGAAAAAGGTTTTAAAGATTTTAAATTTCAAATTCTGGGACATGATTCAAGGGTTTTGGTGAATAACCAAATTTTTATCACAATAAAAACTTCAAATAATGCTCAAAATTCTGAAATCGAAATTATTTTTATTATATGAAATCCTCTTTTTTTCCACATTCAGAGCCAGCATAATATTGATAAAATCAATAAAAAAAACTTTTTCAGGTCCCTAACCCCTTCAATTCACAAAAAAAAGATTCCAAATTCTCCGATTGATACAGTTTTTTGTGTACATATAATCCATCTTCCATTTTTTTTTCAGTATATTTTTCTATAAAATAAAGTGAATTTTTGATGGATCGACCACACATATTCAATGAAAAAAAATGATAATGTAAACTTGAACTGTAGAACGCTAACCAATCAAAAAAAAGTTGACCTTGACCAACCTGTTGTTCTCCTATATCCTTTTTTCGTCAATTGTTTTTTTTTTATTTTTGCCATAATATTATACTTTTTTTCTCGTTTCTATATAAATATACTATTTTTTTAGGAAATATGTCGACTCTCGAACATTCTGAACTGTATGTGAAGCTTCAAGATATTTTGAACAAAAATAGCAAGACAGACAAGGATAAAAATGATGGTTCGATATTTACTTCATTATATCATCAATTTTTAGATGAAGATGCACATATTGATTGGAATTCTTGGAGACATATTCCACCTGAAGTTCAATGTAATTTGAGTGATATTCCAGTTTTCGATACAAGCAGGTTGGTTTAAGTGAAGGGTATTTTGTTTTTCTTAAAAGTTAGGTTTCCCACTGAAATTTTTTTGTTGAAATTCATTTCAGAAGAGATGTTCTTGACAAAGTTGTGGTTATAAAATTAAATGGAGGTCTTGGAACTACAATGGGATGTAACGAAGCAAAATCATTCATTGTTCTTCGAGACAATTTGTCTTTCCTTGATTTCAGTATTGAACAACACAAGGTATGATTTTAACTTTTTCTCTAATTCAATTCTTCAAAGAAATTAAATTTTTCAGCATCTGAACACTAAACACAACGCAAATATTCCAATGTATTTGATGAATTCTTTCTACACTGAGAATATGACGATTGAAAAATTGAAAGCAAAAAATATTGATGATGTGTTGACATTTGAGCAATCAAAGTGTCCAAGAATTTTGAAGGATACACTTTTGCCTGTTGAAAATGCAGAGTGGGGAGATGATGCGTGAGTTTTTAGGTACAGGGATGCAAATATAGAATTTTCAGTTGTACCTGTAGAAAAATTGAACCGTACTCAAACCCTTTTTTGATTCTGAATTTGAAAAAATTCAACAATTTTCAAACAATGGATTTTTGCCTTTATTTTTGAAAATTATCATCAAAGGTATAAAATGGTCTTCAAATTTTCCGAATAAAACACATTACAACTAGAAAAATACTGATTGTGACTATTTATCGTAACTCATTTTTTCCAGATGGTATCCTCCAGGACATGGCAATATTTACGATTCCCTTGTAAATACCGGAACTCTGGATCGCTTATTAGCCCAAGGTACAAAACAAATACAAACAAAAAAATGATCTATGAATTTTTATTCAGGAAAAGAAGTTATTTTTGTGTCAAATATTGATAACACTGGTGCTACACTCGACTTATCAATTGCTCAATTTATGCTTGATCATGATTTGGATTATGTGATGGAATGTACTGAAAAAACACAAAATGATATCAAAGGTGGAACTCTGATTGAGATAAATAAACAATTGATGCATTTGGAAATGCCGCAAGTTCCGAAAGATCATCTTGATGATTTTTGTTCAACAAAAGTTTTTAAGTGAGTCTCATTGATTTCTTCTGAACTTTCAAAATCCTAATCTGATTCAGAATTTTCAACACAAACAATATTTGGGTGAACTTGAAAGCTATCAAACGACAAATGCCTGGAATCAAAAGTGAAATTATTGTAAATCATAAAACAGTGAGAGAAGAAAATGTGATACAATTGGAAACTTCGATTGGTGGGAGTATCAAAAATTTCAAAAAAGCTTATTGTGAGTAAAAAAAAGGTTTATATTTTGACTAGAAAAATTTCCAGGTATGCATGTTCCACGCAATCGTTTTCGACCGGTTAAAAGAGTTGAAGATTTGGTCATTATGTCATCTAATCTATTTTCTTTGACAGATGATTTTACATTGGAGTTGAATGCGTTGGAAGTTCCAGCTATTGATTTGGGAAGCTTTTACTCAAAGGTTAGTGAAAAACCCAAAGCTTTTTGAAAACGAAAAATTTGAAGCTCCAAAACAGAGTTCACAGAAGTTTTTGATAGTTTTTGATTCCAAATTCGTTTTCAGCTTGACCGAATTAGTATATCTCAATTTAATTTTTTTTCATTTAAGTACCTGACCTCATTTTCGTCTCTTGTTAGCAATATTTTTTCTTATCCCTCAATGAAAGTCTAAAATTAAATAAATCCTACCATTTAGAATCGAGGATATTTCTATAATTCCTAAATCCTGGACGCGCAAGATTAACTTATGTAAACCAGGGATTTTTGTAGCTTTGGCAGCACTCTCAACATTTTTAAGCTTCCCCATGCCATCATAAATTTCATGTTTTCAGATTCAACTCAAGGATGAAAGAATGTCCCATGTTCCTTTATTGAAAAATGCAAAAAGTTTCAAAGTAATTGGCGATGTTGCTTTTGGAGAAAATGTTGAAATCCGTGGAGATGTTATTATTCAAAATAACGGGCCGAATCAAGTAAAAATCGCAGATGGAACCATATTTGAAAATGAAACAAAAATCTTTTGACACATTTTCCCATGACTTTTTTCTCTTGTTCTGTATAATTTGTCTTGCCTTTTGTCTCGGAAATCTCATATCTTTGTGATTCATATGAAAAAGAGTTACCGAAAAATGTTTCTGTTCCTCTAAATGTCACCTTTTCCGTTTGTTTAACCATCATTTCTTTTTTCGATTCCTTTTTTTTGCGACTAAACTAAAATGTTCTATTTATTTTTTTCACAATTTTTACAACATGATGGCTATATGGTTTTGTTTTGAGAAAGGCGAGCAACAAAAATTGTTCATTATTTTTCAATTTTTTTTTACAAAAAACCAGAGAAGAGTTTTTTAATGTTATGTGATGCAATAACCTAAAATTTCAAATTTTTGTATAATTTTTCAAACTGAAGGTGAAGTGAGAAAAAACAATTCGAATCCTCGAAGGATTTTTTTCCGGAAACTAGTTTAGAAATTTGAAAAATCAGTGAAACATGGCTGGAAAGTCAATTCCGATTTTTGTGAAATTTACCAATGGCTTTTGAATTAAAATCGATTTTCATGTCAGACTCCACCTTTAAATTTCAACATTTCAAAAAAAGCATGTAGGTCGCCAAAAAATCCATAATCATGATAATTTTTTTCAATGAAAAACCAAACCGTTCATTCATTCACAAGTGCGTTTTTTGCTGTTTATCGAAGAAGAAACACAGGCACCGTCTTTATTTTTTTCTTTGATAATCCTCAGGCATTTTTTGTTTCTCATGAGTTTAGAAAATGATAATTTTTTCTTGATTTTGCCAGTTTTCAGACCAAGCCTTTGTTCTTCAAATGTTTTTGTGATAAAAAATGCCAATTTTTTCAAAATTTCATAAATATTTTTTTTGTAAAATATTAGCTTCGAATTTTCAAAGATTGCTGAATTCATTGCAATTTTCTTTGACACAATCTTCCGAGTTAGGCTAAGTTCTACAAAATTTAATGCGAAGAACAGTTTCTATTTTGAATTTTGAATTCAGGGAACCCAGATTTTTTTATTCTAGTATAAAATGTCCTTTCAATTCATACTATCCTTCCCTGTCATTCCCCTCTATCAGAAAAAAAAAACTGCTAGAGCATTTTTTTATCACAAGCGTAACGTAATAAATTTCAATAATGTTTTATTGTTATTATTATCGAATTATATATGTTAAAAGAATCGAATCACATCGTCTATCCTATCATTTTTTATATAACTTTATGTATAGTTTTTCTACCGTTTGACAATATTTTCTTCCATTCTTTTTTCTTTGTTTTCACAGGTTGGGTGATAATAAAATGGATCGACAAAAAGATTCTAGAATGGATTTGGATGAGAATGGTGAAGGCGAAGAGGAGAGTCCTCGCTTTTTGCAAAAGGTTTGTTCAACTACCCTCCCTATTTAGCATTTTTAGAGAAAATTTGAAAAAGTTCCGCACATTTTTCACCCAAATCAACAAAGTTTTGCGAACTGATAGGGAAGTTCAGACATGTTTTTTGCGGTAAATAAATCATGTTTTTTATCATTTATGAATTTATATGCTGTCAAATGTTTTAACTGTTTGATTGGCTTATGTTATCAGCTTAACTGATAAGAAGTGACCAAATTCTATATTATACCTACATGAAATAAGTACATGAGTACGGTAGAAATCTTTTTTTCTGAACTTATCTTAAAGGATGTTAGGCAGCTCCTGAGGTCACTTGAAAAACATACAGTAAACATTTTTTATAGATCCGAGACTTGGCAATGGTTGCGTACAAAACACAAGAAAATTACCGAAAAACAACAATTCCATCAAATGTTTTCAAGAGACCAAGTGATACACGTTTTGGAGAAAACAGACAACTATTCATGCCAAATGGTTTATACAAGGGACTTCCGTATATTGCGAAAAGTAAAAAAGAACTCTGGATGGAGCCGGCTGTTTTCATGGAAACTGTGAGATTTTTTTTTTTGAATTTTAAGAATTGAACCTGGAAATTAAAGTTTGCATTTCAGAGTTGTTCCAACTCTCCTTTTCCCTAACCATTTAAAATATTTCCAGGTCTTGAACCCAAAAGTTCGTGAAGGTGTCGAAGTAGAACGCTTTGTTTTCAATTTGGAAACTGAAGATTTCGAATTGAAAAAAACGGTTAGTAAATTTTTCATTCCGTTTTTCAAAATGTTTTCAAATTTCAGAGAAAGTTCACTGAAGACGATATTGATTCTGGTATAATTGCTCAGGTTTTGACCGATTTAACTACAATCACTCGGAATGAAGTGCAAATTTATTTGGGAGAGAAACCACAGGTAAGTCTCTGACATAGTGAATCAGGCTTCGGTTTGAAAAATCCGTTTTGAAATTTCAGGTTCAGCAACCTCTCATGAATGAGAACTATCCGATCGATAGAGAAACGATGCAATTGCTGATGAATCCTGTTCTCCCATATTCAGTCTCCAGTGTTGTGAGCAGCAATGAAATTCCGGGACCGTCAAGCGTGAAATTCCAAAAATTTAGCAGAGACTATTCACCAAAAACTCTTCAAATTGGAGGACAGAAGCGTCGAGCTTCGAACAATCGGGTAAATATTTTTTTACGATCTCTGTATATTTTTTTTTGTTTTTTTTTCAGAAAGGATTCGGACCGGTTTTGAAAAAAGCGAAGAGCAGCGAGGAGGCAACGAGCCGCAAAAAGAAAAATGGCTCGCAAGATGGAATTTGATGCGGGATTCTTCTGAAAATCTCACAAACACTGTTAATCTTACAAAACATGGTTTTTCTTCTGAAACATAATCGACTTCATCTAACTCTTTTTTAATATTTCACAAGTTATTCTAACTCATTTTTCTTTTTCAAACCTTTTCTTAAATGATGTGTTCTTCAAAATTAACATAAGTAAACTTTTTTGTCTGAAAATTTATGAAATGCAAAATGAAAAATGAGGAAAATAATATTTTCTTGTGGGGTATTTTTTCAAAAAAAAACGTCTTTCTTTTCACAATCTTATATCATAATGAGGAGGTATTCGAGCAACAAGTTGATAATCGAAATATAATGCTCCATTTACCATTGTTACAGTACGACCTTCCGCCTAGAACAAGATAATGCTTGGTTTTATTTGATAAAAATTTTCAAGTGAGAAAAAAAAAAATAAATGCATACCTTGGCTTTTCTGATTTGTGATTGAATTGCTGCTGGATCTGGAGCTGGAGCTGCTCCAACTATTGCACCAGCTTGTTGCATCATCATAGCGACACCCATTCCAACACCCATTGATCTGAAAAAAATACAGTAGCTATGGATTAACTGATAGTGCTGATATTTTTTTTTCTTCTAGATGTTGTAACTAGATTTGCTACAGGTACTGTAGTAGTTCACAAACAAATTAGGTTAGTCATGAAGTTTCAGAAGATGGGAGAGTAATTAACTCAAAGTACTTGTTTTAAAAGAGTACTGTAATTAGGTTATAATTTGTGTAAGAAGGGGTTTTATTCTAAAACCCCTTATGTTAGCTAGGGGAACAGGGATACACAAGCATAAAAAAGCTTAGGATTCAAAATTGCAAACTTACGATTGTCTACGTTTCCTCGATTCATGAACATTCAAAAATTGGCCCTGATGTTGATGAGGTTGAAGACGTTGATTCGCCGAATCATTATCTGATGACACACAGCAACCCATTTATAAAACCATATTTATTTTACTTTCAAAATATATCAAGAAATATCTGGAAAAAAAAGAATCGAAAAAGAAGGAAACACATAAAACACATTCGTTTTTGGGTTGAAGGAAATAAAACAAATGGATTATATACATAAACAAATTATTATTATTTTTTTTAAAGATGGATATGTTCCTTGCCCTTGAAATAGTTAGACTAACTCAAGATATATAAATATAAATCTAGAAATATATAAGAGAAAAATATGGAGAAAACCCTTGCCCAACATATTTTCTTCCTCATCTTGTGTTCTGTAACAAATTAAGTGTTTTTCTTTGCCTATTTTTTCCGATGTTGTGCTCACTGTTCCATCTCATATTCCAACTATAATTTAGGTTAGGTTTTTGCTATTTTCCGGGAGGGAGAGAGAGGGGAAAACATTTTAGGAAACAAAAAACGAGGATTTTTCATAGCAGAAGTTCTTTCAGGATTTTTAGGGAAGACATGGAGCACGGGAAAAGTCAGTGAGAAAAAGTATCAAATTCAATTTTGTGAAAAAAAAAGTCGTCTCACTTTTTCTTGAATAACATTTTTCTCGGAACTTTTATATGAAATTTTATATTCTTGGGAGAATATTGTTAGGTTATTCAAATATATAACATTCAACACGTGTAAATTAATTATATATTTATTTTATGAATACAATCTCACTTACGCTAAGTCTAACTATACTACAAGGGACTCAACTACTCCCAAAAGTGCGGGCACCGGGAGTTGAACCCGTGACCCTGAGCTCAACAGCAGCCGCCACTGAATGTGAGCTATCTCCTCGACATATTCAATAACAGAGGCGTTTTTTGCGGAACTTTTATATGCCATTTTATATTCTTGAGAAAATATTGTTAGGTTATTCAAATATATCAAATTGAACTCAACTTGTGTACCACTTACTCGCCCCAAAGAAAAAAAATGAAATGAAATGAGAAATAAAAATAGAAAAAAAAGAAAAAAAAAACAATTTCAAACACGCGAAACGGAAAGTAGTGCACTATTCAATTGCGTTCTTCACAAGGAAAAATAAAAAAAAATATATGAGCAAAAAATTCAATGAAGCAAAAGCGAAAAGAAGAAATTCTAACCTGTCAAGAAAAACGAAACGAAGAAAAAAGAAGGAGCAGTAGGACAATAGATTAAATTCACAAAAGTCAGATTTGATTTTGTTTCGGAAAGATTTCAATTCTTTTTTCTTGCCATCTACTTCATTCTTCCGTCTTGTTGCTTTTCACGAAATCAACATGCAAATTTTTGTTGATTTAGGTGAAGAAAACGAAGGTTTTTGCTCTTTTCGGGAAGAAAGAAAACATTTATGCATTTCAAAACAAAAAATAAATAGAAACAGAGGAAACCCGAAAAACGAAAAGGAAAAAAACCAATTTGTGGTCATTTAACAGAAAACGAAATGAGTATTTTCTGAAAGGTGAACATGTCTTGAAGAAAACTTGGGAGAAAAGTTGGGAAACAATGCAAATAAGTTTTCGGATGAGAAGAAAAATGGACAATTGGAAAACTTACAAATGACGAATTATTCAATATAGACTCGAAAAAGAAGGATTTGTAAATCTGGAAGATCTTCCAGATTTACAAGTTTTTGACCGAAAGAAAAGTTTATCAAAAAATAGTATAATTCGAAGGGAATACTCAAAAGATGCTCAACATATAAATTATTATCATTCTCAAACTGAAATCATGCATTTTGACTCAAAAACGAAGAATTTGTAAAACTGGAAGATCTTCCAGATTTACAAATTTTTGACCGAAAAAAAATTATCAAAAAAATGTATTTTGTCTAAAAAGTACTCTTAAGATGCTTATAAAAATCTGAAATTGATATTGAATCATTTGTTGATAATTATTTGTTGTTTTTATTTTTTTTTGAATACTTTCTAAAGAAAATACTCTGTTCTGGGCAACCCTTTTTCTATAATATTGGAAACCTTTCTTATTTATGAAAAAACACCCTTTAGGATTTCACTTTTCTAACTTTTGAGTTAGATTAAACTGAAGTTAAAAATATCAACAGGAATGGAGACGCTTCAATCTTGTAAATTTGAAAATCTTCATTTGTGTAAATCGTTTTTCCCGAAGGTTCAGTTTTATCACAGGCTCAATTCAAATGGCTTTTTTTCATGTTTTTCAATTTTTTTAACTCAACTCATTTTCAGTTTGTATAAAAGGCTTGTCTGTAAGGCTTTTCTCAAACTTCCCAAACTTCCCGAACAAACCAAAATAAAAAAAGCTTTTTTCAACTTGAATTAAATTTCATGACTCATTGTTTTTTCAATTAAATCAAAATCCGTTTTTTTTTCACACAAAACAATCCAAATTAAAGTTTTTTCATCTTCTCTTTCATCGTCATCTTCAAATTGTCAAACTCTTTTCAAATTCGTCATTTTCTTTTTTTTTCATAAACAACAGCTCATTTTCGAAGCTAATAATTACTGAAAAAAAGTGTCTTATTTCTTTCTCACTCCTCGATTTTTTCACATGTTTTTCCCCCTTTTTTGCTTGCAAAAAAATGAGTAGAATAAACATTGAAGCAAACTTTGTATTTTGTTTCTTTTACGACGAAATTGTGTGGGCTACATAGATATGTAGAATCAATGGTCGATTTCTGGAGAAAAATAGAACGTTTTGTTTTTTTTTCGTTCAAGATTTATTGCAAAGGTCAATAAATATTGAACAAAAAATCTGAAACTGAAACTGAGACTGAGACTGAACCCTTTATTTTACAATTTCAGAAATAGATTTGGAACTGAAAGTGATTCAAACTATTTTAAAAATCTAATCGCAAGATGTATTTCATAATCTAATCTCTAGCTCGCTGCCTGAAGAACATAAAACCCGACCGAAAAGCCTGCAGCTGACACAATATACTTCATTTTTTTATACATAGAAGGATTGATTGAAATACATTAAAAACTCTCTATCAAACTATTTCAAAACTCAAATTGCATCATTCTTTAAATATATTGAAAATCGTTTTACAATTTCTTGAAAGCTTTTGAATTCTTTTTCAATATACATAGATTCAATCTAGACAAACTGATTGTGCATCAAACTATTCCAAAACTTTATCTTTACATTGATACACTAACTATATGTTTTCTTTTTTTTTGCATCATCTTAGATTTGATAAACATAAAACTAAACTATTTCAAAACTCTGGTTGCATCATTATATTTCTCTATAAATATTTTAAAATGTTTTCATTTTGTTTTTCAGAAGAAAATTCCATATGAAGACTTATTTCCTCTGCTCGAAAATTAGAGTTAAACTCTGAATCCAGACTTCATTTCTTGATAGATTTCATGAATATAACCAAGCCTCAACATTTCCCCTTCAAAAAAAAACCAGAAAAGGTTTCAAAAACTATGCAATGATATCCATCTTCCCAACAACTTGTTCTTTTTTTCCCGAAGATGTTATCTTTGCCCAAATTCCCTAGACATTTCTGCTCTATTTCATCCTTCTTTTTAATAAAAAATAAAACAAAAATGTTGTTTTTTGTGTGTTTCTTTCTTCCACACACACACATTTTTTTGTGCGTTCAAAAAAATATGGAAGAGGGGGACGAGGGACACACACATGTTTGGTTATTGCGGCCAGCCAGCCTGCGCGCGCTTATTATTTTTGAATTTAGTCGTCCAACTCATTAGTTTTTTTGTCATCTTGCGCGCGCGGGAATTTTTTTCTAGTTTGCAGTTCGGGTGGCCAACTCATCAGTTTTGTTGGCCAGTCAGTCGGTCAGTTGTTTTTCTTCGCTTCGCTTTTGTGTTTTGTTCCTTTTTTGGGGGCATATGCTCGGTTTTTTGAGCAGCGCGCGCTGTAATTTCAGTAACGCCAACTCACCAGTTAGTTTTGAAATGTGTTCTCAGTTTGCTGCATAGTTGGCCAACTCATCAGTTTTGTTGGTCAGTCAGCTGTTTTGTCTTTTTCGCGCGCGGTGTGATTTTTGAATTTTTATTGTGTGTAGTTTGTTGCATAAGTGGCCAACTCATCAGTCAGTTATTTTTCCATCATACCTTTATAGTTTCTCCTTTTTCCCTCTCACTGGTCATTCATTCATCCCGGCCATGACCTCATTGCTTATGTGCGTGTGTGTATGTATTTTTTTTTCTTGGGTGCATCGATTTTTCTCGTTAGGTTTCCCATTTTTTCTTATCATAAGAATAACAAGCATGGTCATATCTTGTTTTAAATGGCACCATTTAACATGTTATTCACGTGTTATCGTACCATTTTAGAAAATGGTTCACGTGTTGAGAGGAATTGCTGACACTTCTTTTTTGTACGCCCACCCCAAACCCTATTTTGAACGCGTAGGTTCAGTAAGAATGCGAAATCAAATAAAGAAAGCTTTGAAGTCAGCAGTTTTTTCTTCTTTTTCGGGAGGAATATTCAATTGCTGACTCTTCTTTTTTCCGCTTTTCTCCCCTTATTCTTTCTATTCAACCAGCCCACGTTTTTTGTCTTCTTCCTCCAGTTTTCTCACTTCTCAAACGTCTCCTATTTCATTTTTTAAGAAAAAAAGGGTGCCCTTTGAATTGACTGATATTATATGATTCAAATAAGAGCGCCAAAACTTTTTTTGTTGTCGGCTGTCTGGTGAGAGAAAAAAAGAGTGTATAAATGTTCGCAAAGTTGTTTACATTTTCCATATCCTCGCTGTCTCTGAGTGTTCCGTTTTTTTTCTTTTTCTTTTTTTCCTCCTCATCTTTATCGCTTTTTAAATTTTCATTTTTTTGCAGGTAAATAATGTCAGCAAAAGCAGTTAGCGAATTGTCCGGAAAGGAAATCTTGTACAAATACTTTGAGGGAACCGGACTCGTCAATTCGCCCTTCGCTTTTCATGTCAAAACTGGTGATGACTTCAATCAAATTGCTGGAAGTTATGAATGGTTGACCAAGGCAGGAGTGAGTTTTTGCAGCTGGTTTCTATAGACCTAATAATATAACAATTTTTCCAGAAAGGAGTCATCAAGCCAGATCAATTGATCAAACGCCGTGGAAAGATGGGTTTGGTCAAGATTGGTTCACCGGAAGAATTGAGCGATTGGTTCAAAAAACGTGCCAACAGCCATGTTCAAGTCGGAAAATCACTCGGACGCCTTCACACATTCATCGTCGAACCTTTCTGTGCTCACCAGGAATTCGATGAGATGTATATTGCGATCTTCAGCACCAGAGAAGAGGACACAATCATGTTCTACGAGCATGGTGGAGTTGATATCGGAGATGTTGAGAGCAAAGCCAGATTCCTCAAAGTCCCGGTTCAAGTTGACAACAATTTGATGTCTCCAACTCAGGAACAATTGGACACACTTGTTGGAGTTGAGCTCCCAAATTTTGAAGTTGTCAAGAAGTTTGTCGATCTATTGTACAAAGCATATAAGGAACTTCACTTCACATATTTGGAAATCAATCCATTTGGTAAGAATTTCTGGTTCAAATCTTCACAGCTTTGTTGATCAATAATCAATATTTCAGTGTTCGTCGACAATCAAATCCACATCCTCGATCTCGCTGCAAAATTGGATGAGACAGCCAACTTCATCTGCTCGGATAAATGGAGAAGTCGTCACACTCCAATGTCTGCACCAATGCCAGTCGATTTCCCAGCTCCATTTGGTCGTGATTTGACTGAAGAAGAGCAATTTATTGCCAATATGGATGCCAAAACTGGAGCCTCGTTGAAGTTGACGATTCTCAACCGAAAAGGACGTGTTTGGACAATGGTGGCTGGTGGCGGTGCATCGGTTGTCTTCACGTAAGGAATTTGAAACATATTTATTCGCATTCCCTACCCGAATCGTTATGTTTTCAGAGACACTGTTTGCGATCTTGGTGGTGCAAGTGAGTTGGCCAACTATGGAGAGTATTCCGGCGATCCGTCGGAATCTCAAACCTTCGAGTATGCCAAGACGATTCTTTCCATTATGACTGAAGGAGAACCCCGAAGCGATGGAAAAGTATTGATCATCGGTGGATCTATCGCCAATTTCACCAATGTTGCAAAAACTTTTGGAGTAAGTTTCATCTGAAAGTATCAATTATCATTTCAATAATTATAATTTTTCAGGGAATCGTCAAGGCTTTCGAAACCTACATCACCAAACTCAAGGAGCACAAGGTCACAGTTTATGTTCGACGTGGTGGTCCGAATTATCAAGAAGGATTGCGATGCCTCAAAGATGCTGCCGCCAAGCTCGAACTTCCAGTCCATGTTTTCGGCCCAGAAACGCATATGACTGCCATTGTCGGAGCCGCTCTTGGAACTCATGCTCTTCCATCAGTGCCCATCGAGCCAAAAACCACTGGACAATTCTTGTTGAGCCCGGAAAGAAACACTGCTGGAACTGAACGTCAACCAGCTTCACCGGCACCAACATCGACTGATGCGAAACCTTTGGATCAATCTACTTTCCGTGGATTGTTTGAAAACGATACAAAAGCTATTATCTGGGGACAACAAGCTAAGGCTATCCAGGTATGAAATTTCAGCAAGATTTATGTATCAGAGTTGAATGAAAAATGTTTTCAGGGTATGCTTGATTTCGATTATGTTTGCCGAAGAGATACACCATCAGTTGTTGCCTCAACATATCCATTCACTGGAGACAACAAGCAGAAATACTACTTCGGACAGAAAGAAGTTCTCATCCCTGCATACAAATCAATGGCCAAAGCATTCGCTACTCATCCAGAAGCTTCTGTAATGGTCACATTTGCATCAATGAGATCGGTGTATGAAACTGTGTTGGAAGCTTTGGAGTTCCCTCAACTCAAAGTTATCGCCATAATTGCTGAAGGTGTTCCAGAAAATCAGACAAGAAAGTTGTTGAAAGTTGCCGCTGAACGTGGTGTCACATTGATTGGTCCAGCAACAGTCGGAGGAATCAAGCCAGGCTGCTTCAAGATTGGAAACACTGGAGGAATGATGGATAATATTCTCTCATCAAAACTCTACCGTCCAGGAAGTGTTGCCTACGTCTCAAGATCAGGTGGAATGTCAAACGAATTGAACAATATTATCTCGCAAAACACCAACGGTGTTTATGAGGGAATTGCGATTGGCGGTGACAGATATCCAGGAAGCACTTATGTTGAGCATATTGCAAGATATCAAGCTGATGATCGTGTCAAAATGATTGTATTGCTCGGTGAAGTTGGTGGAACCGAAGAATATAAGATTGTCGATATGCTCAACAGAGGAGAGATCACCAAACCGTTGGTCGCTTGGTGCATCGGAACTTGTGCAGATCATATCACTTCTGATGTTCAATTTGGACACGCTGGCGCATCAGCAAACTCAAATGGTGAAACTGCAGCTTGCAAAAACGCTGCTCTTCGCAGTGTCGGAGCTATCGTTCCTTCATCATTTGATGAACTCGGCAACAAGATTCGCGACACATATGACATCTTGGTCGCATATGGAGCAATTGTGCCACAACCCGAAGTTCCACCACCTCCAGTTCCAATGGATTATGCGTGGGCAAGAGAGTTGGGGTTGATTCGGAAACCAGCATCATTCATGACTTCGATTTGTGATGAACGAGGAGAGGAATTGATTTATGGCGGAGTTCCAATCACCAAGGTTTTGGAAAGCGAACTTGGAATTGGTGGTGTTCTTGGACTTCTCTGGTTCCAGGTAATTATTGAGAAATGGTGATAAAATGAGTTATGTTTTTTTTCAGAAAAGTCTGCCAGCATATGCCAACAAGTTCATCGAGATTTGCCTTATGCTCACTGCCGATCATGGTCCAGCAGTCTCCGGTGCTCACAATACAATTGTTTGTGCTCGTGCTGGTAAAGATTTGATCTCCTCACTCACATCTGGATTGCTCACCATTGTAAGTTGAAGAACAAGAGAGATGAGGTCCCCACGAGGATCCACACTTATGGTCTTGAAGTTACGGACCTGCGACCTACCCCAGCCTATTCTATAATTTCACTTCTCAACCTTATTATTTTCAGGGTGATCGTTTTGGTGGAGCTCTCGATGGAGCTGCTCGACAATTCTCCAATGCTATGGACAATGGCTGGTCTCCAATGCAGTTTGTAAACGAGATGGGAATCCAAAAGAAGCATATCATGGGAATCGGACATCGCGTCAAGAGTGTGAGTTTGCCTAGAATCAAAAATTCCTTGAACTCAATGAATATTTGTTTTCAGATCAACAACCCTGACAAGCGAGTCGAAATTCTCAAGAGATTTGCCATGGATAAATCGGAATTCACCCAAGAAACTCCACTTCTCGAATTTGCACTGGAAGTCGAAAAAATCACCACCGCCAAAAAGCCAAATCTCATTCTCAATGTTGATGGTGCAATTGGCGTCATTTTTGTCGACATTCTTCGCCAAAGCAAATTGTTCACACCAGCCGAAGCCCAAGAAACAATTGATATTGGCACTTTGAATGGTCTCTTTGTTCTTGGTCGAAGCATTGGTTTCATTGGACATTATTTGGATCAATCTCGCTTGAAACAAGGTCTTTATCGTCATCCATGGGACGATATTTCATACATCATGCCAGAAAGAAACTCTTAATTCTTTTTTCTTGTATTATATTGCACCCCCTCATCATTTTAACATTCCACACTTAATTCTTTATTTATTCTTTCCTAGCCCTAATTTTAGTTTTGAAATTATATTGCATATTGTACAGCTTTATTTATTGGAATGTTGAATAAAGTAGATTTAAAATAGCTAATGTGAAAAAGGGATTGATGTTTTTGAAATATATTTTGTATTACACCAACACACTTTGAAGTCAACTGCGCGAATGGTTTTTCTCTGACTTCAAATGGACCCTCTTGAAGATCACTCTGTTTTCAGTTTTCTATAAAATTGAAAATAATACGGTAGAACAATTAAAGAAATGTATAGATTTATCATTAAATTGCTTTTCTTTGTTTAAATATGAAAAAAATGACTAGGGGCTGTTAGCCCCCAGGCGTAACAGTCTTCTTATTTATTTCAGTTCCGTTTTTTCTGTGATTATTTTCAATTTTTTGTGAAAAACAAATTCATGAAAAATTTCGAGACATAACCGTCTCCAAACAGAAATTTCGGTTTGGAGACATGACTTTTTCTCAATAATTTCATTTCTGGATGAAATTATGAATTTTCTTTTTTTTTAACATTGTTAAAAATTTTTTTAGCTTCAAAGTTGCTTCTGGTGGCTAACGAAGCCTAAGCCTGAGAGGAAGTGTCATTTAGGTCCCAACTCATCGACTTCATTTTTAAATTTTTGGATTATTCCAAATCTGTTACTTTTTTTTGTGGACTGTATACACGAAAATCAAAATTTCAATTTAAAAAAAACTCGGGCCGATTTTTTTTTGAAAAAACTCGAGCTGATTTTAAAAACTCGGGCCGATTTTTTTTTGAAAAAAAACTTAGTAAGCCACCCAGAACCAACTTTTAGCCTTAGACTTACAATTTGTTAGGTAAGTTTTCCTTTTTAACACTGTTAAAAAACAAGAATTTGTGTTGTTGGATGACGTCATCCCGCCTGATTGAAAATTTCGATTTGAGCGGGTAGCTGACAAAAATACCCGCCTGTTGGGTTTTTTTATTGGATGAAAAAGTTTTTTCAAAAAAAAATCGGCCCGCGTTTTGTTCAAAAAAATCGGCCCGAGTTTTTTCAAAAAAAAATCGGCCCGAGTTTTTTCAAAAAAAAATCGGCCCGAGTTTTTTCAAAAAGTTTTTTCAAAAAAAAAATCAGCCCGAGTTTTTTCAAAAAAAAAAAATCGACCCGAGTTTTTTCAAAAAGTTTTATCAAAAAAAAATCGGCCCGAGTTTTTTCAAAAAGTTTTTTCAAAAAAAAATCAGCCCGAGTTTTTTCAAAAAAAAAAATCGGCCCGGGTTTTTTCAAAAAGTTTTTTCAAAAAAAAATCGGCCCGAGTTTTTTTCAAAAAAAATCGGCCCGAGTTTTTTTTAAAAAGTTTTTTTTATCAAAAAAATGACTCGTGACAAAATCAGGAAGGCTTCCTAATTTTGCCATGGATGAAGTCAACGATCAATTTTTCAAAAAAAAAACTTATTCAATATTTTTTTTGTTTTAATAAACTCGTAAGATGTTAAGAAAAAGAATAACAATCAAATTCATGAAAAATTTCAAGTTTTTTTTATCAAAAAATGACTCGTGGCAAAATCAGGAAGGCTTCCTAATTTTGCCATGGAAAATCTTTTTTCTGTATTCAATGTATATTCGATAGGGGTTTTTTTTTTGTTTCTGACAATGAATTTTTTCTGAAAAAAGGTAGATTATTTTTCTCATGTCAAAATTTTTCATCGAGCATTTCCAAGCAAATTTATGGTCATTGGAATAATCCAAAAATTTAAAAATGAAGTCGATGAGTTGTGACCTGTTTCCCTTTTTAACACTGTTAAAAAACAAGAATTTGTGTTGTTGGATGACGTCATCCCGCCCGATTGAAAATTTTGATTTGAGCGGGTAGCTGACAAAAATACCCGCCTGTTGGGTTTTTTTTTGTTGGATGAAAAAAAATCGGCCCGAGTTTTTTCAAAAAAAAAAATCGGCCCTAGTTTTTTTTTGTTGGATGAAAAAAAAATCGGCCCGAGTTCTCACTAAAATTATTTTGTTTCTGACAATGAATTTTTCCTGAAAAAAAGGTAGATTATTTTTCTCACGTCAAAATTCTTCTTTGAGTATTTATTTGCAAAATGATGGTCATTTCTTGTGTCAGAAATGGTCAAGTGGTTAGATCACGTGTTTTTTTCAGAAGCTCCAGGATCGAATCTTTTTGGATGCTCGCTAAGATATGATTTTCGAAAAAAATCCGCAAATGTCCAAAATTTAGACATCCAAAAATTAAGAACAGGGGGGACCCCATTGAAAAATTCTGATTCCATCGAGACACCACTCAATCGGGATTTTATTAAAGCAAATTGATGGGGGCTAATAGCTGTGACCCTCTTGAAGATCACTCTGTATTCAGTTTTCTATAAAAATTGAAAATAATACGGTAGAACAATTAAAGAAATGTATAGATTTATCATTAAATTGCTTTTCTTTGTTTAAATATGAAAAAAAATGAAATGATTCATCTTACATTGGATTTCAGGTTGTAGACAAGATATACGACTTCTTTGCTTCACTGTCAAATAAATTACCTGGTGTAAAATTGGAAACGAATCCTAATTTTACATTTTCACATTGGATGAGGTCATAAACCAATTTTTCAAAAAAAAAAACAATTTAAAAATCTCATATTTTTGTTTTAATTATATTCGAACTATGTTAATTACAAATTATATATAATCAATTTGATTAGGAGCTTCACTCCTAGTTGTCCGTGTTTCCCAAGTTGAAAATGTTGTTTTTAAATTATTACAAATTCCCGTTTATCTTGGTAAAACAGCAAACACGCTCTAACGCACACACTTTGGTTCGCTCGCCCACGAAAAGAAAAAAATAGTGAGTGGGGAACACTCGTTTGGCATTCGTTTATTTTGTTGTTTCTCTACTAGTTGGTGTGTCTTATTTTTAGTTTTTGACCAGCGCGCGTGCGGGATATTTTTTTGAACTTTATGTTAGTTGGTTCACAGGACGCCAAGTCAGTTGTTGTGTTGAGTCAGTCAGTTATTTTTTTTTCATGCCTTCGCGTCTTTTCCTTTTTTCGGTGATATACATGTGCAGTTTTTCGAGCAGCGATAATTTTTGAATTTTCAACTTTGTTGCGTAGGTGACTTTTTGTAGCCACCTTTATTGGTTGTTTTCCCTCTGCTGTCACGGAGTGTTCCGGTTCTTTCTTTTTTATCTTTATCGTTTTTTTTTCAAATTTAAAAAAATGTTTTATTGCAGGTAAATAATGTCAGCAAAAGCAGTCAGCGAATTGTCCGGCAAGCAAATTTTGTACAAATACTTTGAGGGAACCGGACTCGTCAACTCGCCCTTCGCTTTTCATGTCAAAACTGGTGATGACTTCAATCAAGTTGCTGGAAGTTATGAATGGTTAACCAAGGCAGGAGTGAGTTTTGGCAGCTGGCCTCTATAGACTTTATCGCCTAATGATATCTTTATGTATTTTCAGAAAGGAGTCATCAAGCCAGATCAATTGATCAAACGCCGTGGAAAGATGGGTTTGGTCGAATTTGGATCACCGAAAGAATTGCGCAATTGGTTCAATGATGTTGCCTTCCGCCATTTTCAAGTCGCAAATTCACTCGGCCGTCTAGACACATTCATCGTCGAACCATTCTGTGCTCACCAAGAAATTGATGAGATGTACATTGCAATCTACAGCAACAGAAAAGAGGATACAATTATGTTCTACGAGCATGGCGGTGTTGATAAAACCAGATTTCTCAAAATCCCGGTTCAAGTTGACGATAATGCGATGTCTCCAACTGATGAACAATTGGACACACTTATTGGAGTCGGTCTTCCAAATTTCAAAGTTGTCAAGAAGTTTGTGGATCTATTGTACAAAGCTTATAAAGAACTTCATTTTACATATTTGGAAATCAATCCATTTGGTAAGAATTTTTGGTTGGAATTTTCATAGCAATCAATAACCAAATAAAAAATGACTTACAGTGTTCGTCAACAATCAAATACAAATTCTTGGTCTTGATGGAAAAGTAGATAAATCTGCTTATTATATCTGCTCGGATAAATGGAGAAGTCGCCCCACTCCAATGTCCGCACCAATGCCAGTCGATTTCCCAGCTCCATTTGGTCGTGATTTAACTAGAGAAGAGCACTTTATTGCTAATTTGGATGCCGAAACTGGAGCCTCGTTGAAGCTGACGATTTTCAACCCAAATAGTCGTGTTTGGACGATTATTCCAAATGAGGATATTAATCTAACCTTCCGGTAAGGAGATTTCAGAACCTAGACCTATAGCTTCCAATTGCCTGCCACCCGCGATGCTCATCTTTCCACTTAAATTGCTATTGTTTTCAGAGACACTGTTTGCGATCTTGGTGGTGCGAGTGAATTGGCCAACTATGGAGAATATTACGGCGATCTGTCGGAATCTCAAACCTTCGAGTATGCCAAGACGATTCTTTCCATTATGACTGAAGAAGAGCCCAGAAGCGATGGAAAAGTTTTGATCATCGGTATATCTATCGCCAACTTCACCAATGTCGCAAAAACTTTTGGAGTGAGTTTCATCAGAAAGCCTCAATTAGTTAGCATCCTAATTACTATAATTTTTCAGGGAATCGTCAAGGCTTTTGAAACATACATCACCAAACTCAAGGAACAAAAGGTCACCGTCTATGTTCGACGTGGTGGTCCGAATTATCAAGAAGGGTTGCGATGCCTGAGAGATATTGCTGCCGCAGTCGAACTTCCAGTCCATGTTTTTGGACCAGAAACGCATATGACTGCAATTGTCGGAGCCGCTCTCGGAATTCATGCTCTTCCATCAATGCCTATTGAGCCAAATACCACTGGACAATTCTTGTTGAGCCCGGAAAGAAACACTGCTGGAACTGAACGTCAACCAGCTTCACCGGCACCAACATCGACTGGTGCAAATCCTTGGGATTTTACTCCTCGCGGATTGTTCCAAAAAGACACAAAAACAATCTTCTGGGGTCAGGAAGATGATGCTCTTTTGGTAATAATAGCTTTATCGCATAATAAACAAATTAAATAATATTTTCAGACAATTTTGGAATTCGATATTGCATGCGGTAACAAAACACCGTCAGTGGTCGCGAGGTCAGCTTCAGGGACAAAAGACAGAAAGTTTTACGAATTTGCTGAGATGGCCGTTTACATCCCCGCATACAAATCAATGGCCGAAGCGTGTGCCACTCATCCAGAAGCTTCTGTGATGGTCACATTTGAATCAATGAGATCGGTTTATGAAACTGTGTTGGAAGCTCTGGAATTCCCTCAACTCAAAGTTATCGCCATTATTGCTGAAGGTGTTCCAGAGAATCAGACAAGAAAGTTGTTGAAAGTTGCCGCTGAACGTGGTGTTACTTTAATTGGTCCAGCGACCATTGGAGGAATCAAACCAGGCTGCTTTACGATTGGATACGCTGGAGGAGAAGATGAGCGTGATTTTATTAACTCGAAACTCTACCGTCCTGGAAGTGTTGCGTATGTTTCGAAATCAGGTGGAATGTCCAACGAACTGAACAACATTATCTCACAAAACTCCGATGGTGTTTATGAGGGAATTGTAATTGGTGCTGATAGATATTCAGGAAGCAGCTATGTTGAACATATTGCAAGATATCAAGCTGATGATCGTGTAAAAATGATCGTTTTGCTTTGTAAAGTTGGTGGCACCGAAGAATATAAGATTGCCGAAATGCTCAACAGAGGAGAGATCACCAAACCATTAGTTGCTTGGTGCATCGGAACTTCTGCAGATCATATCACTCATGATGTTCAATTTTTCGAAACAGCATCTTGCAAAAACGATGTTCTTCGTAGTGCTGGAGCAATCGTTCCCAAATCATTTGGCGAACTTGGAAACACGATCCGCGACACTTATGACAATTTTGGAACAATTGTGCCACAACCCGAAGTTCCAACACCACTAGTTCCAATGGATTTTGCGTTGGCAAGAGAATTGGGGCTGATTCGGAAACCAGAATCATTCGAGGAATTGATTAATGGTGGATTTCCAATCTCCAAAGTTTTGAAGAGCGAACTAGGAATCGGCAGTGTTCTTGGACTTCTCTGGTTCCAGGTAATTGAATGCTCATGTGAAATGTTCATAAAATGGGTTATGTTTTTTCAGAAAAATCTACCAGCATATGCCAACAAATTCATCGAGATTTGCCTTAAGCTCACCGCCGATCATGGTCCAGCTGTCTCAGGTGCTCACAATACAATTGTTTCTGCTCGTGCTGGAAACGATTTGATCTCCTTGCTCACATCTGGATTGCTCACCATTGTATGTTGAAGAATTGAAGAACAAGAGAGTTTAGACAGACTCTAGCCTGTTCTATAATTCCATTACTCAACTCTCTTATTTTCAGGGTGATCGTTTTGGTGGAACTCTCGATGGAGCTGCTCGCCAATTCTCCAACGCTATGGACAATGGCTTGTCTCCAAGGCGGTTTGTAAACAAGATGATAATCCAAAAGAAGCATATCATGGGAATTGGTCATCGCGTCAAGAGTGTGAGTTTGTCTAGATCCTGCTAATTATTTGAAAATTCCTCGAACTCAATGAATATTTGATTTCAGATCAACAACCCTGACGAACGAGTCAAAATTCTCAAGAGATTTGTCATGGATAAATCACAATTCACACAAGGAACTCCACTTCTTGAATTTGCACTGGAAGTCGAAAAAATCACAACTACCAAGCACCCAAATCTCATCCTTAATGTTGATGGTGCAATTGGTGTCATTTTCGTCGACATTCTTCGCCATAGCAAAGTGTTCACACCAGCCGAAGCTCAACAAATCATTGATAGCGGAACATTGAATGGTCTCTTGATTTTTGGTCGAAGCAAATTGGAAAGAAACTCCTAATTCTTTTTTCTTGTATTATATTGCACCCCCTCATCATTTTAATATTCCACAATTGTCTTAATTTTTTTATTTATTCTTTCCTAGCCCTAATTTTAGTTTTGAAATTTCATTATATATTGTACAGCTTTATTTATTGGAATGTTTAATAAAGTAGATTTAAAATAAAAAATAAAAAGAGATTGATGTTTTTGAAAAGTTGAATATATTTTGTGTCACAGCAACACACTTACTGCGGGAATAATTTTTTTTTAAATTGCGACTTTCGGCTCTATTTTCGGCTCTTCGAAGAGGTGCTCAGCAAAAACTGAGAACAGGACCTTTCTCGGCGTTAAAAACTGTACAGAACCATATATGTCTCACTGGTCACACACTTTTCTTGTCAGTCGATTGTTTTTTCTTCTTGCCCTCATAGTGTTCTCTTTTCCGGGTGACATGCATCTTTTTCGCGCGCCCGCCAATTTTTGAATTTAGTGTGTTGCATAGCTGGCCAACTCTGTGTTGGTCAGTCAGTTATTTTTTCTTCCTCCCTTCGCTTTTTTTCCTTTTCATGATGACACACATGTTCAGTTTTCTGAGTAGCGATAATTTTTGAATTATTAACTTTGTCGCATAGGTTATTTGTAATCACTTTTATTCGTTGTTTCCTTCTGCTGTCACGGGCATGAGTGTTCCGTTTTTTTCTTTTTTATCTTTATCGTTTTTTTTCCAATTTAAAATATGTTTCATTGCAGGTAAATAATGTCAGCAAGAGCAGTCAGCGAATTTTCCGGCAAGGAAATTTTGTACAAATACTTTGAAGGAACCGGACTCGTCAACTCGCCGTATTCTTCTCGTGTAAAAATTGATAACAATTTCAATAAAATCGGTATAAACGATGAATGGTTAACCAATGGAGTGAGTTGTCCCACAAAAATCTTTGGTTAAACCCCTAATTTTTTTCAGAAAGGAGTCATCAAGCCAGATCAATTGATCAAAGGCCGTGGAAAGATGGATTTGGTCAAAATTGGTTCGCCGGAAGAATTGAACGATTGGCTCAACAGTAATGCCAACAGACGTGTTAAAATCGGTAGCTCAACTGGAACTCTCCAGACATTTATTGTTGAACCATTCTGTGATCACCAAGAAATCGATAAAATGTATATTGCGATTACCAGCAACAAAGAAAAGGATACACTTATGTTCCTTAAGCATGGTGGTGGTAATATCGGAAATGTTGAGAGCAAAGCCAGATTCCTCAAAATCCCGGTTCAAGTTGACGATAATGCGATGTCTCCAACTGATGAACAATTGGACACACTTATTGGAGTCGATCTTCCGAATTTCGAAGTTGTCAAGAAGTTTGTCGATCTATTGTACAAAGGTTATAAAGAACTTCACTTTACATATTTGGAAATCAATTCCTTTGGTAAGAATTTTAGGTTGGAATTTTCAGAGTTTCCCTAATCAATAATCAAAAATAAATAAATTACAGTGTTTGTCAACAATCAAATTCATATTATTGATCTTGCTGCAAAGTTAGATAAATCTGCTTTCTATACCTGTCGTGATAAATGGAGAAGTCGCCAAACTCCAATGTCTGCACCAATGCCAGTCGATTTCCCAGCTCCATTTGGTCGTGATTTGACTGAAGAAGAGCAATTTATTGCTAAATTGGATGCCGAAACTGGAGCTTCATTAAAGCTGACGACTTTCAACAGAAACGACCGTGTTTCGACAATTTTTTCCAATGAGGATCTTAGTCTAGCCTTCCGGTAAGGAGTTTTCAGAACCTAGACCCATAGCTTCCAATCGCCTGCCGCCTGCGATGCTCATCTTTCCACTTAAATTGTTATTGTTTTCAGAGACTTCTTGGGAAAACAAAATGTGTTGGCGAACATGGGTGAATATTCCGATGATTCGTCGGTGTTCCAAGTCTTCACTCTTACCGATACAATTCTATCTATTATGATTGAAGGAGAGCCCCGAAGCGATGGAAAAATATTGATCATCTGTGGATCTATCACCAATTTCATGAACGATGGAAAAAATTTTGAAGTGAGTTTTATCAGAAAATATCAATTAAATCTTGATAATGATAATTTTGCAGGGAATTGTCAAGGCTATTGAAATCTCCATCACCAAACTCAAGGAGCACGAAGTCACCGTTTATGTTCGATGTGATGGTCCGAATTATCAAGAAGGATTGCGTTGTCTCAAAGATGCTGCCGCCGAAGTCGAACTTCCAGTCCATGTTTTTGGACCAGAAACGAATATGGCTGCAATTGTCGGAGCCGCTCTCGGAACTAATCCTCTTCCATCAATCCCCATCGAGCCAATGCCCATCGATGCCCATCGAGCCACTGGACAATTCTTGTTGAGTCCTGAAAGAAACACGGCTACTACTGAACGTCAACCAGCTTCACCGGAATCAACATCGACTGAAGCCAAACCTTCGAATCAAACTACTTTCCGTGGATTGTTTGAAAATGATACCAAAGCAATCATCTGGGGAGAACAAACTGATGCTATCCAGGTATGAATTTTCAGCAAGATGTATGTATCAGAACCGAAAAAATAATTATTTCAGGGTATGCTTGATTTCGATCATGTCTGCCTAAGACATACACCATCGGTTGTTGCATCAATATATCCATCCACTGAAGACAACACGCAGAAATACAACTTTGGACTGAAGGAAGTTCTCATCCCTGCATACAAATCAATGGCCAAAGCATTTTCTACTCATCCAGAAGCTTCTGTGATGGTCACATTTGCACCAACGAGCATGGTTTATGGAACTGTATTGAAAGCATTGGAATTCCCTCAACTCAAAGTCATTGCCATTATTGCTGAAGGTGTCCCAGAGAACCGAACCAGGAAATTGTTAAAAGTTGCCGCTGAACGCGGTGTCACATTGATCGGTCCAGCAACAGTCGGAGGAATCAAACCAGGTTGCTTCAAGATTGGATACACTGGAGGAATGATGGACAATATTCTCTCATCAAAACTCTACCGTCCAGGAAGTGTTGCCTACGTCTCGAGATCAGGTGGAATGTCCAACGAATTGAACAACATTATCTCACAAAACTCCAATGGTGTTTATGAGGGAATTGCGATTGGCGGCGATAGATATACAGGAAGCAGCTATGTTGAACACATTGCAAGATATCAAGCTGATGATCGTGTCAAAATGATTGTTTTGCTTGGTAAAGTTGGTGGCACTGAAGAATATAAAATTGTAGAAATGCTCAACAGAGGAGAAATCACGAAACCCTTGGTTGCTTGGTGCATCGGAACTTCTGCAGATCATATCACTAATGATTTTAAACTTGCCGAAACTGCAGATTGCAAAAACGCTGTTCTTCGTGGTGTTGGAGCAATCGTTCCCATATCATTTGGCGAACTTGGAAACAAAATCCGCGACACTTATGAAAAAATATTTGTGCCACAACCCGAAGTTCCACCATCACCAGTTCTAATGGATTATGCGTTGGCAAGAGATTTGGGACTGATTCTTAAACCAGCATCATTCATGACTTCGGTTTGTGATGAACGTAGGGAGGAATTGTTTTATGGTGGAGTTTCATACACCAAAATTTCGGAGAGTGGACTAGGAATCGGCACTAATCTTGGACTTTTCTGGTTTGAGGTAAATCAATACTTGTGGTGGAAACTTATAAATGATTTGTACATTTCAGAAAAATCTCCCATTGTATGTAATAACGTTCATTGAAATGGCCATAATTATCACATCGAATTCACATTCTCGTAATGATTTCTTTTCGGGCCGTACCACTCAAAACCGATATGGTGGAGCTCTCGATGATGCTGTTGAACAGTTCACCAACGCTGTGGACAATGGCTGGTCTCCAATGCAGTTTGTCAATCATATGGCTGACGAAAAAAAACGCATTGCGGGAATCGGTCACAGTGTCTATAATGTACGTTTTTTCTCCAAAATCTTCATCTGCATTATGGGAAAAACGTTGTTTTTTTCTCGTATTGTTCCACTATTAAGAACTCATTACATTCAAAATATACTCTATAAATCTTTTTTTTTCAGAAGAATAAACGCTATTTGCGTGTTGAGAGCATTAAAAGTTATGCAATGAATCGATCGGAATTCACCCAAGAAACTCCACTTCTCGAATTCGCATTGGAAGTTGAGAAAATTATGACTGCTAAGAAGCCAAATCTCATCCTTAATGTTGATGGTTTAATTGGTGTCGTTTTTGTCGACATTCTTCGCCATAGCAAATGTTTCACACCAGCCGAAGCTCAAGAAATCATCGATAGCCGAACATTGAATGCACTCTTGATTTTTGGTCGAAGACTTTGTGACATCGGATTTTTTTTGAGAGAATCTCGTTTGTTCCAAGGTCATCATTGATATTTCATAGCCAGAAAGAAACTCTTTATTAATTTTTCTTGTATTATATTGCACCCCCTCATAATTTTAATATTCCACAATTGTCTTAATTCTTTATTTATTCTCTCCTAGCCTTAATTTTAGTTTTCAAATTATATTGCATATTGTACAGCTTTATTTATTGGAATGTTGAATAAAATAGACTGAAAATTGATATTGCAAAGAAAATTGTCGAAGTTGTTGAAGAATTGCATTTTTATTTTTTTTTACAAATTCTCGTTTGGTAAAACAGCAAACACGCTCTAACGCACACACTTTGGTTCGCTCGGCCACCACAAAAAAAAAGGGAACAAGTCAAAGGGAACACTCGTTTGGTCAGTCAGTTATTTTTTTTTTCATGCGTTCGCGTCGTTTCTTTTTCGGGGTGATCACATGTTTAGTTTTTCGAACAGCGATAATTTTTGAATTATTAACTTTGTTGCATAGGTGGCTTTTTGTAATCACCTTTATTCGTTGTTTTCCCTCTGCTGTCACGGCGTGTTCCGTGTTCTTTCTTTTTATCTTTATCGTTTTTCAGAATTTAAAATGAGAGTTGACAAAAGTCGAGCGACACAATTTTAAATCTAAAAATACATTGAGATTTTCAAACTTTTCACTCTCCGCGCACCCACTGACATTTTGAGAAAAAATGGATAAGATGCGCACCGAGCTGCCAACATTTAAAAACGTTTTGCTTTTTCGATCATCAGTTTTTTGCGCACAGTTTTGAGAAAAAACTGGATCTTTCTCAGCGTTAAACATGAAAATTGGGTGAAAAACTGATGAAAACCTAAAAATCTACTTACTCACTCGCATTTTCACTCAATTTTTAACAAAATGTCGATTTCTGCTTCATCCAAGTGTTTCTGTGATTAAATATTGTTGTTTGATGCATCTTGTCCATTTAAAACCGTAAAAAACATATGATTTATGGTTTTTTTTCAAAATAGAAACAAACAAAAAAAAATACAAATAGCAAAAACACGCATGTTCTCTCCATTGACAAACTTTTTTTCTCTAACCGCCTCTCTAATATTTCGTCGTTGTCTTTGCGGTAGGGTGTGCGCAACTCGCTTTTTTTTTGTTGGTCAGCGAGTCAGTTGTTTTTTTTTCTCCCCGGGTTTGTGTTTTTTCTTTTTCTGGGGACGCGAATTTTTGAATTCAGTTTTTGCATAAGTTTGTAATCACCTTTATTCGTTGTTTCTTTCTGCTGTCACTGACATGAGTGTTCTTTCTTCATATCTTTATCGTTTTTTCCCAATTCAAAATATGTTTCATTGCAGGTAAATAATGTCAGCAAAAGCAGTCAGCGAAATGTGCGGCAAGGAAAGGTTGTACGATTTCTTTAAAGAAACCGGACTCGTCAACGCGCAGTTTCATGTCAACGCTGGTGATGACTTCAATCAAGTTGCTAAGTGTTATGAGTGGTTTACCAAACAAGGAAGGGAAGGGGTGAGTTTTGGCAGCTGGCTTCTATAGACTTTATCGCCTAATGATATCTTTATGTATTTTCAGAGAAAATTCATTAAACCAATTCAATTGAACAAACGCCGTGGAAAAATGAGTTTGATCGAAATTGGTTCACCGAAAGAATTGAGTGATTGGTTCAAAAAACGTGCCAACAGCCATGTTCAAGTCGGAAAATCACTCGGACGCCTTCACACATTCATTGTCGAACCATTCTGTGCTCGCCAAGAACTTGATGAGATGTATATTGCGATTACAAGAAACAAAGAAGAGGATACACTTATGTTCTACGAGCATGGTGGAGGTGATATCGGAGATGTCGAGAGCAAAGTCAGATTCCTCAAAATCCCGATTCGATTTGACGTTTATGAGATGCGGCCAACTGATGAACAATTGGACACACTTATTGGAGTCGGTCTCCCAAATTTTGAAGTTGTCAAGACATTTGTCGATGAATTGTACAGAGGATATAAAACACTCCATCTCACATATTTGGAAATCAATCCATTTGGTAAGAATTTTTGGTTGGAATTTTCATAGCTTTCCTAATAAATAATCAAAAAATGAAATTTCAGTGTTCGTCAACAATCAAATCCACATTTTTAATCTCGATGTGAAAGTAAATAAATCCGCATTTTTTATCTGCGATGATGATTTGGGATTCGGCCAAACGCCACGTGTTTACACTGGAGGAGATGGTAGTGTTGCCTATCTAACACGATCTGTTGGAATGGTCAACGAGTTAAACAATATCATCTCACAAAACTCCGATGGTGTTTATGAGGGAATTGTGATTGGCGGAAATAGATATACAGGAAGCACCTTAGTTGAACAGATTGCAAGATATCAAGCTGATGATCGTGTCAAAATGATCGTTTTGCTTGGTAAAGTTGGTGGCACCGAAGAATATAAGATTGTCGATATGCTCAACAGAGGAGTGATCACCAAACCATTAGTTGCTTGGTGCATTGAAACTTGTGCAGGTTGTATCACTAATAATGTTAGAGATTATGAAACTGCAGCTTGCAAAAACTTTGTTCTTCGCGGTGTTGGATCAATTGTTCCCATATCATTTGGCGAACTTGGAAACAAGATTCGTGACACTTATGACAATCTTGGAACAATTGTGCCACAACCCGAAGTTCCACCATCAGTTCTAATGGATTATGCGTGGGCAAGAGAATTGGGGCTGATTCGTAAACCAGCATCTTTCAATACTTCGATTTTTGATGAACGCGGAGAGGGATTGATTGATGGTGGAGTTTCATACGCCGAAGTTACGGAGAGCGAACTAGGAATCAGCAGTAATCTTGGACGTTTCTGGTTCCAGGTAAATCAATACTTGTGGAAACTTATGAATGATTTGTGTATTTCAGAAAAGTCTCCCAGCATATGGCGACAAATTCATCGAGATTTGCCTTCAGCTCACCGCCGATCATGATCGAGATGTCTCTGGTGCTCACAATACAATTGTTTGTGGTCGAGCTGGTAAAAATTTGATCTCCTCGCTCACATCTGGATTACTCACCATTGTACGTTGAAGAACAAGAGATTTAGACAGACCCCAGCCTGTTCTATAATTTCACTTCTCAACTTTCTTATTTTCAGGGTGATCGTTTTGGTGGAACTCTCGATGGAGCTGCTCGCCAATTCTCCAACGCTATGGACAATGGCTGGTCTCCAATGGAGTTTGTAAACAATATGAGAATCCAAAAGAAGCATATTATGGGAATTGGTCATCGCGCCAAAAGTGTGAGTTTGCCTAGAATCTGCGAATTATTCAAAAATTCTTCGAATTCAATGAATATTTGATTTCAGATCAAAAACCCTGACAGTCGTGTCGAAATTCTCAAGACATTTGCCATCAATAAATTGGAATTCACCCAAGAAACTCCACTTCTCGAATTTGCATTGGAAGTTGAGAAAATTATGACTGCCAAAAACCCAAATCTCATTCTCAACGTTGATGGCGCAATTGGTGTCATTTTCGTCGACATTCTTCGCCATAGCAAAGTGTTTACACCAGCCGAAGCTCAACAAATCATTGATAGCGGAACATTGCATGTTCTCTTGATTTTTGGTCGATACCTTCGTTATATGGAACAATTGTTGGGTTAATCTCGCTTGAAACAAGGTCTTTATCGTCATCCATGGGATGATATTTCATATATCATGCCAGAAAAAAACTCTTAAATTATTTTTCTTGTATTATATTGCACCCCCTCATCACATTCCACTATTATTTTATATTTATTCATATTTATTCCCGTTTCCCTCTAGCATTAATTATAGTTTTAAGAATTTATTGTATATTGTACAGCTTTATTCATTGGAATGTTTAATAAAGTAGATTTAAAATAGCTACTGTGAAAAAATATTGATGTTTTTGAAAAGTTGAATAGATTTTGTGTTACAACAACACTCTTTGATATAAACTTCGCGAATTGTTTCTTTCTGTCTGTAAAACGACCCTCTTGAAGATCGCACTGTATTCAGTCTCCGATAAAATCTTGTCTAAACTGACAAGGGAAGTGCATAGGGTTAGGTGTTGAACTTTTGATGAAACTTTCAAAATAAACCAAATCGACCATGCTGATTACGATTCTGAAGTCAAAAATTGCCACAAATGCCTGTGAGCACTTTTCTGGAGCTCCAAAGTTGAAATTGAGTTTTGGTTTTCGTCCATTTTCACATTGTTCCTGGGTGGAAAATCAATTTTTATGAGTTGAATAAGGTTGTTCACCACATTCGAAAACCTATCAGCTTTTTTAGTTTTTCAAAAAACATGAAAAATCAGCTGAAAACTGCAATTTTCAAAAATGCACGAATAACTTTGAAAAACGTTTGTATTTACGTGTGATTGTGTGTATTTTCAGGACTTTCTTAAAAATTGCAGTTTTCAGCTGGTTTTTCATATTTTTTTAAAAACTAAAAAGCTGATAGGTTTTGGAATGTGGTGAACAACCTCATCCAAGTTAGAAAAATTGATTTCCCACTCAGGAACATGGTGAAAATGGACGAAAACCAAAACTCAACTCAAACTTTGGAGCTCCAGAAAAGTGCTCACAGGCATTTGTGGCAATTTTTGACTTCGGATTCGTGATCAGCATGGTCGATTTGGTTTATTTTGAACCTTTCATCTAAAGTTCAACACCTAACCCTATGCACTTCCCTTGTGAGGTATAGGCTTTCAAAAATGCGGTTTTCACAAAATTCCGACTTTCGGTTTTGTTATGGGCTCTTTGGAGAGGTGCTCACATAAAAAAAAAGTCAGCAAAAACTTAGAACGGGACCTTTCTCGGCGTTAAAAACTGTACAGAACCATATATGTCTCACTGGTCACACACTTTTCTTGTCAGTCGATTGTTTTTTCTTCTTGCCCTCATAGTGTTCTCTTTTCCGGGTGACATGCATCTTTTTCGCGCGCCCGCCAATTTTTGAATTTAGTGTGTTGCATAGCTGGCCAACTCTGTGTTGGTCAGTCAGTTATTTTTTCTTCTTCCCTTTGCGTGTTTTCCTTTTCATGATGACACACATGTTTAGTTTTTTGACCACCGCGCGCGCGCGAGCATTTTTTGAACTTAATGTTAGTTTGTTCCCAGGACGCCAAGTCAGTTGTTTTGTTGGTCAGTCAGTCAGTAATTTATTTTTTCATACCTTCGCGTCTTTTTCTTTTCGGGGTGATACACATGTTTAGTTTTTTGAGCAGCGCTAATTTTTTGAATTATTAACTTTGTTGCATAGGTTTTTTGTAATCACTTTTATTCGTTGTTTCCTTCTGCTGTCACGGACATGAGTGTTCCGTTTTTTTTCTTCTTTATAGTTTTTTTTCCAATTTAAATCATGTTTCATTGCAGGTAAATAATGTCAGCAAAAGCAGTCAGCGAATTGTCCGCCAAGGAAATTTTGTACAAATACTTTGAAGGAACCGGACTCGTCAACTCGCCCTTCGCTTTTCATGTCAAAACTGGTGATGACTTCAATCAAATTGCTGGAGGTTATGAATGGTTAACCAAGGCAGGAGTGAGTTTTTAGAGAAGGTTTCTTAAGACCTTAAATCCTATAAATAATATCACAATTCAGTCACACCTCTAATAAAACAATTTTTCCAGAAAGGAGTCATCAAGCCAGATCAACTGATCAAACACTGTGCAAAGAGGGGTTTGATTAAAATTGGTTCACCGGAAGAATTGAGCGATTGGTTCAACAGCCATGCCAACAGACAGGTGGAAGTCGACGAATCACTCGGACGTCTTCACACCTTTATTGTCGAACCATTCTGTGCTCATCAGGAATTCGATGAGATGTATATTGCGATCTTCAGCACCAGAGAAGAGGACACAATTATGTTCTACGAGCATGGTGGTGTAACATCTCCTAAGGGAGATATTGAGCGCAAAGCCAGATTCATCAAAATCCCGGTTGAATTTGACGATGATGTGATGTGGCCAACTGATGGACAATTGAAAACACTTATTGGAGTCGATCTTCCAAATTTTGAAGTTGTCAAGAAGTTTGTCGATGAATTGTACAAAGCTTATAAAGAGCTTCACTTCACATATTTGGAAATCGATCCATTTGGTAAGAATTTTTGGTTGGAATTTTCATAGCTTTCCTAATCAATAATCAAATAATAAAATTTCAGTGTTCGTCGACAATCAAATCCATATCCTCGATCTCGCTTCAAAATTGGACGAGACAGCCAACTTCATCTGCTCGGATAAATGGAGAAGTCGCCAAACTCCAATGTCTGCACCAATGCCAGTCGATTTCCCAGCTCCATTTGGGAGTGATTTGACTGAAGAAGAGCAATTTATTGCTAATTTGGATGCCAAAACTGGAGCCTCGTTGAAGTTGACGATTCTCAACCGAAAAGGACGTGTTTGGACAATAATCGATAAAAGTAGCTTTTTGAATGTCTTGACGTAAGGAGTTTTTTTGAACCTAGAAATATATATTCAAATTGCCTGCCGCCCGCGGGGCTTGCCTATCCACCATAATCGCTGTTTGTTTTCAGTGACACTGTTTGCGATCTAGGTGGAGAAAAGGAGTTGGGCAATTATGGTGAATGTTCTGGCCATACGTGGGAAAAGAAAACTTTCGAATATGCCAAGACAATTCTATCGATCATGACTGAAGGAGAGCCCAGAAGCGATGGAAAAGTATTGATAATCAGTGGATCAATTGCCTTCAGAGTGAGTTGCATCTTGTTTCAGATAATATCGAGCTGTACTATTATTGATAATATTGCAGGGAATTATCCAAGCAATGAACACTTACAAAACCAAACTAAAGAAGCACGAAGTCACCGTCTTTGTTTATTGTCGAGGTACAAACTATGAAGAAGGATGGCGTTATTTTGAACGTGTTGCCGACCAGCTCAAAATTCCAGTCCGTTTTTATGACTCAGACACGCATGTGACTGCTATTGTCGGAGCCGCCCTTGGAACTCATTATGTTCCATCAATGCCCATCGAGCCAAAAACCACTGGTCAGTTCTTGTTGAGCCCGGAAAGAAACACGGCTGGAACTGAACGTCAACCAGTTTCCCCTGCACCAACATCGACTGAAGCGAAACCTTTGAATCAAACTACTTTCCGCGGATTGTTCGAAAATGATACCAAAGCAATCATCTGGGGAGAACAAGCTGATGTTATCCAGGTATGAATTTTCAGCAAGATGTATGTATCATAATTTAATGAATGATATTTTCAGGGTATGCTTGATTTCGATTATGTTTGCCGAAGAGAAACACCATCAGTTGTTGCCTCAACATGTCCATTCACTGAAGGCAACACGCATAAATACAACTTCGGACTGAAGGAAGTTCTCATCCCCGCTTACAAATCAATGGCCAAAGCGTGTGCAACTCACCCAGAAGCTTCTGTGATGGTCATATTTGATGGACCGTTATTGATTTATGAAAGTGTGTTGGAAGCTCTGGAATTCCCTCAACTCAAAGTCATTGCCATCATTGCTGAAGGTGTCCCAGAGAACCGAACCAGGAAATTGTTAAAAGTTGCCGCTAAACGTGGTGTCACTTTGATCGGTCCAGCAACAGTCGGAGGAATCAAACCAGGTTGCTTCAAGATTGGATACACTGGAGGAGAAAAGAATGCTTTTATTAACTCAAAACTCTACCGTCCTGGAAGTGTTGCGTATGTTTCTAGATCTGATGGAATGTCCAACGAATTGAACAACATTATCTCCCAAAACACCAACGGTGTTTATGAGGGAATTGCGATTGGCGGTGGTAAATATACAGGAAGCAGCTATGTTGAACACATTGCAAGATATCAAGCTGATGATCGTGTCAAAATGATTGTTTTGCTCGGTGAAGTTGGAGGCACAGAAGAATATAAGATTGCCGAAATGCTCAACAGAGGAGAGATCACCAAACCATTAGTTGCTTGGTGCATCGGAACTTGTGCAGATCGTAACACTAATGCTGTTAGATATCCTGAAACTGCAGCTTGCAAAAACGCTCTTCTTCGCAGTGTTGGTGCAATTGTGCCCTCATCATTTGGTGAACTTGGCAACAAGATTCGCGACACTTATGACAACATTGGAGCAAAAGTGCCACAATTGGAAGTAGGAGAACCACCATTTCCAATGGATTATGCGTGGGCCAAAAAGTTGGGGTTGACTTGCAAAGAAGAAACATTCATGGCTTCGATTTGTGATAAATGGAGTGAAGATTTTGTGTACGGGGGTGCTTTCATCAACAATATCATGCAATACGACCAAGGAGTTGCCAGTGCTCTTGGACTTCTTTGGTTTGAGGTAAATCAATACTTATGGAAACTTATAAATAATTTGTGCATTTCAGAAAAGTCTACCAGCATATGCCAACAAATTCATCGAGATTTGCCTTCAGCTCACCGCCGATCATGATCGAGATGTCTCTGGTGCTCACAATACAATTGTTTGTGGTCGAGCTGGTAAAAATTTGATCTCCTCGCTCACATCTGGTTCACTCACCATTGTACGTTGAAGAACAAGAGATTTAGACAGACCCCAGCCTGTTCTATAATTTCACTTCTCAACTTTCTTATTTTCAGGGTGATCGTTTTGGTGGAGCTCTCGATGGAGCTGCACGCCAATTCTCCTACGCTATGGACAATGGCTGGTCTCCAATGGAGTTTGTACACAAGATGAGAATCCAAAATAAGCATATCATGGGAATTGGACATCGCGCCGAGAGTGTGAGTTTGTCTAGATCCTGCTAATTATTTGAAAATTCCTCGAACTCAATGAATATTTGATTTCAGATCAACAACCCTGACAAGCGAGTCGAAATCCTCAAGAGATTTGTCATGGATAAATCACAATTCACCCAAGGAACTCCACTTCTTGACTTTGCACTGGAAGTTGAGAAAATCATGAATTCCAAGAACCCAAATCTCATTCTCAATGTTGATGGTGCAATTGGTGTAATTTTTGTCGACATTCTTCGCCAAAGCAAGTTGTTCTCACCAGCCGAAGCTCAAGAAATCATTGATAGCCGAACATTGAACGGTCTTTTGATTTTTGGTCGAAGCTTTGTTTTTGTTGGATATTATTTGTATCAATCTCGCTTGAAACAAGGTCTTTATCATCATCCATGGGCCGATATTGAATATGTCATGCCAGAACAAATCATTTCCTAATTATTTTTACTTGTATTATATTGCACCCCCACACATTCCACAATTGTTTTTATAATTTATTTATTTTTTTTTGTTCCCTAGCCTTAATTTCAATTTTCAATTTTCATTGCAGATTTTATAGATTCATTTATTGGTTTTAATTAAAGTTAATTATAAATAAAATTGTTATAGTCAGAAAAAGTGTTCTAGTTTTTGAATAGTTGCAAAGATCTGTGTTACAGCAACATACTTTGATATAAACTTCGCGGATTGTTTCCTTCTGACATCCATTTCCTCGGGTCTGGAAAAACATACATATATGGCTAGAGGAAGGGGTGGGAGAATTGATTTCTACTTGGTTGAAAAAAATTTCTGATAATTTTCAGTGTAAAACATTGTATCGAACGTTATTTTTACTTGAAAATCCTATAAACTGCTACCAAAGTTTCATTGCCTCAAACTTTCATAAACTAACTTCACAATCAGTAATAACAACAGATGGATCTGGACAAGTACCATTAAACACATTGAAATCATCACCTTCTTCAGACAATGTCATACAATAATTTCCAGGACATTCTGATTGAATCTAAAAAATGTTTGAAGTACATTTATTTGGGAAACGCGAAATTCAGAAAAAAATACCCTTGGTGTTTTTTGAATTGTGCCTTGAAACTGGGTGTCCGAGAAATTCCAGCAATTTAAAGATTGTGCATAGTTTGCAAATAGTATTATAGAAAATACGGGAGTTGTGTGTTTTAAAATCATGATTGAATTGTTCTTTTATCAGTATTTTTTCATGTGAATTGATAATTTTTGTGTGGCATCTTGTAAATTTTTGTCTGGCATTTTAACATAAAACATCTCAACTTCTGGAGAAAAATATCTGCTGTTCATTGTTTTATAAATCTTAATCTCCATGATCGTATTCATAGCATAAGTCTGTGATAATTTAGAATTATTGTGAAACATGGACAAATTTGGTGGCCGTGTGGCCGACAAGTTTTTTGTGTAGTTCTCTTGGAAAAGCAAACATATTTTATTGAGGATTCATATTTTTTTGTATTTCAAGTTTAGTCTCAAAGATTTAATTTTTTTAACCAACTTTCTTTATGTATAAACTGGGTAATTACGTCAATAACCAGAAATATTTTGAAAAGTTTCTTTACAAAACAAAACACAAAAATACCCTTGAAGATTGTTGCTGCGTGGCCTAGCATCCGACAACTTTCTGTGTATTTCTCTCGGAGTTTGTTAATCAATAATTCACGCGTTTTTTAAATTTACATTTACTGGGTTTCAGTTTATTTTTTTTGAGAAAATTATATTTTCATTTTTCAAGATAAATTCTCTTTTTCACACTTCAAAACTAGAAGTTTTCAAAAAAAAACACATAAGTTTTTTCAGGGTCGTGGCTGTGTGGCCTAGAAACCGACAACTTTTTGTGTATTTCTCTCGAAGTGTACTTTTTGCACTTATATTTTTAGTTGTTCTCTTGGAGAAACATGCGCGTCTTCTCGATCAATATAGTTTTTTATAGTGAAATATGATCTTGAGTAGAAAGTTTCTGAAATTTGTCAGAATGAAGCATTAAAAAAAATGCAAAATTGGCTGATTTTAGTAGTTCCAAGTTTCTCAATCATTCCATCCATGTCTTCTGATAAAAATCACTTTTCAAACATCACACATCGAACAAACCACAACACAAAAAAAGTATCTTCAGCAATCAAAAATAGTGCGGAAAATATAGAGATTGTAGAGAAAAAGATGAAATCAGTCCACTCAAAACGCCATGTGCGTTTCTCATTTTTTTTCGTTTCATTTTGTTTGCACTTACCAATCGTTTTTTTCTTGTTGGAAACTTGCTAACCTTTGATTTTTTGCAGTAGTTGAATAATGTTGTTGGCTGGAAAAGTTGCTGTTGTTACTGGTGGAGGATCTGGAATTGGTCGAGCGATTTGTAAAAGATTGGCTGATAATGGAGCTAGTATTGTTGTTGCTGATGTTAAACATGCCGCAGCTTTGGATACTGTCAAACTTTTGGGTAAGTTTTTTTTTGGGAAGGATCTGACAAAAAACGTCGATTTTTTCAGGTCCATCGCAAGCTCATATTCCAGCCGAATGCGATGTTTCCAGTGTGAGTTTTTTTTAGATAAAAAAAGAATAAGAAGCTCTTGAAAAAATGTATTTTACATATGAGGTTTTTTGAAAAGAATGAAAAGAATTTCAGACTTCCATGAAATTCTGAAACACTTTTCAATCCACTTTTTTAACAGAGCCAAAGTCTTCAAAAAGTTTTAAATCAAATAATTTTTCAAAAATCAAAATTTTCAGCCAGAAGCAGTCAACAAATTGAAGGAACTTGTTGGAAAGAATGGAAACCCAGTTTCAGTTTTGGTAAATTGTGCAGGAATTACACAAGATTCGACTTTGTTGAAAATGCCAAAAGCTAAATGGGACAGTGTTGTTGGAGTTAACCTAACTGGAGTTTTCTTGGTAAGGGTTTGGAGAACATATTTATGATAAATCTTATTAATACCCTATTTTTAAGGTATCCCAAGCGTTTGCCAAATATTCAGTTGAAACTCAAAGCCCACTTTCAATCATTAATGTTTCATCGATTGTTGGAAAAACTGGAAATTTTGGACAAACCAACTATGCTGCAACTAAAGCTGGAGTTATTGGATTCACTAAATCTGCTGCCAAAGAATTAGCCAAGAAGGTGAATACTAGATTAAAGTTACCACTGTGAAGTCAGCTATATGGGTGGCATAAAAACAATTTCCGATAAGTTTTTGTTGCTTCCTATATAGCGCACTTCATACAGCTGCTCAAGAATATTGTGAACTTTTTTTGTTCTCCTTTTTTCATCTGTTCTGGCAGCTGATTTTTTCTTCGGAAAAATCAGACACCAAAAACTTTGAAATCGGAAATAAAAGTGCAAAATTTTGCAGAATGTCCGAGTAAATGCAGTTCTCCCTGGATTTATCAAAACTCCAATGACTGAAGCGATGCCACCACAAGTTTTGGCTGAAATTTGCTCTGGAATTCCGATGGGTCGAATGGGAGAAGATGATGAGATTGCAAAATCGGTTTTGTTTTTGGCATCCGATTTGTCATCTTATGTGACTGGTGCTGCTTTAGAAGTTACGGGTGGATACAATATGTAATTTTATAATGTTTTTTGAATTTTGTTTTTGTTTATTCTCTAGTGTACAATAAAATCATGAAGGGTCAATTTTAGATTTTGATGTGATTTTTTGTACCCCGGTCGACAGGAATAATTGAGTTTTTATAGAAAATCACTCTAAACACAATTTATAAATGTGTTGGCAGTTTCAGATTCCGATATCGATATTCACTTTCAGAGCAAATGTATTCAAGATTCCAAACAATTTTCAAAATTATTGTACTACTAGCTGTATAGTAAGGTCTATTTTGAAAGACGAAATATACACAATTAATTTTCCGTTGTACACAATACAAAAAGTGACATATACACAATTTCAATAACTTTTGTAAATGACTCACTCTTCTCTTACTTTTCGAAGCGCTTTGGTGGTGTTTTTGTATGTTGGAACATGGAGACTGTTTCACGCTCAGGTATGTGTCATTGCCAAACCATTTTTGTTTGAAGCGTAAAAATTTTATGCGATGTTTCAATGTTTGAAAAAAAATTTTTGTTAAATTTTTTTCAATTTTTTTCCATGTGTAATTTCAGATTATTGTCTCCAATCAATGACACGCCAGAATATTCGACCATGTCGAGTTACTGTAAATGACAGTTGCTCAAACAGCAGTCAAGGAGGATGGTTCAGATCAAGATTTGTTGTAAGTCATTTTTAAAAAATTTTTTTTGAAAACTCGAAAAAAATTTCCAGCTAATCAGACCACGTTGCTGCTTGCTTGATACCTTTGTAAGTTTTTTATTCATTTTTTGAAAACAAAAACTATAAGTTTTTATTCCAGACTCTGCTTTATATCTTGGCAATAATTGGTCTAATTTTCTCGATCGTTTCTTTGATTTTGGTCTCAATTTATACCCCAAATCCTTTGGAAATTATTGTATTTTCTTTCGCAATTATAGCAATGGCAGTGGTTATTGGAACACTTATCACAAAAAATTTGTATTTGGCGCAAATCTCATTCTGTCTTTTGGTAAGTGTTCGGAAGCTGGGTAGAGAGGTACTGTAGCTAAATCATTCTTAAAATTTACCTACAGTATCCCTTCCATAGTCTTTTAAAATACTGTAGAATTATCCTAAAACCACAGAACCGTATTGACTATACGAAGCTGATTTACAGTTGGTAGATTTTGAAAAAGTGTGCCGCAGTTGCATAAGCCCACTTGAGTTACAGAAAATCAAACTTTCTTTCAGATCGTGTTGATAATCCTGTTGAGTGGAGCTGTGTTTTACCTGTTCTTCTCTATGATGTTATGTGAGTTTGAAAATTTCCATTTTTTTTTCATCTCGAACTTCACCTTCAAATTTTCCAGCACAAAAATACCACTATGGAGATTGGCGATTCAAAGTTTTCATGATCACTGAAATTATATTCATTATTTGTGTCGCGATTTGTAAGTCTTTCCAAGAAAACACACAAATCTTTACCTAAACTATATTTTCAGACGTATCTGTAATGCTCTATCTCTTATTGGATGTTATCACCTACTGCAAACGGAATCGTGAAGAAGTTGAAACTCCAAGAAACACAATTCATTTTGATAATAGATATTGAAACAAAAATTGCTTTGCTCCGCAACTTCCATTCTTTGCATTTGAAGAAGAAGATGCTGTCTTGATTTTTGTGTGATGTTTTGCAAAAATCATTATTTTTATTTAAATTTAGGGTTTGGGTGTTAGATTAGCTTGCAATAAAAATTTTGCGACAATTTTGGTTGATATATGTATATCGTGGTTCAAAACTTATGTGAATGATCTCTTGACAAAACAAATCTCGGAATCAAAATTAAAGTTCAGATTTTTCTCACACAAGGATCAAAAAGCTGGAACAATTCTTATCACCGCATTCCATTCTAAAAAAAATCAAAATCAAACATTGAAATTCAAAATTCCCTCCATATTCCAAAAATCTATGAAAAAGTGACTAAATTTAGAAATCATGTGAAAAATAGAGAGGGCAGAGAAAGAAAATTTATTTTGTTTTTCTGAACAGATGTATCATTTTGCTACCATTTTCTTCTGGTCAGATATTTGTGAATTTTTTTGGTGGATTTTTTGATGAATTCTAAATTTTCCAATGTCAATTTGAAACCCCAAAATTTTTCTCAAGGTTTTGAAAGTTTGTTTATTTTTTTGGGAGCGTTTTCATTCAAATAATTCCTTTAAAATATGGTTTCATGTATTTCAGAATTTTTCTGTGAAATCTTTCCAGGTCCGATTTCTTTCTGATAATCTCAACTCTTCTAAAACTGAAGTTCTAAAAGCAATTTTTCCATGCTCAAACAATTTCGAAATCCACACTTTCCGTGTCACCCACTCCACCAAATACCTTGGTGAACTCCAAAAAAACGTTAGAGCAACAAAGGTGTCAATGAATAACGATATCTTTGAGACATAATACAAAATGAGGAGACGGCAGACATCATTTGGATGGCTCAAGCTCCTCCCAGGGAGGGAAATAAAAATATCCCAGAAGAAGGAAGAAAAAAGAGGAGAGCGAAGATATAGGTGGAGTCTTCCATCATTATTTTATTAATGTTATTATTACTAATACTTTTTTGGTTTTTTTTCCTAATCTCCATTTTTTCTTCTTCTATTTTTTCTTGTTCTGATTTTGTCAAATTTTTTTGTTGCTTTGAAATATTGATAATCCTTTTCAACCAGGAAGCCAATCTACCTTTTTAATGATTCCAGAATGGTTGCTCGTCGAAAATCGGACAAGGTTCAAAAAATCAAGCAAACCGAGGATGATAATGTGGCTCAAAGAGCTTGCGCGAATCGTCGTGAAAGACAAAGGACAAAGGTGAGTTAAAAAAAGAGAAAGAATACGGTAGATATATGTATGTCATGCGCGTCAGTTGTCTTTGTGGTTTGACTACTTTTTCCTTAAATTTATGACTAGGTTTCGCGCGTCTTGCGAAACCTGGGAGAGTTTAGAAATATGTGAGGGCAAAATGAGTCAGCAAGGAAGTTTTGGGGGATTTGTAAATTGAGGGGAGGTTTGAGCATTTTTAGAAGAATCTGATTTTCTGAAATTCCAAATGGATTTTAGATGGAATAAGTTTGAGGGTCCTGAATTAACTTTCAATGAGGCTTGCTAAAAATGAGAGATTACTCTGGTCGTTTTGAGCACCGATGGAGCTCTAAAGTTGAAACCAAGAATATTTTCAGAGAGGAACTAGAATTTGAAAAAAAATTAAATTTATCTTCAATCTCCAATTTTTCATGCCTTTGATGAGAATTTCTGAACTATAATTTATCACTTTTAAATCCTAAGCTCTGAACTTCTCTGAATTATCAGAGTTCAAAATTTTCAGAACTTTTCTCTGAATCTACACTCTCACTTTTCTGTCACCCACAAGTTTTTAGACATTTGAAAATCGCGAACTTTTCTTTCAGTAGTTATTTTCCAAAAAATAAGTCTATTCAAATTTCCAAAAAACTTTGACCTAACCTAATATTTTCTTATATCATAAACAATTTTCCTGACCTTTCTTTGATTGACAACTTCACACCAATATTCAACATCACCTCACATAAAAATATCAAATTTCAATTAACACTTCCCCCTTTCTCCCCAGCTACCGTATCCCAACAAATGTTTTTTTTATTCTTTCAAAAAATAAACAATGCTCACTCACAGCACATATTATAAATAATAATGGTATTTTATTTATCCGCTTGTTTTCCTTCAAAAAGTATTTCCACCCTTTCTTTAGCTGTATCATAAAAGTCGGCGGCGAGTCGCAAAAGTTTTGTGGCTGGCTCAAAATATATACGGTAGATGAGAGGAGGGATAGAGAAAAAGTGGATTGGGTTGGTAATAAATGTTTTGGTTGGAGAAAAAGAGAAATAGTTGTGACATCTGGAGCTGATCGGCGTTCTACAATGAATGTGGGGCCCTTCTTTTCGCTTTCTTAAAAGTTTTTTTTTTTATATAAACAGCAAGAAGGATGGATGGGGGATGGGAAGGGGGAAAATGTTGACATTTTGAATTTTTCGGATCATTTTTTGATTTTGTTTGGGCTTGGGTTACTGTAGTTGAATGAATTCTTTGAAAATTAACAAAAACATTTTAAAATATTCAAAAAACTTCAATAGAAGGATGTCAAAATTTTAACAAATTCATACTCATTTTTCATTTTTTTAGACGGCGAGTTAGGGCAACTTGGGGTACTGTAGTTGAACACTTTTTGTATCAAATTAGGGATAGAGTTATCGGAAATGCGACTTACGTTTGAAGTTTGGAAAATACAATTTTCAGTAACCAAATCCTTTTTTACGAATTTTCAAATTCATAAAATTCTAATTCAAAACTTTTCTCAACTACCGTACCCTTTCCCATTTCTCTCTCTCTCTCACATTTTTCCGGAAATTCCCAACCGCCCATAAACCAATCAAAATGCACCAGACAGCTTGTTTTTTTCCAATATTATTTTATTATTATATCCTGAGAACTTACACATTGCGTCATTCAAAAAAAAATAGTTTATGGATTTTTATTTGATTGATTAATATCCAACAATCTAATTATAGGAATTGAATGATGCGTTTTCGACACTTCGAAGAATGATTCCATCAATGCCATCTGACAAAATGAGCAAGATTCATACTTTGCGAATTGCTACGGATTATATTAGTTTTTTGGATGAGATGAAACAAAATGGATGTAAATTGTTTGGAAGATCGATTTTTGATGAGAAAACTGGTTATGGTTTGCAAACCTCTTTCAATGTTTGGAGAAGTAGTAATGGGTTAACAAGTGTTAATATTCCACCAATCACAACAATTCCGAATATTCCAACGATTGCTCAAATTCCACAAATCGGTTAGTGGTTTTGTAACTTACTATTCAAAAAACTCAGAGAACAATGAAAGAAACTTTTAATGTTTTCACAACAAAAAATTTGGTGAATCCTTAAATTTCTAAAAAAAATTTAAATGTTGAATTCAAAAGCAAAATTACATCAAAACCTTCGACGTGATTTTCAGTATTTTTCGAAAATTTTTATCAAAACGTTGAGATTAATTCTGAATTATTTGAGCAATTCAGATTTTCCAGTAACATTTTTTTCGGAAAATCAAACATTGACGCCAATGGTTGAAAATGTGGCTCAGTGGTAGTGATGGCTTCTGTTAATCTCAGAGTCAAGGGTTCAAATCCCAGTACCCGCTACTTTGATTAGCTTCCGGCACAGGTCCAACATACCAACCGATAATTTTCCAGGAAACCCATGCATGTCCCTAGTAACTCAACCATATTATCTGGGTTTTCCTACCACATCCGTAACTCCAACAACCAAAGACTACACCGATACTCAATCTACACCAATTCAATGGTAATCTTCCAAATCTACTCTACTCATTGCTCACTCGGGTGAAATTCTACAATAATAATCAAATACAATGTACAGGAACACTTTTTTAAATTTTCAATACACATATAATGCATTTTTTTTGTTAACCTTAAGATAAAATAAAAATTATTTGACAACAAGAGAATGTAAAGGTGATCCAATGCCAACTTGACATTCACAAGCGTTTATTGTGTCAATTGTGACTTTTTTCCACTCGTCTCCACTTTTTCGAAGAATTGTGATTGTTTTGTAGATTGTTTTACAAGCTCCAAACCCTGGATTACCGTAACTTCGAATTATAAATCCAGAAAAAAAAAGAAAATTACCTGACAAACATCCACCATCTTGTGAATCACAATTCACTTCATTCAAATAATTTGGAAAATAATCATCAGGTAATTTCCGCCACTGCCAACATAGATTACACAATCCACACCAATCCGAAGATCCAGTCAATAATTCACCACGACGATATTCACAACCCATACTATTCACAACACCCAAAATTGGTTTTGTTGTTGAATTTGCGGTAGGTTCAGTTGTGGTACTCTCTTGATTTATAGAATTTCCCTGGCTTTGATCGCGATATTGAATTTCTTGATTCTGGTCCTGATTCTGACTCTGACTTTGATTGGGGTTCACAAGAACATAGGATTTGAACATTTTTCGAATTGTGAAATTTTGACGCTTCTTTCGATTCCCACCACCATAACATGATCCCTCAGAAGTTCCTAAAATTGAAAAATGAAGTATCATATGGAGCAAATACTAGTGGGCTTATAAAATTACTCTAGTTTTTCGACCAAAAATTATTTTTCATTTTTTTTTCTTGTTGAGAGAAAACAAGATCTATGGAAACTACATTTTATTTTGAAAGTTAGCCTAACTCACTTTAAAAGGGTACCAAATCTGAATAAAAACATTAGAAAGGCACTTTTTTTTAGAATAATCAAATACATTTGGCACAATATTAGAAAAATTCAAAATCAGTTTTTTAAATTTTTGAAACATCATAAAATTATTTCAATAAATCGTCAGAAATTTCCAGAGTTTTTTTCCAGACCAAGTTTTTTTTCTCCCAAGATTAGCAAAAAGGTTTAGTTTACCCAGTTTGAGAACCAATTCATCTTTCTGTGCAGAAAATGTTTGATGATCTTCAGCAGAAATCGACGGATTATTCAAAAACCCATTCAGAATTGCTAATTTACAACTCATACAAGCATATGTTGAACAATCTGATTGTAAGCTGGCTGTGGAACTCGAACTTGAAGACATTGTTGCGATTGATATTCGACTTGTCATTGGTCTCACCTGGAAAAAATCTATATATTTATAAATATTGTTCGGGGGTTTGAAGAAAACACTTTTAAAAAGTTCATAGACCACTTGTTCAATGAAATATAACTAGTTTACTCAAAATGTTTGTTTTTTGAGTCAACTTTTGTTCGAAAAATAAAATGACAAAACTCACACTAGAAACATCTTCTTGCTCATGAAACAATGTTGATTTATCTTCTGATGCAAGATTTGGAAATGAGAACAATGCTTGATCCAATGACTCAGCCATCATACTACTATCATAAGATAAACAAGGAGTTGAAGTGTCTTGTTGATTACAGCACTGGAAAAAAAAATTTAGGGGACCAATAAATACAAGGCTGACTTACACTTGATATAATTGCTGCATTTGTTCTCAAGGAAATCGATAGTGAAACAATCAAAAAGATCCAAGAACTCATAGAAATTTTTTTGTCATCGAAATTTCGTTTATTTGTATTTCCTGTGTCCGCCTATCTGCCATTTCTCGCTCTCACGTTTGTTTAATTTACCCCAGAAAAAAATGTAAAAAAAAAAACACTTTATTTATTATTCATGTTAGGAAAAAATGAAATCAATCAATAAAAAAAAGTACATCAAGATAAAATTCATATTTCTGAATTACGCAAGAAAACGAAAAAACACAGATTTGTCGAAGAAAACACGTAAATGAATGATGTTGGCATGACCGGTTGAGAACACATCAAATAAGAATTTCCGTTGCTGGTAAACACAATTTGACACGAGTTGGAACGCGATTATTATTCCGATTTGATCCGAAATGTCGTAGCCAAGCATTTTTGATATAATGACGAAGAGTTCGACGGAAATGTGAGCCGAACGCGTAGTAGATCAGGAAATTGCACGACGAGTTGACGACAACCATCAAATTCGATAAATCGATGAGATAACTGTTGATGATTCCAAAGAGCAATTCCAAGAAATTCACAGTTAGTGGCTGCAAAGATTTGATTAATTTTTTGAACTCTTTTTTTTTATCTTTGGGTAAACAAAATGCTTTTTCTTTCTATTTTTTACAAAAAAAACTCACCAAAATGTTACAAGTGATAAACAAACAAACAACCAAAACCAATGTGATGATATCGGAATCAGTTCCATTATTTGAAGATTTTCTCATGCTCAAAACAATCGCAGTGTTGATAACAATCAATAACACCACCGGTCCAACAGCCATCACAATTGTATACATATAAGCATAATAGATCGTGAGATAGTCCTGAAAAAAAAACTTCATTGACCCGACCATAATCCCTTTTTTTCCTGGGCCATTCATTAGTTGTCTTGCCAAAATACACACAGACGAGGAGGATAAAATGTGGTGAAATTTAATAAAACTTCCTCATCGAAGTGTGAGCTCAGACCAAAATACAAAGAATGTTTTGATGGGTTCAAAAAATACATAAATAGAAAATATTTACCGGATTTGCTCGCAGTGCAGTTGGACAGACATCTTTGGAACGTGTGTTGTAGGTGAGACTCCAGCAATCGATCACGTAGATTTCAAACATGTGGGGAGAGTTGTAGACGAATCCGATTATGATGATCATACAGAGGATCTGAAAAATTATAGATATTGATGGAGGAGTTCTGTGAGTTAGAAAAATGTGTGGACTCTGGCTGAGGAGATTTAGTAAATGTAATGAAATAATTTTTTAAAGATGAATTTAAGATGACTTTTAGAGCCCAAAAAATAAGTTTCGAACTTTGCGAGCGCAGTTTTGTAGTATTTCAGATGTTCATGTCAGGAAAAAAGGATCTTTGAAATTCCAAAAGATTTTTTGAGCTACATAAAAAAGAAAACAGAAATTCAGTCTCGGAAAAATCAGAAACCACAAAATAATCATATTCCAAGAATAGCCGTCTCGTTTTTTTCAAGAACATTATATTTAATCCCGGAAAACCCGCGCGAATGAGAGAGATCAAAAATTGAATTTCAAAATTACAGGAAATCAGATCTCTGCATTTCCGCTGAAATTCAAGTTTTTCAAGATGATCCCATACTCACACAAATCGACGTGGAGACTGAGCAGAATTTGTTTTTGAATTTTTCACCAGCGGCGACCAAAACAAAACAATCGAAAGCTGAAGCGACTGTTATGAATACTGAAAGAGTTTGTCCAATGAGTCCCAATGGAAACATGACGGGTGACAGAACTGCGAAGTAGTATGTAGCATATTCAGATCGTTTTCTCATATTTTCCAGGAAGAACAAGAAGAAGGCAGTTAGAATGATTATAATGTCCGAGCAGGCCAATGAGAAGAGATAGCTGGAAATTTGAAATTTTTGAATTGTTTTCCAAAAAAATTGTGTTTTTCTGTGAATTTATTGATTCCTTATTTTTCCATATCGGGTGGTTCAACCCGTTTAAATGTCGGTCAAAGACTCATTACCCTTAAATGTTATTTCAGAAAAATTCTACTTCCATCTTGAAATCTGTCTATATAGAAGAAAATTGTGTATTTTGAGCGAACCAATATTTTTCGTCTCCTCTCCTTCTCGATTATTATTAAAAACAAATATTTTCTCCGGGTTGGTTAAATTTTGGTTTTTTTTGTGTTGTTTGTGTGTAAAAATAGAATAGACTGCTTCGGGTGAAACAGGAGATTTTCGAAAAAAAAATTTACTTATCTTTCAGAAAAAAGGTCAAATTTCAGGAAATACCCATGGGTTCTTCGATCAGAAAAAATTAAAGGACAATGTTTTTATGTGGAATGGAAATGAATTTAATCGTAGTGCCCTCATTGGAAATGGAATAAAATTGATGAGAGGAACGGACGAACGAACAAACAAAAAAAACAACAAAAACACGGGGCGGAAGAGAAATTCAATAATCCCAATTTTTCTATATACGTATGTATTATTCTAGAGAAAAATTACATGAATTTTGTTGATGGGACTTTGTTTTGAAAGTAGAGGGTCCGAAGGTTTCTCAAAAAAATATATAAAATTGTCTGTTTGTTAACTGTGGCGGGATTTCACTAAACTTCAAATCTTTAATATTTTTGGACTGGAAATCGAGGGCTCAGGCTCATCAGAAGGGAACTTGGCCTTCAGGCTATGACAATTGAAATTTAGGCTCAGGAAATTGGGCTTCAGGCTTGAACATTTTGGAAGTTAGGATTAGTTCTGAGCTTTAGGTGTTCGATCTTTTGAAAAGTTCTGGGCTTTGGGCCTTCAGGATCTGGAACTTGAGCTTTGCGATCAAGAATTTGGACTCACATCTGAGGCTCAAACATCTGAGCTTCAGATTGTGGCTAGCAAGGTTCTCATAAGAGATCTCAAACTCACACATTCAAACTGGATATCATCTCGCGTCTCGAATAAGTGAACGCTGACAACGTGTTCCCAATCAATCCCAAAACTCCAATCGTCGGTAGAAGAACACCAATGACAACCTGGCAAAAAAATAATCGATTTTCTGTGCTTTCAATTTCCTCTCCCTTTTTTTGTGGACGACGACAAAAACAAGACAACCCGCCAAAAATTATCTCATTCCATTCCATTTCATTTTGGTGGGGGGTGACGAAAAAAAGAACACTTTGGCTGTGCAAAAAATGCCTTGAGAAGGGAATTAGTGGTGGTTGAACTAATCAGCCTAGTAGGTCGTTGAAAGAGCAAAAATATATTGGTTTTTTTGTTGAGACTCAACAAGAGGTAGTGAGAATTATGAATACATATCCATCTCATTTTGCTGGATTCAGGAAGTTTATGTGTGTTTTTTGAACTCTCAGATTCATTTGCAGAGAGAAAAAAAATGTGAGCCGAATTTTAATTAATTAACAAATGTCGCAACAAATGAACTAACCATATTAAATTGTTCGTATTCTTTTGAAACATGTGGAGTTTCAGCATAATTATAGCAATACCCACAGATTTGCATATTGAAGCACATTCCAGATGCTTTTGATTCCTCATCACAATTGGCTGTTGAATTATTGAGGATTGACATTTCTCCGTGGAGTTTTCAGCTTCCTTGATCAACCTGAAAGAGAAACTATGTATGTGAAGAATTAAAAAAGAGCAACAAGCAACATAGTCTTTCTTAATGAGGAGCAAAAAAAAAAAGAAGACGAAGAAAATGGAAATGGAGTGAGGTTTAGAGCAGCAACACAAATGTAGGTGAAAATAACTGGAAAAGAGGAGGGCCTGGTCCAACACAGAGGACTCCGCCCATAAAACGTTCATGGGGTGGATTTGTAGAAGAGAGAAAAATGACGGAAGGAAATGAAATATAGTAATGAAAAGGAAGAAGGAAAAGGAGAAATGGCAAGGAAAAAAATTGGAGGATGAAATATTGACAACGAAATATGATCAGAAATTATGCCGACAAGGGGAGGCGGAATGGAGAACCATTTTTTTTTTGAGAAAAAATCTTGATTTTTGAGAACTTGATTTCACGATGTCTGAACAAGATCAAGATGCGATTTTTTGGATTGTTCTCTAGAATTTAGAAATCAGGCCGAACTCGGTTGAAGCTTTCTGAATCTGGCCAGGGTGACAATGTTTTTAGAATGATTCGGACCGCCAAAAAATAAACGGACTAGGGCTGACTTTTTAAAAAAAAAATATGAATTCGCTTCTGAAAAAACCTTTTTTTATATTTTATGATTCCACGACCCAAAACTTCGAAAATTATATGAAAATTCTGATCCAGATTTTTTCTATTCTAAACTTGGGACCTGGCATTATTACCGTGTTATGATTTGATTTCTACTGAAAATGTGGTAATCCTGATTCATTCCACCATACTGAAAACATGCTTGATTTAGAAATTCCCGCAAAAAATTCACTTCAAACAGGGTAACCACATTTTCAGTAACAACCAGAACAAAAAAGGAATTGGGCCATCTGGAAAAATTTTGAATTAGATTTTTTTTCTGAAATAATTTGATTCAGAAGATTTGCAATTTTTTGGACAAGATTCGAAAATTTTCAATAATACTTTTCCAAATTCAAAAACTCCCAGAACAAACATCATCAAAACTTTTCGCTCAATCTTTGTGCGAAACGTCTAAAACTCAATAAGTTTTTGAATTACAGGAAAAGGGAAGTCAGTCAAGTATACGTATGTCTATCAAGTATGAAAAAAAGTCTAAAATTGCTCTCAAATGGAACGTGTGTTCTGTTCTGCGCTTTTAATTCGATCTTCAGTTTTTTTCTCACAGTAAGTGTTAGACGCACTTTTTTTTATTGAAAATGGAAAAAGCTTGCACTATGTTTTTTTTCAAAACTTTTATTTTTTTCTATTTTTTTTCCTAATGAAAAAAAAATCGGAAGATCGAAGGAAAAGCGAAATTTGAGCAGAGGAGAGCAGACAATTTTTGAAAAATCAAGAAACAAAATAATTAGGGTCTATCGTGTTTTACAAACAAATTGAGCGGAAATGCGGGAACTTTGCAGAAAAATCATAGATTATATTTTATTTCAAAATTGGAAAAAAAATGATATAGTTTTTAGTGATGATGATATTCAAACTTCGACGATCATTTTATTTTCATTCTCAAGAAACGTGCTTGGAATATAAATGAATTTCAAATACTCTAAAAGTTGGATGAAATAAAATAATGTTCTTACGTTTTCTTCTGATCTTCAATGTATGTATGTATACAATTCAATTTCAATTTCACCTCCTGAAATTAATGTGCAAAGAAAAAACATAATAACTGCAGAATTAATCGCTCAAATGAACTCCGAAGCTTTTTTTCTTTTTCTCCCCACTTTTTTTTTGCAATTTATTAATTATTTTCAACTGGTTCCGAGGCAACGTTCACATTTTTACGAAAAATTATTTTTCAGTGGGATAAATTTAGAAGGAAATCAAAAATTCGTCGTATGATGTAAGAAGTATTATTGTTTTTCAGTTTGGCTAAAAACATGAACTTTTTTCCCTGCAGATTAATTAGAGTCAGGTGGAATGTACTGTATTTTGATTTCTTGAGAAGGGGGGAAAAATGATATTTTTTATACGTACACCTGATTTTCTGAGGGTGAGATAATCGAATAACAAGATTGTTTTTGAACAGAGATTTTTTTGCATATAAAAAACAGTGCTGAAAAGAAAAAGGTTGCAGGCTGAAAATTATTTCGCAAAGAAAATCGCTGAAAATAAAGTTATGACGTAGCACGGCCTATTTTTTTCAATAAAATGAAACTATTATTAGTGTTTAGAAATATAGATAAACCTTGAAAAATCAGTTTTTCGACAAAAAATGTTATGAATAGTTTTTAAGGATTTCTAGCTCTAGATTTTTAGATTTCGAGATTTCTAGAAACTTCTAGATCTGATTAACTTTTACAATATGAATTCTGAATGCTATAAACCAAAGAATCTGAAACTAATTACAGTATTCCAAAAATTCAGGTCTCACTAAAAACAGGTATTTGCCACGTCATAGCAAACTACACTATAGTTTTTGAAAAAATATGATGTTGATCTGCACTTTTCTGCAAATGCATATCTACTATCACGCGATTTATCATGAAAAACAACAATTTACTGGGAAATTTTCGTGTTTTTTTTTATTTTTACAGGCAATTAGTACCTATGAGCAATTCACGGAATAAGAAAAAAATCACGAGTTCGAGTAAGTCATATTATTTTTTGAAAATAAAAAAAACATGGATTTCTGGGGACCGATGATTCATGGAATAGAAATAGTTGGTCTAAAAATAAAAAATGAACCAAACTGGACTTGAAAATGGAATTCTAATTCTATTTTGCCTTAGGGCTCAATTGAAAAAAGTTGAACTTTCAAAAAAAAATCTTCCTGGTCAAAATTTCCATTTCAGATTTTTGCCATCTCATAAAAACGCATCAGCAAAAGCCATAAAAATCATTTCAAAAATACTACCAACAAACAAAAAAAAAGCATATCCGCCTACCTACCAGAAATGGATATTTTCAGAGAACGTCAAACTTTTTTTTATTGGCAGGTGAAATGTTTTGCTATGTTTTGTGTTGTCTTCTTTTAAGAATAGAAATAAGAAAATAACGGGAGCAAAGAAATTGAGAAGACTAGAAAAATGAGAACTCATCTCTGAAAAAAATGAAAGAAAAAAATGTGGAAAAGTATCTGCTTGAATAGGTTTTTAACAATTATTCGGATTGTCAGAATTATCGACTGTAGGTGGAAATTTTTGAGATGCTTGGTTTTTTTGCAGATAACTGGAACGGAATGAAATTCTTTTGAAAATGAAGGATTTCAATTAGCTCTCTGGAAATTTAGATCTAAAAAAATTGATAAACAATCTGAACTTTTTGAGATTTTTCTAAGGGACCTTTTAGACTTAAATCAATTTTTTTTTTCTGAAAAACCCTTCATTTCCAAACAGGCTCAAGTTTACTCTAGTTTTTGCAAATATCTCGAAAAAAATTAAAAAATATGTTCATAAATTATCTGTTTGCGTGTGTTATCCAATTTCGGGAAGCAAAAAAAAACATTTGCACTTTTTTTCTGACGACACTTTTCTCTAGTCAAAAAAACAAGTATACAACACGAAATCAGAGCTCAAAAAAAGTTAATTAATGTTTGTTCATCAAGCTGACTCATGCTCTTCATTTTTCCCTAAAAGTTTTGATTTAGGAATAAAATTGTGTTGTTTTTGAATAGACAAACATATGAAAAACCAACCAAAAAATATGGAAAATAAGACAAAACACAAATTATTCAGCTCATTTTTCCCAAGAATTTTTTTTTTTTGCGATGATCCCTTTTTTCTGGGAGGAGGGTGGAGGCATTTTGTGTATAATTAGATGGACTAACTAACACATATATGTACAGACAGACGGAAAAAGTTACACAAAAGTGCTTGTGATGATGATAATTGAAAATAAAATGAAAAAGTGAAAAAGAAAACAGCTAAAAGTTTTGTGTTTGACAATTTATTAACCAGATGTTTTGGTTTGTTTCCTCAAAAATTAGCTTTCTCAAACAAAAAATGAGGGATTTTTGAGTTAGATGAATTCTAAAAAAAAAACATTTATCTACATATTTCCTATAATTATCAAAATGGATTATTATTGTTATTTTTTGACGAAAAAATAAATGAAGAGCGACAGAAAATTGAGGAATTATCTTGTTAGGAAGGGATACTCAGAATCTGTGTTCGGCTGAAATTTTTAGAAAAGGTTTTCTGAATGAGAAAATCTAGTTTTAATAGGAACCACCTGTAAAACACAAAGAAATTATGATTTTTCTGAAATTTTTCTCTGAAACCTTTTATTCTTTCAAAGAGCCGCCGTTTTTGGCCAACTTCCGTGATTGATCAACTTCCTTGTTCCAGTGAAGGTCAATTTTTCGATCTGATAAAAATATTTTTCAAAACTCTCATTTTTCTATGTGGTTCAACTTGGAGAGAAAACATTTATTAGCACTTGCCACGTGGCAATTTGCAATATTTTTCGCCGGCCAGAATATTTTCGGGATTTTTGCCACGTTTATCCCACCGAATTCGAGCCGAAATTGCTCAAATCCCGAAATCTTTTCGAATTTTTCAAAACACGGCGAATTTTTCAAATCAGCCGCTGTGGAATTCGACTGGATTTGCGGCAATTCGAAATATTATCGTGATCTCTTCTCGCAAGTGCATTATTCTGGAGTTTTGGTGGGCACCATGGTTTTCGGCACGTTGTCGGATAGATACGGTAGAAAACCGGTGGGTACGGTAGTGTTGGGTCTCGCCGCGATTTCCACATTTTATACGGCTTTTGTTCGGAGTCAGGAGATGCTTTTTAGCGTGAGGTAGGTTGGGGGAGGTGTTCTGAGAGCCAGGGAACTTATTAGATATCAAAATGAAGCTCTTGCTCTGGCAAGTCACATGCAAACTCTAATTTTTGAAGATTCTTCGTAGGCTTTGCCTCAGGCGGAATCCCCGTCGTGATCTGCACCTGGGTAATGGAACTATTGCTCGCCGAGCAACGAATGGTTCTACGTGGAATTTTCAATTGGGGCTGGACTCGCATCTTCCTCACCACCATCTGCTATTTCATCCAAAATTGGCGGAACGCCTTAATAGTCTGTGCACTCTTCACACTTCCCGCGATTTTCCTGGTGATCTTTGTGCTCCCCGAGTCGCCGCTTTGGAAATCGCGCGACACTCGTCAAGATCATAGTATTTGGCGCCAGAAGAATCGCGGAGCTGCCAAACATTTCTGGCGACGATTGACAACACTTTGGTGCATGTGGTTTGTTGCGTCGATTTGTGGATTTGCGGTGGATTTGAATTCGGGTCGCCTGTCCGGAAATCTGTATTTGAATCAGATTTTGTTTGGTGTGATTTTGGTGGCATCGAAATTGGTTTTGCTTGCTGTTGACACCAGATATCCGCGATTTAGTCGCAGGAAATTGCACCAGGGAGATTGCCACGTGTATCTGTTTTGCAGGGCTGGCAGCGATGACGTGGATTGGATATGATGTAAGTTTCTCGATTTTTTTCTGAAAAAAATCTCCAAATTATAATTTGAAATTGTCTCAGGGTCCAATATTCCTAGTCATCTCCTTACTTGGTACCGTATTCATCGAATACACATGGGACGCGTGCTACCTTTGTGCCATCGAATCAATGCAAACGACACTCCGCTCCTCAGCCACCGGAACTTGCTCATTTTGGGCGCGAATCGGAGCAATTTTGGCACCTTTCTTGAATATGGCCACCGTCTATTGGCCACCGGCCATTTATTGGGCTGTTATTTTGTTGGGACTTGTGAATTTGATAATTTCTTGGCGATTTTTAGAGGAGACAAAAAATGTGGATTTAGCCGAAGTTGAAACATGATTGGATTTTTCTCACGATGTTCCCTAATCTTTTATAATTTGGTTAATTTTTGTTAAAAGTTCTTCAATTCTGTTTTTCTAGAAACAAACATTAGCTGAATTAGCAAAAATTAGAACATTTGTTTTTGTTTTCTCTGAAAAAACCCATAAAACTCTTTGAAATCTTTGATTCTCTGAAGTACATCGATTATTCATCAGCAGACTAGGAAATGAATGAAACTAGACTGAATTTTAACCCGGAAAACGTTTAATATGGCTATTTTCCACTTAATATTCATATGTATGTCTATTTTTTTGAATTTTTTTCGAATAAGGAAGGTCGGGACCAAAACACACACACACACAATGAAATCTTGGTAAATAGATTTTTCAATTTCACGCTGGAGTTGTCTTTTAACATAAGATACAAATCTTTTCCAATTGTTGTTTTTGTTTTATTTCATTTCATCTCGTTGTTCATGCTCAACTTGCAAATTGTTTCAAGGTCCTTGAGGATTCGGTTTTTGTGGTGTGGTTTTTGAGTTGTGAATCTGTAAAATTTTGAAATTTTTTTTATTTTAAAAATTTTTTTGAACTTCATTCATGAACTTGGATAAATGAGTGATAATGAAAATAATTTCATTTGCTCGATTTTTCCGATTTTTATCCGGTTTCCCTAGGTTTATTGATTTGAACAAACGAAAAAAATGAACTTTGAACTCTTTGATAACAATCTGAAATTCCAAATAAGTTATTTTAATTTTGAATATTTATAGTTGAACTTTCCTATAACATAACGTATTGAATATACAAATTTTTTTCCCTTTTTTATATTGTTTCAAAATTTATTTTTTACCCCATTAATTTGTTAAAAAGTTGTTCATAATTTTAGTCAGATTGAACTCTACATAGATTTTATTACAGCTCCCTTTGTTCATGATCCAAGAAACCATATTTTTTTAACAAAAAACAAACCAAAAAAACTGACTTTTTTCTCGCTTTCAACATGTTTTTGATTTACTGACTAGCTTGTTTTAAAATATTATTCACAAGGAGATAATAAATCATATATTTTAAATGTTCTTTTGCCTTCCAACTCTCACACTTCCTTCGTTTCGTTAGACAAATCTACTATAAATAAGCTAATTTCCTAGTCTTTTTCATTCTTGGAAAAGTGAATAATCTTGGTAATTTTCTGTATGTAGTTTGATTAGAAGTGCAGAAAAAAGATTTCACAGTTTCAATTAATTTGATAATTATTTTCCTGTAATTTATGCACTTCACGGATAGGACAGGAACAAATGTGGATAATTACATAGTGTGTGCCACAACTTTTTTAATCTCTGTTTCGTGTCACAGCTCATTCGGACTTGTAATCTTATAGAAAATTCTGGCCATGCTCAGAGGTCGACTTTTGACCTCAGAAGCTCCAATCGGTCTTATATCTACATAAGGTCGATTTGGACCGTTTCTGCATAAAAATTATTTTTCCACTTGGTCTAAATCTGTGTCTTTCGACAAACCTGCTGCTTCTTGAGCCAAATTTAATTTCAAATTCAAATTATCCAAACATCAGATAAAAATTGTTTGTTTCAATGCATCGGAAATTGCAGTGTTTCAAACAAATTTGGTCATTTGATAGTTTCGGAAGCCCCATAATTTTCAAAAAAAAAACAGAAATATTTGTTTCAAAAAAATTTCATCTGATAAACGATGTTTGTTGCATTAAACATCGGATATGTTATTCTAATATATAAAGCTTTTATTTTCCACTAAATAATTCTGTAGTTTTTTTCTCTCGCATCATAGAAAAATAAATTGTTGTCCTTTAACATGTCAAAACAGTAAATAGCATACTTTCGGAATGATTTGCTTTCTATTTAAAGCTACTTTTTTTCCATAAACAAATTGAAATGAAATGACGAAAAGTGTGGGTTTCAAAAAACCAATTATTTGGCTCACAATTAGTCTAATTAGTCTTTGCTTTCATGTTTGATTTTGTTCAATAGTTCATGAAATATTCAATTGAGAAAAGAAGATTTTTCCCGAGCAATTATTTGATCTTTTGACTTGAGTTGTTGTCTACATATTTTCGATTTATTTTTGAATCTCATTTTGATTTTATTTCTATTTTTATGGTTATGAGTTTTTGCAAATTTATCTGTGGTGATAGAAGAATTTGTGAAGGTTTTCTGAAATCGCAAATACTGTGACGTAAAAAAGTTTTTTTTGGCTTCTTTCCAAGTTTCTAAACAGCCAAGTTGATCTATTGAACAAGTGCGAGAAGCCTAAAAATCTGAGCCTGATATTAATTTCTTGGAAGGCTCCATTAAAAATAATCAAGTGACTTCAGGGTAAATACAGTTTTCAGAATATTTCATGTGAAATTTTCAAATTCGGAACCATAATATTTTCAAAAACTGAATTATTCATAAATTTTATTCCGTATTTTTTGTCGACATTCTATTCTTCTCGAAATTAATTTGCATAGATCCTAGACAAAAAACACAGATTCATCTGCAAAAATTCAAATTCTCAACCTAACCTGACGTGCTCTTTTTTCAACCCAACAAACACATTTCTCATTCACAACAACCTTTGTTTTGTTTTTTGTTGTCTAAAAATATTCCCGCACTTTTTCTGCTCACTTTTGTGCTTTCCGAAAAATGATTTTCTGTTTTTTTTTCTAGCCAAAACCAAAACAGACACAGAATTTTAATATTTGCTATTGAATGAATTGAATCGTCAAGCTTTTTTTTTTCTCAAAAAAAAAAAAAATAAAAATCATTTTTTTTCTCGTTGTTTTCATTTTTCTTCAAACAAGAAAAATACTTAAAGTAAATGGGTGAGAAATTTTTTTTTTGATTAGTTTAATTTAGAGTTTGATCTTTTTTCTGCCCTTTTTTTCTGCAAATAAAAATTTTGCTGCTCTTGTTAAATCAAAATAAAAAATATGTATGTAGAATCGTAAAATATTTTATAGTGTCTGCAAATTTTTGTTCTTGGTATTTTTTTTTGATTTCTCAGAAACCAATTTTTTTGTGGATTTGTAAAAAAAAGGCTTCTTGTAATCTGCAAAAAATAGTATAGCGGAAATTTTGAAGAAATTTTGAAATATGGAAGCGCTGTTATCAACAAGTCATATTTGTTCCTCAAAAAAAATCTGAAATTCTAAAATTCTGAAGGGCTGATGAAATTTCAATTCGACTTTCTTCCAAGTTTCTCAAAAATTTTTAAAAACTTCCTGCTGCCTTTAAAAAACTAAAAAAAATCCGGACCAAAAAACCAAAAAAATGTGTAACACCCACATCAAAAATGTTCAGACATAAAATATGCGTTGTTTTTTGAACAAGTTAGGTTCGTATGTATAACATTTTGAGCTTACCAAATAAAATTCACTTCCGAAAAGTATTCCCTTTATTATTCATATTTTCATGATTCAAAAAAACAAGAATTCATTAATATTCTCTACAGTAATCTTATAGGATTCTTAGGATTCCAATTCGTATTCTTCCAAATACTGAAACCTGTCATTTTCTCGTTTTCTTTGAGAAAAAAATTGTGACAACATAATTGTTGATATTGAGAGTGATTAATTATATATTTTTGTTTTTGTTTTGTTTTATGACATTTCTTTTTTCATAGCTAAGCGCACCAAAAAACTACAGGAACACATCAATTTTCCCTTGTTTTTTGAAATATGAGAATATTGAACTTTTATTATTTTATTTTGCGTGTGTTGCTTTTAAAATGAAATAAATGTAATTCGTTTCGTTTCGAGTTACAATTCGGAAAAGGTTCTTAAAAAATCAAAACAAAAAAATAGCGGAACAGTTGTTCAACTCAACTCATCATTTTTTATGAGCAATAAACATAATCCTAGTTTTCTGAAGTATTTACAGTATTTTTTTTCTGCAAAGTGAAAACATAAAATTGTTCTGCGCAAATTTTTTCGGGAGAAAATTAAGCCATTTTGAAGTGAGGAGGAGTAGATCAAAAGATCAAAGAATGTTTTGGACCTTTCTGTAGAAATATTGATTTCGAGGTATTTTTTCATAATTTCAAAACATCTAGACAATTTTCAGAAAAATTCTGCCAGACTTTTCAAAATTTTTAAAGCCAAATTTTAATTTATGAGCTTCTCATTATTGATTTTTCAAATCTAGAGAACGCTGGAATGGAACATTTTATTCTGAGAAACGATAAAATTCTTGAAACCTTTTTTTGAAATTCGAAAAGCGTTTTCAATACTGTTTTTCTAAAGAAATACACTCTCAGATTAACTATTCCAATTCCAGAACTGTGATCTCCACGGTCCAAATTTTCTGAATTATTTTTTTTCCTTGTAAATGATGTTCTTTTGCCGGATCATATGGAATGTGTATATTAGCACCACTAGCCTAAATGTTTACTCTAAAAACTTTTTCGTTTTCCTCATTTTTTCTAAGAGCTTCAAACTACAAACCACAACAAGACACGTTTTGATATTTCGTTAAAAACATTGAATTCCAACACAATGCCTTTGATTTCTGCTCTGAATTTTTGATAAGCTTCCAATATGTAGTATTTCTGTCCTCCTACACCTCATTTTTTATGTAGGAGGAAAAAAAAACATGGAAAAAAAAGTTGAACTACATAATTAAGAGTATTTTGCACATATTTTTGCCCTGTTATTAACCTCGTTTGGTCTCGTCATTTTTTGAAAACTAAACTAAGAATAGATTGTTTCACGGTGTGCTGAGTATTCAGTGAACAATATGTGGGATGTGTTACTTTGTAACAATTTTCAGTCAAAGATTAGAGGTTATTAGTCATTTTCAGTTTAATTATAATAATACATAGGTTCACGAAGTTTTTCTCTGAATGTTAGTGTTTGCTTAAATTTTTTAATCATGATCTCTAAATTGAATTTGTTCTAACTACTTTATCTCTTACAAAAATATTCTTCAGGATGTTTTGAAATTTTAATTGATTGTTTTCAGCCATACTGAATATACTCTGTCCGAATTTTTCTTTTCAAGA